ATGGTTTAGGAGCCCATCAGGTTTGTGGGTGCCCAGATGGACAATATTGCCCAAGCATCCATAGCATGTAAAGTCATAATTAAATGTGGATGCACCAAATGAAAAGGAACTGCTAATGCCATCGTGCATTCTACTGCATCGAACTATGCACCTGTAAAGGAAATTGAAGCAATTCACCAAAATAAAGTATTATCTTAGGGGTATCAATGCTGGAAATGTATCAAGTATCAATGTGATGAATCAGAACTGAAACATGAATTGCAATTTGATATGCGTAAGACAAGAAATGTCCCATCATGCTTTACACAAGAGACTAAAGATTTTTAAGTGAGCAACTATAAAGCTTTATGAATTACAAAAGACATATAAATTGTCATATAGTGGATATATAGTGCAATTCTTAGAATTAGAAACATTGCTATTTTAAGATGTTGCTGGGTCGTTGCTAGGCAAATTTAACCTTTATTTCGAGCCGTTGCTAGGGAAAATGGTCAGACATAACTGCATCAATACATTTGCTATATGTTAAGAAGTAATGTGGAAGAGGTCCAAAAGCAATGAACATTTAATAGATATATGGTCTGCACATGTCAAAACGGCCATTGTAACCTGTTGCCATGTTGTTGCTATGCAACATGGTGATCTCACTTCAGTAAATATGTTAAAATTGTTGTATTTTTTAGGATAAGAATACTTTTTTGTAATGGTCTTGTAGCATCCTAGCATAATATATTAAGTGGATTTATATTGTTAAATATGTTATTTTAGGCAGTTGCTATGTGGTTGCTAGGCAAAGATAAGATATCACAAAAAATCAAAGCCCTAAGATTAGAGTTTATCCTAGGATCTAACTTTGTGCCAAGTTTGGTTGCTCAATTCCAATTCTCCATTGGTGAATTATAGTGAGATAAGGAGTTTGGAATTTGAATTTTCTATTAAAATTGTGTTAAAAAGCAGAAATAACAGGTATCCTCTGTAATCTCAATTATTTTTCTTAAAAGGGCTTTAGAGAAAGGGCCCTGTCTCTTAAATAACTTTAAATACATAAAACTATAAGAAAAAACTCAAAAACAAACTTTAGTATGAGAACGCAAGATCATTCACCAATTGATTCCGCTATTATAAGTATACAGGGTGTCTCAAAAAATGAACCCAAAAGCATATCAAGAGCACATCTAAACCAATCAATATTTTCAGACATTTTTTGGATGGTCATGTAGCCAAAAATGTCTGAAAATATTGATTGGTTTGTCTATGCTGTTGATATACTTTTGGGTACATTTTTTTAGACGCCCTATATACCCTGTCATCTCTCTATTTATTGGTTGGGCTTCAGCCAAGGAGAATTGGCTCACAGAGTGCCACATCAATATTCAGTCCCATATATGGAAATGTCGTGATTTGAATTTGAAATGATTTGTCAAAATCTGAATTCTAACAGCTGCCATTTTGTTCACTTCAACATTTGAATTGGGAATTTTGGTCTTATTCTTTCATGAAAAATTCCAAAACTCACAAGAAATTATCTAGATATTGGTATGAATCTTTTGGACTGTTTTTCAATTAATAGTCGGTTTTAATTTCAGAAAATAGCGACATTTCGACATCTTCATTGTTGAAAAAAATTGATCCTAGGAGCCACCCTTATAAAAAATTCAACCTTGAAAGTCTGAATTTAAACCGTTTCCATCAATCATTGAATAATGATTGTTTCAACTACCAAGATCAAAGGAAAAACCATTGTACGATGATAAGCAATCATTGTGCAACCATTGTGTTCAACCAAGCGAAGTCAACTCTTTTTCAACGACTGCGCAACCGTTTCTATACAATCATTGTAATCTGCAACCATTGTAAACTGCAACCATTTCACATTGAAATGTAAATGGTTGCAATATGTTTTGTTCAATGATTACATAGTTCAACCCCTGCAACCATCCTGAATTAGTATCGTTCCAAAAAATTATCATTTTACCTGAATTAAAATTATCTTTAAGTAAGGATTTGAATCTACCTCTATTCAACAACAGTATATTAGGATATTTTCTTTGCAAGCATACATGCATGTTTATTATAGTAAATAACTTAATTCATGTTAATATGTTTCTTTCTCCAGTACCAATTTAGGAATGCGATACCAGACTAGTTTTCCACTAAATGGCATATGATAATTTATGTTCTCTGTCATTTACATTATTTACACAAATTAAAAGCACCATATTTAGTGTTTATTTCCCTTTTCTGATATTGCCAAAATTATATATCTTTAATATTAATAATAATTATGAAAAGAATTTAGCAAAAATCCAATTTGGTTAAGAAATTGACCAAGGAAAATCGTAAGATTTCCTTTAAACTTAGCAAAATCACAAGATGAGACACAATGGTTTTTGTTCATGATCAGACTGATGATCAAAAGAAGCAGGATAAATGATGTACAAAATAATACAAACATATGTACATGTAATCACAAGTTGATTGCTTTATTTAGTGAAAATGTTTTATAGTAATAATGCATTCAGGCAGCAGAGACTTACTTTTCACAGTTTCAACTGGAAAACATCTGAATTAATAATTTCACTAAAATTTTGTCAAGGTAGATGAATTATTGCTACACCCATGATATACAAATAGATTGGTATGGGATCATATTGGGTCTTCAAATGTATTCATATATGTGTACTTAACACCTAATATCAAATGTATGGCTCACTAAAATTTAAAAAATACAAACAAGAGAACAATTTTGATTCACATTATTCATAACAGATTTAATTACCATGTTCTTTCTTGGCAAATATTTTTTATAACAATGCCCAACACAACAATACCTACTACATATTGATATTCTCATGGGTTTAGGCAAATCAGAATGCTTGAACAGCCAATTAAAACGGTTGAACGGCTAATTAAAACGGTTGAACAGCTAATTAAAACGGTTGAACAGCTAATTAAAATGCTTGACCAGAAATAGGGTTCATAGTCCTAGTTTCTGTTATATTTATTTTCATTTTGTGTTATACTATATATATATTTTTTTATTCTCTATTTCATGCAGAGGGGGGGGGGGCATAAAAATTTAAAAAGTGTTTTCAGATTTTTGAAGGTGTATTTCTTTATTCAGTTACTTTAATAAGTGCCGAGAAATCTCAAATAGCAAGTATATGAAACTGCAATTACTATTTTCAGAATTTTTTATTTCATTTTTTTAGTTTGTTTTACCATGGGCATTCAATAGATTGAAAGTTCATGGCTTTACTGTATTCACTAGGGCATAGCATTTCTACTGAAATGTGTAATCAGTTTAAATAATATGTGTCAATGATTAAAAAAAACAGAGCTTATTTTTCAAAACTCTAAACTTGAAAAAATCTGGAGGAAAATCTGGAAAATTTTCTTTGGAAAATAATTCATCATGTTCTGTGTATGGAATAATTAAATTACATAGGATGCTTCCTTTATAGCAGACTCTAATCAAACTGTGAGTCTCTCTGTAATAAGGTTTGTTTTGCCTTGCCAAATTATTTTTGTTTTGTTTATGGATTAATAAAGTTTCTTTAGACACATCCTTCAAAGCAGACTCTAATCAAACTAGAGAAACTGAGTCTTTCTGTAATCAGAGTTTTTTAAGTTATGCTTATTGACTTAATTATTTAAAACACATCCTGTAATGTCTGATTGCATCTTCTCTATCAAATCAAAAATATCAAATCAATAAACAGATTATTTTCTGATTGAAGGATTTCTTCCTTCCAGACAGATCTTCCCTCCTTTATAATTGTGATAATTTCTCAGGTGAAGTATAAGTGTCTGAATTTGTAAAATTCAAGACTTCCCCCCATCCAAAATTATTTCAAATGTTTTTGCAATAACTTAAAAAGTAGTGAAGGGATTTTGTAAAAATGATTGGGATTTGCTATGCCTTAGCATTGCTGTTACATGTATCTAGATAATATACATGTGAGTGAGACAATCGTCATCCTTCAAAGTTAGATGAAAATTTTTTCAATATATTTTCATTCACAAGACAAGTTTACTAAACTATTTCAATACTTTAAATATCTTTTTGATCATAAACTTTAAATTCTGACATGTATGCATGAAATACATATATTTGAAATATATATTTTAAAGAGCAATATAATTATTTTATGTTGTATTGAGATAATATTGCCATAGGTTTAAAGGGTTGCATTCGATTGAAACGGTTGCAAGAAATTCAATCAAAATTTTCAAGCGTTTACAATGGTTACATATGATTGAAACATTTTCAATGAGTTAACAACCAAAATTGTAATGGTTGCGTTGTAACAGTTGGCATGGTCGCATAAATGATCGGATCAATGATTGTACAATGATTGTGCAACGGTTTAAATTCGGACTTTCAAGGTTGAATTTTTTATAAGGGTCAATCCTCCTTAGGCTTGAGCAGACAAACTGAACATAAAACAATATTAGCCGACACCATATACCCTAAGCTTAAGCATAAATGAAGTCCTTTGAAGAAGGATGACCTTCTCAGGCCATTCATATTATCTAGTAAATCAAGTGCACTCAAAACACAAGTACTACAGACTGGCATTTTAAACATATTCAGTAAATCTTGACAACTGATCAATGTACAATCTTGGTCAATGATTCAAGTTAATAAACATTGCTTCATCACGTGAACGAAATTAACACACAATGTGACAAGGTCAAGGTCAAGTGTCAGACTGTGGAATTTAATACTTGTGATTTGGTTTGCATACAAAAGGGTGATAAGTTGTAAGAACACATTTAATGCAGAATGTATTAAATGTTATCCACATGTCTATCAGTCTCCTATAGCTAAGACAGGAAAATAATTTAAGTCCACAGACATTGACAAAGTGGTATAGACTGATTTAGGTAAGAATAACACTCATAATGAAAATTGAGTAACCATTTTTTGCATCCTAAAATACTGAACATTTGTAAAATTAACTCAATAAATAAATAAATTTGGTATAAATTTATATTGTTATAAAAGAGCATAAAAATCCAGTTTTATTTTCTTTGCATATTTGTGGCACACAAACATATCAATTGCAAGGAAAGAAATCTGAGATACTAATAATCACATTTGATTATCATTGCAGTCAATGATGATAGGCTTATTAAGCAGGGAACCACCCATCAAAGTCAAACTTGATGAACTTGAGATGCGCCTTTTTGACCCAAAGAAGGACAACTGGAAAGAAGTGAGAAATATGGCCTTTACTCCATTAAAAGAGACAATTCCAAAGATTATGAGAGATTTGTTATTTCATCCGATACTTAGCTGTGTATTAGCAATATTAGCTGGGGTAACATACCAAATAAAAGGCTCTTTATGGAGCTCCCTCGTTTTGCTGGTGGTGATATACCCTCCATTATATATTTTCTTAGTCTGGATGATTCCCCCATTTGAGATGTCCAAACAAGTGGATTACAACAAATTTGTAGAATATTGGACTGATCCCGCCCACCCTTTATGGCTACTCTTCCACAAGAGGAGACTAATCGGTAGTGTTGGTCTGAAGGAACTTGATGTCAACACAAGAGGCGAACTTGTTCGTTTGGCAATAGCACATGAATACAGGCGGAATGGACTAGCTGAAAAACTGGTTTATACAGTTATAGAGTTCTGCGAAAAACATAAATATGAAGAGTTGATACTTCTCACCAGTGTATATCAACTGGGGGCAATGAAACTTTATGAAAAAGTTGGATTCACAAAGTATTCAAGATATACTCTTTATTATATTACACCGGTGTTGAGCGCAGTAAGTGTTCAAATCATTGGTTACACCATGAAAATCCCAAGAAAATGAGTGGGTGTCTATCATTTAACTACTTATACATTATGTATTGTATATAGTCCATTAAACTTAGCAGTCTTGGAAATAAACTACAAAAATTAACGATATAATACTTCAACATAAATATGCTTTAATATATTCATGCACTTTTGAATTAAATCATATTGATAATACTGAAAAAATTAGAAATCAGCATCACCACAGAGTAGCAAATCCCAAGGAACAAAATATTAATGAATCTGTACGTTGTAATGTTTTCACACATAGCTAGGCAAGGTGTGTCCGATTCCAGCAAATCTGAACAGAGTATTCACATAATGAACAATGTGTGAAATATCATAAACGCATTTCTTGTGTACAGTTGCTAAGCGATTGAGATTGAAATTGAGTTTTTAAATACTTGACTCTTGCAAAAAGATTCATTGAAAATATGTTCTTTTAGTGATTTTGTATCTTTTAGGTGATTTTATAGACCATTTGAGACCATTTGGGAGTTAAAAGGCACACAAATCATAAAGAAAACAGTAAAATATTACAGATATAATGATTAATGAAAACACAAAATGAAGGGGTGATGTGTTAAAGTCAGTCCACCAAAGTGGGGATCGAAGCCATGACCCCTCATTTTCTGCATGAGTACTCTACTACTGGGCTATAGAACTGACTGCCTCTTCTGAGAAATCTCAAGATATTTGATGTAAAACAAATTTGTCTATATATTACTTACCCATGTTGAGGCTTCAACTAATTAATTTACAGTATCAATTTGATGATTGTTCACAGCCATTAATTCCTGGTCTTATAAAAAAAAGAGATTTAAAGAATCATAATATAAGATGTTATATGTGAAATTATAATGGGACATACTGATTGCCTGGGATAGAAATCTGGATGACTTGGGATGCAGTTTTGTATGCCCACAGGCACAATCCACCCGCACAGCACTTAATGAGCCTTGTCAGCAGGTTCCGCAATCCAAATTACATGATCACTTGTTTTCAACAATAACAGCTCATTAAAGTGTGCGCCCGACCTGGCTACGTATATAACAGAGTTTATACTGGCGGATTAGACTAGTTCATTTTTTATATGTGTGTGAAAGCTTTCTCTTATTTGCGTTTTTTTCGTTTAGTACGGTTTTGTTATAATTGCCGAGGTCATATAACCGGGATAAAACAATGATTATCGTTGACTGCGCACACACACAAAACATTTACGTCGAGCGCAACAGTGTTATTAAAAACAACAAGCTTTAGAATACAAAGCCCAGTAGTGTGATAATAAGCTGTACACTACCACTGCTGCATGTACATATTAGGGCTCATAAAGAGTGGATAGGGAGGTTGTGTTTGTCACTTTTAAATTTTACATTTCAAAATTGCCATTTTACATGTCATAATTTCTTGGTTTCATTCGTTTAGCCGATCAAAACATTGTAAAACAATAAATCGTCTGTTACGTATAATCAATTTTGTTCAGTTTTGATTAGTTGTCAGAACGAAGTTACGTTCATCTGAATCCATGTTTCAAAACAAAAATCATATTTTCTTCACTTCAAAATACTTTATTTAGATGAATGCTCGGAATTGTCGTTTGCAATAACTTATTGTCGTATTCGTTCTTTTATCTACTCGATAGAAGCATTTAGTCGTACATTTGATGCCAGGTCACCTTCTCGCGTACCTCTTGTGGAGCCCCACATTTGTGTCTGTACTCATGGAAGTAAATTCCCCGGTGTAGCCGAGAGCCACAAACTTTCAACAGGTTCGAAATGGCCAATTTCTCTCATATTTGTATACTCATATTTTATTAATTATCACCTAAAAAGTATTGCTAATAACTATATGTAATTTCAATAAGGAAACTTATCTGGCTACATGTAAATTCAATATCAACACTAGATGTTTGCTCAACACGTCCTGGCTTACCTTGTGATGACAAACCCTGGGTTTTCGCTATTTATAGTTTATCAACACCTGGACGCATGCGCATTTTATAGTTTATCAGGCACTTTAAGCGCACTTAAACCTTTTAATGCCGCTCTGCCAATTTTGTCAGTTCACTTGTCAAAGTCAATAGCTGGTGCACCACGGGAATGCTATTGGCACAAACTTTGGTGTATTTGTGCGCTTGAATGAGTTTTTTTTGTTAAAAACATGCGACCACGCAATTCACACTCTGAGGTCCAGATTGCTTTCATGATAAGGCTCACTAAGTGGTGTGCGGGTGTATTGTACCTGCATGTATACGCAAATACAGCCTATGCTCAACATTTTTAAATTGAGACCAACAAAAGGTCACAATAACCTAAGCAATGATAAACTATAACTCAGGTGCTTTTATTTATTGTAGTTTCATTTCATTCAGAGTTTTACTGTTAGATTACAATGACGTACAATGAATCTATAAAAATATTGCAACATTTTAAGTTTCAGGAAAATAGTAATATTTCTTCAATTATCAAGTGTTTTTAGGTAAGATTAAATACTTTATAGTTAAAGCACAAATTGTAAATTACCATTGTGTGACCATTTGAACCACCAAGCCACAAACAACTACATAGCCGTTAAGCACTTAGGATCCATATTAGCTGAACTACATGCTCAACATTTTTTTCTTGAGACCAAGAAGAGGTCACAATGATCTGAGTAGTGATTAACTATACTGTATGTTGTAGTGACTTATGTTGAATAAACACATTCATTTACACAAAATAGGTATGAATATTTGACAGTATAAAACGTTTTTTATATGATCTTCATCTATCAGTGTACTAAAGACAAGACCTGTAAAATTAGATACTATAATGTGGAGGTAGACTGTTTAAGTGGTAAGAACAGATTTAACCCAGAATGTTTTAATATGTGCTAGAAAAAAGATTCAACCAAGAATGTCCTTAATATGATTTCAAGATATTACAGTGGTAAGAACAGATTCAACCTAGAATGTTTTTAATATGATATAAGAACATATTCAACATAGGATGTTTTTAACTTGATTTCTAGACTGCAGACATTACAATTACAGTGGTAAAGAACAGATTCAAACTAAAATGTTTTTGATATGATTTTAAAACTGAAGATATTAACAAGGTGGTAGGCTGATTAAAGGAATATTCCTTGCCAGACCTTTTCTCTGTTGATATGGTAGCTATAATCATATATATAGTTTCCATATTTAGCAAAACATGGGAAAATGTTTTAATATGGTCAATATTGATCATTTAAAAATCTAGTGCTTATTTCCAGTGAGCTGCCATCTTTTAAGATTTCTTGCAGGAAGTGATGTCATCAACTCTCAACTTCTATAACCTTGCCCATAACAGTATAGGAAAGTAGCACAAATCACTTCTAGACAAGTGATCATTACTTTCTGTGCAAAAATATTTTCAGGGCTTGTCAACTTGGAATAAAAGAAGAGATTTTCAGAGGGATTAAATAAGATACAAAGTTGAAAAATAATATTTAGCTGGTTTTGTTATTCTTAATAGCTCCTTACCTAATGCTATATGCAAAGTTGAGAGTCGATGACATCACTTCCTGTGTGAAATTTTAAAAGATGGCAGCTTACTGGAATTGAGCATCACATTTCTAAGTGATCAAAGTTGACCATATCAAAACATTTTTGCGTGTTTTGCTAAACATGGCAAGCATATATATGGTTATAGCTACCATATGAGGAGAGAGATGGTTGGCAAGGAATATTCCTTTAAATTGTTAGGATAACACATAGCTGAGTTTCTACATGAAAAGCTAACAGTCAAAGATTTATCTTTTTTAGACATTGTCACAGCTCACAAACATATAACTTGCAAAGAAAGACATCAAAACAAACTTAATATATCAAGGAAACTTAATCACATTTGATTATTATTACAGACAATGATGATAGGCTTATTCAGCAGGAAACCACCCATTAAAGTCAAACATGATGAAGTTGAGATACGCCTGTTTGACCCAATACAGAAGGACAACTGGAAAGAAGTAAGAAATATGGCCTTCACTCCATTTACAGAGGCGATTCCAAAAGCTATGAAAGATGTGTTCAGATACGCTTGTTTGATCCAAAGAAGGACAACTGGAAAGAAGTGAGAAATATGGCCTTCACTCCATTTACAGAGGCGATTCCAAAAGCTATGAAAGATGTGTTATTTCATCCGCTACTTAACTGTGTATAAGCGATATTAGCTGGGGCATTATACCAAATAAAAGGCTCCTTATGGTACTCCCTCATTTTCCTGGTAGTGATATACCCTACATTGTATATTTTCTTAGTCTGGAAGATTCCCCATTTGGAGATGTCAAAACAGGTGGATTACAACAAGTTTGTAAAGTATTGGACACATCCAACCCATCCTTTATGGCTGCTTTTCCAAGAAGGGAAACTAATTGGCAGTGTTGGTCTAAAGGAACTTGATGATGACACAAGAGGTGAACTTGTTCGTTTGGCAATAGGACATGAATACAGGCGTAATGGACTAGGTGAAAAGATGGTTTATATTGTTATTGCATATTGCGAAAAACACAAATATGAAGAGTTGATTCTTCATACCAGTGCACCAGAGCCAATGAAACTTTATGAAAAAGTTGGATTCACACAATTTACAAGATATACTCTTTATTATATTACACCGGTGTTGAGTGTATTAAGCGTTAAAATCATTGGTTACACCATGAAAATCCCAAGGAAATGAATGGGTGTCTATAATTTAACTATGTATATGTATATGGTCCATTAAACTTAGCAATCTTAGAAATCAAATACAAAAAATTTATGATATAAATAGTTCAACATAAATATGCTAATGTTCAAATAACCACATGTTGTTTGACTTTAAATTCATGTACTTTTGAATTAAATCATATTGATTTCACTAAATGATGATTGATAGAGTAAAAATGATATGTAAGTCTCAATACCTTCTATGTTAAATAAATTTCAGCTTGAGTAGAGCAATAAAATCCCAGATTTTTGAAATTTTACCAAAAGACAAACAACTTGCAATCCATATAGACCACCAACAAATTAAATACATTGTTCTTAAGACCATACTTTGCTGTATGTTTTTAATCTGAATCTTTTATAAAAAATATCTTTAGTTACTATAACTAGAGGAGATAGGGGCATTCTCGTTCACAAGCATTCCCGGACAAACCCTTAGAATCAGGTGAAAATCTGGGGCATTGTTAGACGTTTTACAATATATAGCTATAGCATCACATATATGATATGATGTGTCTATTATGAAGTTTCAATAAAGAAACCATATAAAACAAAGAATTATTGAAGATCGCCCGACAATGCCCTGTGTCCGAGATTAACCATATGTCCTCTACTTGTAAAGATGGTTGTAAAGGTCAAAGATCCATGTGCATTACGGCAAGTGATTTTAGACAGTCATATCTTTCACCATGAGCACTTTCTGGCCATAAAAACAATGGTTTTTATTAAAACAATATGTTTTCTTTCAAGTGAAGTCCCCATGAGAGTAAAATATCAATCCAACTCTCTGAAAAATTATGGATTAGGGCTCCACCCTGGCATTTTTAAAAAATGTAAGGCTTATTTTCTAAAAAGAGGATCTTGCTTTTTCTCAATTTAAACATATCAAAAGTTTCTTCTACAATATAGAGTAGGATTTTATTAGTACTGATGCCCTTCACAATGAACAATTTCTGAAAAGGGGATGCGTATAGAAATGCGTTAAAGTTAGATACCACATATCCCATGTTATTTTCTCATAGGGAAAACTCATGCTATCCATTGTTTTCAGCATCATTTTGGTCATCGAAAATTGATATCTACAAAACTAGACTTTCAATAGAATTATATTTTTGAAGATGTTTTAGACCCCTTGTTGAATAATCTTTTCATGCAATAAAAATCGGAAAAGGGAGATCCTCTTTTGAGTAAATAGGTTCAATATTTTGAAAAGATGTTGACATGGGGTCCCTATTCATAATTTTTTCGAATTGTTCAATTGATATTTTCATCATCATGGATACTTCACTTGAAATAAAACACACTGTTTTAAAAAACCACTGTATTTATGCCCAGAAAGCACTCATGGTGAAAGATATGACCGTCTAAAATCACTTGCCATACTGTACGTGGTCTTTTGCCATATATATTGCAATAAACCTTACCTTTAGTGATTTGAACCCCAGTAAGGCATGGCTGATTTCCAAAACATTTCTTGATTGTAAGGGTTGATATTTTAGCATGAACTGTAGATTAAATAAACATCATAAGAATATATTTTTCCATATTACCACGGTTCTTCAAGAATAGGCCCACTGTGAAGTGAAAACACTTTTTTCATCCACAACTCTTTCAAATAAAAACTCCGGTACAGCACTGTGCTGATTTAATCATTACTCATAATAAATCACTGAAATGGACCTAGAGTCTGACGAAATGAAGCAGTGAAATGGACTCTAACTATCTAATTATGGTATCATAATAAGTATCACCATACTTTATAAACATAGCAATTTTCAAATCTAAGGTGACTTTGGTAATGAAGCTATGACACATGATATACACGTACAGTACTATTTTTGCAGAAACCTATGCAAATGTAGTGTGACAGGTTCATAATCTATTTTAAAACCCTGTTAGGATATTTAGGTAGCTAATTTCAGACCCTGCTTGGGGAGCAATTTTAAGCTCCAGTGAACTGTGAATGAAGCCCCTCCATAAGTTTGGCAACCTTAGCTCCCCCATTGAACTACGTGTTAAAGCCTCTTTGCTTTTGAATTTTTATTAACGTAACCTGCCATGAAAATTGATTGAAACATAATTTGACCTTATTTCCAATACCTCCACATTTTGTCAATTTTTTCCTCTATTACAATAGGTCGAAAATCTTCATTCCCATGTTAACCAATGGAAAATGGTATGTTGGCCGCAAGTCATATGACAGAATATCAATCACTCCAAGTCCTTGCAAAAAATACAAGTTAGGCGGGCAATTGAATTATGCTAACTTTATTTAGCAAAAAATTGATACCTTTCTTCAGAATCAGCAAAGTTATAGGTCTTTAAAGTCCGAATTGTTTTCAAAAAACCTCTCCCATTGAAATAACACAGGAGGCGAAAAATGATTTTCAAAAATGACTTTGAAGCTCTGTAAATTTAGTATTCATCAAGTAAGCTAAACACGTAGTACATGTATATAAAAAAGTTAAACAATTCAATTTTCTATATAAAAATATTTTTTGTTGAATCTTTTACCGAATAGATATCCTGATTTCTGATTTGTCCCGAACTCACCATTTCCCATTAGTTTACATGGGAATGACGATTTTCAAAAATTCATTAAATTTATCATCAATTTTTGACTTATTGTAATTGAGGAAAAAAATTGGGAAAATCTAAAGGTTTTGGAAATGGAATCAATATTATAAGTTATTTCATTGCAGGTTAAGTGAATAAATATTCAAACGTAAAGAGGCTTTAACACGTAGTTCAATGGGGGAGCTAAGGTTGCCAAACTTATGGAGGGGAGTGTATTTTAATCGTATTGAATTGTGAGAGAATCAAGTTAGTGTTAGCCCAGGTATTGAAACTGTCAAGACAAGGTAAATATTTCTCCATATTTTCAAGATAACTTTGTAATATATTTTATAGATAGCTAGATACTTGTATTATCTCAGAGAACTATTTGTAAGCTTCATTTTGATACAAAATATTTTAATATTGAAACTGTAATTTTGGAGATATAAGATTGTTTATGGATCAATTTGACCACACCCATAGTCTTATTTTTATGTCAGACTGGTAAGGATTTATTGTACAATTTATTAAGATATATCCTTATGTCAATTTATTTTTATTTTTTTATGTAGGGAGCCACAGTTAGCTAACACTCCTCCTGCATGACATGCCTAGGGAAGGTAATAAATTGCTAAATTGTATTAGCAAGTTTAACTCAACAAATTATCAGTCTAAAAGAAGCAGAAGTAGTTGCAGAAAATGACTAATCAAATAGTGGACGATCCGGGATTGCACTCACATATCAGTTATCATTAATTGGCCCTTGAACATTGGTGCCTACAAACAAATTAATTGAAAGAAAGACATAGGGACACTTAATCACATTTGATTATTATTACAGACAATGCTGACAGGCTTATTCAGCAGGAAACCACCCATTAAAGTCAAACATGATGAAGTTAAGATACGCCTGTTTGACCCAAAGAAGGACAACTGGAAAGAAGTGAGAAATATGGCCTTTACTCCATTTATGGTGTTAGTTCCAAGAGTAATAGAGCACTTTATGGTTAATCCTATACTTAGCAGTGTTGTAGTGATAATAGCTGGGATATTATACCAAATGAATGGCTCCATATGGAACTCATTCATTTTCATTGTGGGCACCTATCCTACTTTGTATTTCTTCTTACTGTGGAAGATTCCCCTAATGCGGATGTCTGAGCAGATGGATTATGAAAAGTTTTTAGAATATTGGACTGATCCTCGCCATCCTTTATGGTTGCTATTCCATAAGGGGCATCTTATAGGCAGTGTTGGTCTGAAGGAACTTGATGTGGACACAAGAGGACAACTTGTTCATATGGCCATAGTAAAAGAATACAGGCGCAATGGACTAGCTGAAAAGTTGGTTAATACTGTAGTAGAGTACTGCGAAAAACACAAATATGAAGAGTTGGTAGTAAGAACCAATGGGTATGCAAAGGAGGCAATGCAACTTTACAAAAAGGTTGGATTTATACAATATACAAGCTATACTTGTTATTATATCAAACCTATACTGGGTCGTCAACTTGTTCTGTACACCATGAAAATCCCAAGGAAATAAAATTAAAAGGCAACTTAGGAATCTCACCGTAAAAATGCTATATGTTGTTAGTTAGCTGGAAAAGGGGTTATTCATCCCAAATACTGTACTCCCTGTATTTTTCGCGTGTGATTTAGTTTTGCGCCTTTCACGATTGTGGTAAAATCGCAAAAATTAATCTTCGCGAAATTGTCAATGAAATCCCAGGAGATTTGTGAAATGTTTTATTACATGAGACTCCATTGCATTTCGCGCTTTTTAAAATGTTTGTAAGGTGTTTTTTGGCAATGAATGGGGATAGTAAAACTATTACAGTGGTTTATTAGATCAATTAAACCAAAAATAACGATGTAATAAAGGTTAAGGTGCAGCGTGTTGTTGACCAAGATGATATAGTATAGCGAAATTTCATAGCAGTTAAGTTCGATTTTTTCTCAAACGTTTACATAATCTTGATCATTCATAATCATGAATAATTTAGATGTGTAATGTGATTTTGGAACATGCACACCTATGACAGAAAGAAATTTAAAGTTGTAAAAATTGGAATAAAATGCTGCATTTTTGATGAAAAGTGGCTCATAATTAAGGAATATTGGTGATAATAGGTTCTATTGCCCCTTATTGAAGATAACATACACATTTGTTTTTGAGGTCAAATAATTATTAGAACTTATGTAAATGCTGTCTAAAAAAAGCTTGCAATACCGTACCTGGCTCTTTTTATGCAAAATAATTTGGGTTTGGAGGTTAAAGTAAATCAACCTTGGCCCAATTTTTTTTAAATCCATACAGTTTTTACCATTCTGAGCACTTTTCAGGTGATCTTGGTGACAGTTGTCAAATCCAAACAATTGTCTTGAGAAAAGTGAACCCTTTTTCACAAAAGCAGCTGGCTACGGGTCTGATAGTTCTGTTTGGAGTGAAGCTGTATTTGTGTCAGACATTGTCCCATTTTAAGATTACTGTTGAAACGAAAATCTAGTGAAGTCTAGTGAAAGTCTAGTGAACTTAAAACAAAAGACTGACTATTAAACATGGATTTTGAGCCAATATAAAAATTGAATAGTTAGTTACTTAGTAATGAGAAGTACAAATAAACACAGATAGATTGGCATGACCTCTTTATCTAAAATTATTTCTATGGCCTATGCTTTTAAAACATATTGTGTAAATTGACTAACCAAAGACAGTACTGGTTAATGACACTAACAGTAACTTTATGATGTAAAACATCTTAACATGATTATGTGTCAAGCTTGAAGCCAAGGTCAAGTGTCAGGCTGTAGAGAATTTAACACAATGATTTGGTTTGCTTACAAAGGGGTGATTTATTGGTAAAATTACATTGAATGCAGAATACTTAAATGTGATTCTCTTTTTAATGTGATCCGCATGTCTATCAGTGTCCTAAAGCTGAGGCAGGATAAGATTTTAAGACTGCAGACATTTTAAAACAAAGTGAAATTACATCAACAAAGTGGTAGACTGATTAAGGTAAGAAAAACATTCAAAATGATAACTGCACTACAACTAGGAACTAGTTACTGAAATTGTATTAGCAAGTTTAACTCGAGGAATTATCAGTCCAAAATTTTGCTTCCTGTGCAGAAGTCGTTGCAGAAAATGACTAATCAAATAGTGGACGATCCGGGATTGCACTCACATATCAGTTATCATTTAACCTGCATGCAGAGTCTAGTTAAACTACACTCTGCCTGCTAGAGACCATATTACAGTTTAGTAGCCCCACCCCTACGACGGGTACCGGTGACAGTTTGGGTAATAAATCACTTTTGACCTACGGGCTGACCTTTCTTCTACCAATCAGCGAGCTTGAAGAAACATACACCAAATGCGTTCTAATTAAATATGCACATGTTATTGGTCAATTACGGGTTCAACGATGACGTCAGAAAGAATGACCATATATGGAACGTCAGTCAAATTTGGCAGACGAACACTGATTGGCGCAGTGAGTTCACAGGTTAATTTTAGTTTGAAAGAGTGAAGACGAAGCTCTCTTTTAAGAAGTGAAGTCAAACGAATGCAAAGGGTAGTTATCATTAATTGGCCCTTGAACATTGGTGCCGACAAACAAATTAATTGAAAGAAAGACATCGGGAAACTTAATTAAATTTGATTGTTATTACAGACAATGATGATAGGCTTATTCAGCAGGAAACCACCCATTAAAGTCAAACATGATGAAGTTGAGATACGCCTGTTTGACCCAAAGAAGGACAACTGGAAAGAAGTGAGAAATATGGCCTTTACTCCATCTATGGTGTTAATTCCAAGAGTAATAGAGCACTTTATGGTTAATCCTTTACTTAGCAGTGTTGTAGTGATAATAGCTTGGATATTATATCAAATGAATGGCTCAATCTGGAACCCATTCATATTCATGGTGGGCATCTATCCTACTTTGTATTTCTTCTTACTGTGGAAGATTCCCCTAATGCGGATATCTGAGCAGATGGATTATGAAATTTTTTTAGAATATTGGACTGATCCTGGCCATCATTTATGGTTGCTATTCCATAAGGGGGATCTTATAGGCAGTGTTGGTCTGAAGGAACTTGATGAGGATACAAGAGGACAGCTGGTTCATATGGCCATAGTAAAAGAATACAGGCGCAATGGACTAGCTGAAAAGTTGGTTAATACTGTAGTAGAATACTGCAAAAAACACAAATATGAAGAGTTGGTAGTAAGAACCAACGTGTATGCAAAGGAGGCTATGAAACTTTACGAAAAGATTGGATTTATACAATATACAAGCTATACTTGTTATTATATCAAACCTATACTGGGTCGTCAACTTGTTCTGTACACGATGAAAATCCCAAGGAAATAAAATTCAAAGGGAACTTAGGAGACTCACTGTAAAAATGTTGTTAGTTAGCCGGAAAAGGGTTTATACATCCCAAATACTGTGCTCCTTGTATTTTTCGTGTGCGATTTAGTTTTGTGCCTTTCACGATTGTGGTAAAATCGCATAAATTAATCTTCGCGAAATTGTCAATGAAATCCCAGGAAATTCGTTTTATGACCTGAGACTCCATTGCATTATGTGCTTTGTAAAATCTTTGTAAGGTGTTTTTTGGCAATGAATCTGATAGTAAAACTGTTACAGGGGTTTATTAGATCAATTAAACCTAAAATAAAGATGTAATAAGGTTAAGGTGCAGCATGTCATTGACCAAGATGACATAGTAGTAGGTGTATTAATGAAAGTTGCGAAATTTAATAGCAGTTAAATTCTGTTTTCTCTCAAACGTTTACATAATCTTGATCATTCATAATCATGAATAATTTGGATGTGTAATGTGATTTTGGAACGTGCACACCTATGACAGAATGAAATTTAAAGTTGTAAAATTGGAATAAAATGCTGCATTTTTGATGAAAATTGGCTCATAATTAAGGAAAATTAGTGATGATAGGTGGATTAATGACAGCTTTAAGAGATAATCCGTTCGACTTTACTTCCATTCTATTGCCCCTTATTGAAGATAACATATCGGCAGAACAAACACATTTATTTTTGTGGTCAAATAATTATTAGAACTTAAGTAAACGCTGTCTAAAAAAGCTTGCACCTGGCTCTAAGTGCAACTACATGTACACGCTCTTATCAAAGCATATTGTAGTACTGAACATGTGTTTATCTACCATACTTCATAAACACAAAGATATTTTTGTTGAAACTAATATGAATATATTATAGTAGATTAAAACTAGGTAATAAAATCATTCGAAATAAGAGCATTTAAGCTAAGTTCAAGCAAACCCCCTTGGCAGAAAATTCTTTCAAATTCATATACTGCATTGTTTTTCAACATTCCGAGCACTTTACAATTGTTTTTGGGCCAAGTTTTTAAATGCAAACCACCTGAATTTTTCTGAAAAGTGAAACTGCTTGGGAAAAGCTACCACGTCAAATATGTTTGTTTGGAGTGAAGACATATTTGTGTCAAACCCGTCTCATTTTCAACATAACAATTGAAAATGTATGAATCTTATAAACAAGAATCAAAAGTACTACAAACTGACCTTTCAACATAGATTTTGGGGTAATATAAAGATGGCAGCATTTGTTAAGAGAAATAAACACAGATAGATTGGCATGCTCTCTTTATTTAAAATCATTTTTATTGTCCTTTAGCCTATACATTAAACATAATCAGTAAATCTTGATATAAACAGACTGATCAAAGTACAGCTCTGGTCAATAACTCAATGATAACACTAGAAAACAGCAACCCCACGTCTCAGCAAATCCCAACGAATAAAATGTGTTATTATAAATAGCAGCCATCTTAAAAATCTCTTCTTGTCTCTAAGCATCAGCATATAAAATTTGAACGAAATCCATTTACTGGTGTTTGAGTTGTCGAAGGTTACGTTCTTTTCCGAAATGTGGCAGCCACCTTAAAATTCAGCTGTTGTCTTAAAAATGGTTTGGTATGCTACATTAGTGGACAATCATTTGTTGCTGGTGCATCAGTGTCTTCATTCGTTATCTTCTTTCCTCTTTCTTTGTCTTGCTTTCTTGTCTTGATAGTCGTTGTCTTTGCAGACAGACGGATGAACGGACGGCTTTCCTATATCCCCCTCGAACTTCAGTCAGTGGGATAATAAATTTATCAAGTCAATCACATTAACACACACCATGACAAGGTCAAGGTCAGGTCAAGGGTTAGGCTGTTGAATTTTACACAATGATTTGGTTTCCTTACATATACAAAACAATGATTAAGTGGTAAGAATACAGGGTGATCCAGAAGTAACGTCAAAGACATTGTAATTTCAAAAGTATTCATCAGATCTTCATGAAATTTGGTATACATGTACCCACAACATTTCTGAGTTACCATCTCAAAGATTGGAATTCAATCATTTCATTGGTTGAAATTATGGTTGCTATAGTAACCCGATATCGCGTAACCCGGGGCAAATTACTTAACGTGTAATGCGTAATCTCAAAATATCAACAAGATCTGAAATTGTTATATCCTCAACATTTTATTTCACAACAATATAAATCATACTATTGCACAGTTACTAATAATAGTTCATTCTACATAATTGCCACCATTTGCAACACATTTCTCATGTCTGGATACCCATTCCTTGAACACAGAATTAAATCCATTAGAACTCATTCCTTGTAGGGCTAGTACTACGGCATTTTTCAATTCCTCACAGGATTGAAAATTATTTCCACTAAGGTTTCTTTTTAGTTCCCCATACAAATAAAAGTCACTGGGGGCAAGATCAGGTGAATAAGGGGCATGTTCAAGTTGTTGAAATCCAAGTGTTTGGACTGTGTTGCTGGTCAGGATTGCAGTGTGCGTAGGGGCATTGTCCCAATGCAAGATAAACTGCTGCAGATGTCCGGGACGCTTTTTCCTCAGGGAACGTTGAAGATCACGCTTCAGAACCTGAAAAACAAATGTTTAATGGTTGTTAAACCAGTTGTTTCATTGATTGGATTTGGATTTGAATCATGGCCATGGAGTTATAATTATATTGACAGTGAACAACATTTAAATACTTTAATTTAAAAATAAAATTCACAGTATGATGTATTATTAGAACAAATGATATCTTACCTTTGCAATGTAAACGGCATTAATTCTCTGGCCAATGGGAACAAAATGGGTTAACACCATTCCTCTAATGTCAAAGAATGTCACAACCATTTGTTTCTTTTGTGGAATTCCTGGTACTATTTTAGGCTTGGTTGGTGTTGGGGAGTTGTCATGTTTCCACGATGAACTTTGTTGCGTGGTCTCTGGGATGTAGAATGATAGCAATGATTCGTCACTCGTAATGATCTTGTTAAGAAAGTCATCTCCATCTCTCCGATATTTTGCAAGAAAGTCCCTTGAAGCCTTAACACGCCGGTCTTTCTGCTCCTGTGTCAAGTCATGCGGCACCCATTTAGCAGACACCTTCTTTAACAGACAGTTCTTTGTCAGTATCCGTTGCACAGTCCCATAGCTCAGATCGTGTTTTTCAGCCAATTCTCTGATAGAAATTTGCCTATTGTCCATAACATCAGCTTCAATTGCTTTGATGGTTTGATCATCGAATGACGACACTGGCCTGCCTCCTCGCTGCTTGTCTACCACTTCATCATATCCACTGGAATACTTGTTAAACCACCTGTAAATGTTTCTCTCAGCAATGGCAGCTTTACCATATGCCTTCTTTATCTGTCTTATAGTCTCTTTTACACCTTTCCTCAACTTTACACAGAACTTAATGTTTGTTCTTTGCTCTATTTTACTCTGACTTGGCGCCATCTTGAATTGGGTGGGTTAGTGTCCTTGGTCATGTTAGTATTTGTCATGGATGATGGAAGCAATTCAAAGAAATTGAAAGCTTTTTATGAATGCCTATTGTGACATCACAACTATTACATATTTGTTACCATGGCAACAAATATAAAAATCATAGAAAACAAACAATGAACATTTTCAAATGTTACTGACTTTTTAAATTAGAGAAATTCACAAAAACGTTATGGTTTCTCTTCAATTTGCCCCGGGTTACGCGATATCGGGCTACTATAGCAACCATAATTTCAACCAATGAAATGATTGAATTCCAATCTTTGAGATGGTAACTCAGAAATGTTGTGGGTACATGTATTACAAATTTCATGAAGATCTGATGAATACTTTTGAAATTACAACATCTTTGACGTTACTTCTGGATCACCCTGTACATTGAATGCAGAATGTTTTAAATGTGATCCTCGTGTCTATCAGTCACTGACAAAGGTAAATATTTAAGACTACATGCATTTAAAACAAAGAGGTAGACTGATTTAGTGATAAGTATGTATTTAACAGTCATACAGATAACTGCACTATGATACTGTATGTTCTGTGTGAGTAGTATTATTTACATTCTAAAACCTGAACTATTCGTATACAAGAAATATTGGATGTCCCCAAAAAAATGAACCACTGAATTTGGTTCATCATTGTCCGAGATAATTCTTGTCAAAAGGTATCTCATTTTTTGGGACACCCGATAAATACTTGGTAAATACATATAAATCATATTTCTCTCGTTTCAAAGGAACCTAGCAATATGAAAGCATCTGCAGCTTCATAACGAATAAATTGCATAGGAAGGCATCATGGAAACTTAATCACATTTAATTAACATTACAGACATAATGATACGTATATTCAGTAGGAAACCACCCATTAAAATCAAACAGGATGAACTTGAGATACGCCTGTTTGACCCAAAGAAGGACAACTGGAAAGAAGTTAGAAATATGGCCTTTACTGCATATGAAGTGACAATTCCAAAAGCTATGAGAGATGCGTTATTTCATCCAATACTAAGCTGTGTATTAGCGTTATTAGCTGGGATTTTATACCAAGTGAATGGCTCCTTATGGAACTCCCTCATTTTCCTGATCGTGATATATCCTACATTGTATATTTTCTTAGTCTGGACGATTCCCCCATTGGAGATGTCCAAACATGCAGATTACAACAAGTTTGTAGAATATTGGACTGATCCTGCCCATGCTTTATGGCTGCTCTTCCACAAGAGGAGACTAATAGGTAGTGTTGGACTTAAAGAACTAGATGTGGACACAAGAGGAGAACTTGTTCGTTTGGCAATAAGACATGAATACAGGCGTAATGGACTAGCTGAAAAGCTGGTTTATACTGTTATAGAGCATTGTGAAAAACACAAATATGAAGAGTTGATACTTAAAACAAATGTATACGCAACAGAGGCAATAAAACTTTATGAAAAGGTTGGATTTAGACAATATACAAAATATACAGTTTATAATGTCATACCTATACTGAGTCGTCAAATTATTTGTTACACCATGAAAATCCCAAGGATATAAAGCAAAATACAATTTGGGGACTGACCACTGCAAAAATCATTGTAAGACAGCTCACTTTGATATTGTGTGTTAATAGTTAAGGAGTGAATCAATGTAAAGGGTGACACAAAAATCAAAAATCTGTGTATGTATATATGGACCTCATATACACAATATTGTTAGGTGCAGAGTGACATCACGTCAAGTGAAACAAGTGAATTATGATATAAGCCAAATACATGTTACATTATAATAGTGAATTAATATACTGGGGGACACAAAAATGTAACCCTGAAATTTTGGAATATCGTTTTGATTTGTGATAGTTAATTAATATACAGGGTGATACAAAATATGTAATGCTCAAATATTGATTTACTTTTTTAATTGTGATAGTTAATTAATATACAGGGTGACACAAAATATGTAATGCTCAAATATTGATTTACTTTTTAAATTGGGATAGTTTATTAATATACAGAGTGACACAAATAATGTAACCTAAAATTTTGTACATTATTTTGTAAATTATGCATTTCATCCATAATATCAATAATATTCAACTCATATACGTTTGAAGAATAACTTTGTACATAATGATAAATTCACTTGAATGTTTCAAAAACAGATTTTTGAACTTGCAGAATAGATCAAGCTGACTCTCTCTCTCAGACTCATTGTTGTTAATGCACATATGTAGACCACTGATTTATGCAATGACCACTATTTCTATATTGAAAATATATATATTCAAAATTGGAAAAAATCATTCCAAATCATAGCAATTTTTGAAGTCACCTTGTTTATATATTGTAACTCACGACAGAAAGATAGTGATATAACAGCCTTGGTTAGCGTTACACAGTAGGTTTAAATGAAAATTTTGACGAAAAAAATGCTTTGTAATGGAGGATTCTTGAGGTGTTGCACAAGCAGTTTGTAACTTATTTAACCCTGCTGTACAACAGGTGCTATTGTTATCAATGTTATCACTAATAAAGATAACAAAGATAAGTCATGTATAAAAGTTTACTACTGTACTCGCAGTTAATTTCGCGAGTTTTAATTTTGCGAATTTTGAGAAAACAAGGTTTTGCAGCTATTAAATTTTGCGAATTTCACTAAGCACACCTACAACTATGTCATCTTGGTCAACAACACGCAGCACCTTAACCTTGATTACATCGTTATTTTTTGGTTCATTTGATCTAATAAGCCACTGTAATAGACATTGTTACTAAGTATCCCATTTATAGCCTAAAAACACTCTACAAACATTTTACAAAACACGAAATACAATGGAGTCCCAGGTGATAAAAATTTCACAAATCCCCACGAATTTAATTGACAATTTCGCGAAGATTAATTTTCGTGATTTTACCACAATCACGAAAACCGCAAAACTAAATCACACACGAAAAATAGCGGAAGTACAGTATTTTCCTCATTGTAAGAATATATGTCAATGGTACGTTGCTTATACATAAAAAATTAATCTTACTGAGCAATAATTCATCTTAATTCTTTAATGAATTATTCTATTTAGGTAAAACTTCAGTAGACATTATTATAATACAAGGAGAGCGAAAAAATATTACTATTATTAATTATTATAGTACATGTAGTCAGAATTGGTAACATTTTTTGCGGTAACCATAAAGATATAAATAAAGTCAGACATAAACCTTAAAAGCATCACTTTTTTTTTCAGTTGTCAGAGAGTCACGATGCTATGGGTAAACAGAGATGAATACTACGTCAAGGTCAGTCAACATGACGTAGAAATAACTCTGTTTGACTCAAATGAACATGATTGGAGGAAAGTACGTAGAATGGCTTTGACACCACAAAGTGAGTTCATTCCAACGATTATTAAAGTGGCCTTACGTCGCCCTATTACAACCTGCGTCATGGCAACCCTATCAGGAATACTGTACTACCTAACTGGATCCATACTCCAAATGGTTGCACTATTGGCATTAGCCTATCTCATATTATACTATGCTTTACTGTGGTTATGTTATAAAATTGACAATGACCGTAGCATAGACTACAACAATTTTTGCAAATATTGGAGTGACCCAAAACATCCTCTATGGGTAATGATACACAAGGGGAGTATTATTGGAACAGCTGGAGTGGCTGAGATAACTCAAAGTGGGAGTATTGATGGAACAGCAAGGCTAACTGAGCCTGATATGGATAAAATGGGAGAATTAACCCATGTGGCAGTTCATAGACGTTTCAGGCGGAATGGATTAGGCAAGAAACTCATGTATAAACTTATAGAATATTGCGAAGAGCGTGGATACAAGAAACTTATATTATTAACAAGCATCTTGCAACCGCAAGCGGAGAATTTATATGAAAAAGTTGGATTTAAAAAATGGAAAAAATCTATGAATATTTACATAGCATCATATGTTGAAGTCCAGACAAATTATTTTTCTTTGAAGCTACCAAGAACAAATATAAAATGATCAAGTAAGATTATATTTGTTCTTGTAAGAGATCTTTGCTTTTTGAGATTTGTTATGCTGCTTTATCAAATATCAAATTTGTAAGAAAATTCTGAAACAATTATTAATCAAAGCAGAGTCTAGGGGAGGGGGATGGGCTAAACATTGTACAAATCAAAAATATGCTGAACATTTTTTGACAATATTTGGGGGGGGGGGAAAGTAACAAATTTTCATCAGTGCAACAGAATAAAATACAGAAAACTTAAACATAAATCTGATACATAAAACTTTTACTTACGCAAAACCATTGTCAATAATCTTCTGAATATAAGCAATATTTTCTGGGATATATTCGCTGACTCTTGTGAGGACATCTGGTGGAAGAACCTAGAACAATATAGTGAGACACAGTCATATACAATGCCACAAAAATTCTAAAAGGCAGGAAAGAAATTACACATATTAAAGCCATTTTGATTCCCTTTTTCCACAGACAGTCAGAGAGACGCACATTGGCTGACAATATGGCCTGACACTATGTGGTGTGGGAAAATAAAATTTAGTCCTATTTTAGTAATGTTTCAGTCATAATGAATAAATATTCCATAATATTAAACTAAATATTGTGACTTGTTTAAAAAGTCTAATCCTCCCTCATTTAAATATTTTTTACCCAAAAGTCATATCTTTCCATACATTATAGAATCCATACTGTAGAAAAGAACTTCAAATGTGATGTTCTAAAACATTTACCCAAAAGTCATCTTCAAGTGTGATGTTTGTTCTAAAACATTTACCCAAAAGTTATCTTCAAGTGTGATGTTTGTTCTAAAACATTTACCCAAAAGTCATCTTCAAGTGTGATGTTTGTTCTAAAACATTTACCAAAAAGTCATCTTCAAGTGTGGTGTTTGTTCTTAAACATTTACCCAAAAGTCACCTTCAAGTGTGATGTTTGTTCTAAAACATTTACCCAAAAGTCATCTTCAAGTGTCATCAAAAGTCATATCTTTCCATACATAATAGAATCCATACTGGAGAAAAGAACTTCAAATGTGACATTTGCGCAAAAGTCTCATCTTAGATCTCTAGATAGTCACAAAATACAAAAGTTTCATAATCATAAGACCTGATTGAAGAAGGTTTTATTCAAATCCATAAAATTATTGTTTTGGAAATATATATTATTTAATAAACATGTAATTTTTATCATTGTGTTAATATGCTATACTCAGGAAACTGTGTCTCCTGTAATGTTTGCTGTTAGTCTATAATTCATGTTTTTGTGTAACTCCAAAAAAGTAATAAATGCCATTTTATTATTCGTTCGTTGGGATAATTAATATTCTTACATCCATAGGCAAAAGGGAACAACAATGTATTCCCCTAAACAATGAAATTTTTGTATTATATCAAAATAAATGCTGACTTACATTTAAAGCATCCATATCTTTATGGTATTCCGCCTCAAAGTGTTTTGGTAACGCGCTAAATATCGAGTTGTCTGATATAGAAGACCCGTGTTGAGCATCTAGCCAATCAGAGAGCACGTCTCTCGTTGCTTGGAGAAGATTCTACAATGAAGAAATATAAAATTTAGTGATATATGCTGGGTGGGCCAAAAAATGTTCAACTTATCATAGCAGTGTACAAGTACAATCAAAATGGGTAACATTTTTCGGATCTCTCTATATCTATACATTTTTTAATCATTTATTTCATGTACATGTGCTTAAAGTTTACATTTACAAGACCTGATTATACTGCCTAGGTTTATCATAAACATTGTTAGTATATGAATTTACCAACATATAATTAACTATGCAATATAGCTAATGTAATATTGTAATTGTAAAGTGTGACTTCTTAATTTCGGGAAATCAAACGTAATGACATTTTCCCAGAGATAGCATTCTGATTCAGATTTCACAGAACCATCATGCATGCAATACGGGATAACATGAGCCTGGTATATTTGAGATATTTTCTTTAGTTACAAATACGTTTAAAGAATTTTTCGCTCCACCTGTTTGGCTTCTTCGAGTTTTTCATTTTCGGCTTTATTGTTAATAGCCTCCTCCATCTTGGAAACACCACTAGTGACACCTATCTTTATACCTTCCAACATAGCTTTTTTGTCAGGATCTGTCTCCGTGTTTAGTTTTTCACCAAATGGCTGAAACATAATCAAAGTTATTTTGTACTATTCATTTGTATCATATTTGTCAGGTAAATTGAATTTGCTCTTCTTTTTACAAAAAACATTGTTTTGCATTTAAAGATCTCTTTTACAGATTCAAAATGGAAAGGCTACCTGCATGGCTGTTGTAATATCCTTGAGCAATTCTTGTAGCGATCTAGCTTCATTGCAGTAGTTATCAAATAGATGTCTCTGCCTAGCACGTCTAATTATCTGAAAATATTTCAAAATAAAGACATTTACATACCCTTTGTGCAGAGTCTAGTTAAACTACGGAACTCTCTTTTAAGAAGTGAAGTCGAACGAATGCAAAAGGTAACATTTACAGCTTTTGTTCATGATACAGGACTTTTTAGAAAACTGTTCTCTATAGACACATGTTCCTTGTAGTGAGGAGGTGTTCTATCAGACAGGTAGTACTGTCAATGAGTTCTAAACAAATTTAATTTATGGTTGAAATTGCATGAAAAACTTGATATATAACACAACTGTAAGACAGCCAGAAGTTGCCTAAAACAGTTGGAATTATGTTTACTTTCATGTAAAACAGACTTCAGCAAATACGATTATTGACACTTGAGTCGAGAGGATTTTTGAGACCCTCATTGCCTCAAAGGGCAACTCTAATAGTAGTCTCAGCCCCAATAAATTGACCATTTTCTATATAAATGGATAATATAGATGGCAGAATGGTTGATGGTAGGGCCAGAATACACAGAAACCTATAGCAACCTATAGTCTTGAAAATCTTTTTAAATTTGAATAAAGGTAAATAACTGCAATTCAAAGTTGTTTTGATAGACAATTACACACAGAATATAAATATGCCATTAAATCACTGGCCCCCACCTGGGTATAAAGACCATATGTCTTTATAACAAATTGGATGAACTTAAGAGAAGGAAAATTTAATTTCATCATTTTCACCAAGAAGGAGGTCAATTTGGATCTAAATATTTTACCTGAAGCAAATCAGTCACGAGAACATACACCCAAGGGCTCCAATAATCGAGTGAGGATTCCACACTTCAGCAATTAGGATCGACGTTAATACACTATATCACAGCATAATCGAGCAGTTATTAAAATCACCGATAATGTCCTGGTTGCTGGAGTGAGGAATTCTCACTCGATTATTGGAGCTGCTGGATATAATTTAAAGGGACTGACCAGCTGTTCAGTGACCTCCTTCCTGAAAATGATGAAAATTTCTTACAACAGAAGTTCATCCATTTTGTTATAAAGACACAACATCTTTAGAACCAGGTGGGGACCACTGCAAATATAAGAAAATGTTAGTATTTAATGGTTAAAATGCAATCTCATTAAAAACGAGACAGAGATTTCAAAGATATATGAAAACACCTATATTCAACTGACATTACCTTGTCATCGATATCAGTAACGTTCATACAGTAGAAGACATCATAGTTGAAGTAATCTTTCATTACTCGCCTCATAATATCAAATGATATGTACGACCTGAAAAACATAAATGAAAATGTTTCAGCAGTGAACTCGTAGCGTTTAGGCCAGAAGTATTAACATTGGTAGGTGTTCAACATTGGTAGGTGTTCACAATTCAAACTAGAAGACATCATAGTTGAAGTAATCTTTCATTACTCGCCTCATAATATCAAATGATATGTACGACCTGAAAAACATAAATGAAAATGTTTCAGCAGTGAACTCGTAGCGTTTAGGCCAGAAGTATTAACATTGGTAGGTGTTCAACATTGGTAGGTGTTCACAATTCAAACTAGAAGACATCATAGTTGAAGTAATCTTTCATTACTCGCCTCATAATATCAAATGATATGTACGACCTGAAAAACATAAATGAAAATATTTCATCTGTGAACTCCTGGCATTAAGGGCAATAGTGTTCACAGTGGCAGGTAGGTGTTCACATAGGTAGGTGTTTACATTGGCAGGTGTTCACATCAGTAGGTGTTCACATTGGTAGTGTTCACATTGGCAGGTGTTAACATTGGCAGGGGCTCACATTGGCAAGTGTTCATAGTTCGAAGTTTTTATACATTGACATTTATGAGAGATTAAAAATGGGATTAAAAAAGGTGTTCACATTGAGATGTGTTCGAGTTAGAAAGGTGTTTAGGTTTTACTGTACTGGGTTTTGTACAAATAAGTGTTTTAGGTTTTCCTGTGCATGAGTCAATTGCTTCACAAATCTTTCCAATGCATTAAATCAAAGAAGGACTGGATTCTGATTAATATTTTGCATTCTTATTTTCCAGTTTCCACAGCATATGTCCTTTGCCCTAATGGCACATAAAAATTGACTATGAATAAATGAGATCCCAAATCATAAGGAAAAACAAAGTGGAATGTTTGCCAAACTCAATAGATTTTATTCTTAAGCTTAACTTCATATATTTCAAATGGTCAAATTAATATATACAAAATATATACAACATATGTTAATCCAGCCTAAAAAGAACAATACCAAGAACTCTGTCCTTGGTATTACTGTTTATTGAAGTATGGGCATGTATTTGAGAGAATACAGTACACCAAAAGGTCTGTTAATTCATGACATTTTAAACTTGCTCTATCTCATTCATTGTCTTTAGTTAGAACTGTCCTTGGTATTTCTGTTTATTGTAGTATGGGCGTCTATTTGAGAGAATACAGTACACCAAAAGGTCTGTTAATTCATGACATTTTAAACTTGCTCTATCTGATTCATTGTCTTTAGTTAAAACTCTGTCCTTGGTATTACTGTTTATTGAAGTATGGGTGTGTATTTGAGAGAATACAGTACACCAAAAGGTCTGTTGATTCATGACATTTTAAACTTGCTCTATCTCATTCATTGTCTTTAGTTAGAACTGTCCTTGGTATTACTGTTTATTGTAGTATAGGCGTCTATTTGAGAGAATACAGTACACCAAAAGGTCTGTTAATTCATGACATTTTAATCTTGCTCTATCTCATTCATTGTCTTAAGTTAGAACTCTCTCCTTGGTATATCTGTTTATTGAAGTATGGGCGTCTATTTGAGAGAATAAAGTACACCAAAAGGTCTGTTAAGTCATGACATTTTAAACTTGCTCTATCTCATTCATTGTCTTTAGTTAGAACTGTCCTTGGTATTTCTGTTTATTGTAGTATGGGTGTGTATTTGAGAGAATACAGTACATCAAAAGGTCTGTTAATTCATGACATTTTAATCTTACTCTATCTCATTCATTGTCTTTAGTTAGAACTGTCCTTGGTATTTCTGTTTATTGTAGTATGGGCGTCTATTTGAGAGAATACAGTACACCAAAAGATCTGTTAATTCATGACATTTTAAACTTGCTCTATCTCATTCATTGTCTTTAGTTAGAACTGTCCTTGGTATTTCTGTTTATTGTAGTATGGGCGTCTATTTGAGAGAATACAGTACACCAAAAGGTCTGTTAAGTCATGACATTTTAATCTTGCTCTATCTGATTCATTATCTTCAGTTAGAACTCTGTCCTTGGTATTCTGTTTATTAAAGTATGGGTGTGTATTTGAGAGAATACAGTACATCAAAAGGTCTGTTGATGCATGACATTTTAAACTTGCTCTATCTCATTCATTGTCTTAAGTTAGAACTCTGTCCTTGGCATTTCTGTTTATTGAAGTATGGGCGTCTATTTGAGAGAATACAGTACACCAAAAGGTCTGTTAATTCATGACATTTTAATCTTGCTCTATCTGATTCATTGTCTTAAGTTAGAACTCTCTCCTTGGTATATCTGTTTATTAAAGTATGGGCGTCTATTTGAGAGAATACAGTACACCAAAAGGTCTGTTAATTTATGACATTTTAAACTTGCTCTATCTCATTCATTGTCTTTAGTTAGAACTCTGTCCTTGGTATTACTGTTTATTGAAGTATGGGCGTCTATTTGAGAGAATACAGTACACCAAAAGGTCTGTTGATTCATGACATTTAAACTTGCTCTATCTCATTCATTGTCTTTAGTTAGAACTCTGTCCTTGGTATTACTGTTTATTGAAGTATGGGCGTCTATTTGAGAGAATACAGTACACCAAAAGGTCTGTTGATTCATGACATTTAAACTTGCTCTATCTCATTCATTGTCTTTAGTTAGAACTCTGTCCTTGGTATTACTGTTTATTGAAGTATGGGCGTCTATTTGAGAGAATACAGTACACCAAAAGGTCTGTTGATTCATGACATTTAAACTTGCTCTATCTCATTCATTGTCTTTAGTTAGAACTCTGTCCTTGGTATTTCTGTTTATTGAAGTATGGGCGTCTATTTGAGAGAATACAGTACACCAAAAGGTCTGTTGATTCATGACATTTAAACTTGCTCTATCTCATTCATTGTCTTTAGTTAGAACTCTGTCCTTGGTATTACTGTTTATTGAAGTATGGTCACCTATTTGAGAGAATACAGTACACCAAAAGGTCTGTTGATTCATGACATTTAAACTTGCTCTATCTCATTCATTGTCTTTAGTTAGAACTCTGTCCTTGGTATTACTGTTTATTGAAGTATGGGCGTCTATTTGAGAGAATACAGTACACCAAAAGGTCTGTTGATTCATGACATTTTAAACTTGCTCTATCTCATTCATTGTCTTTAGTTAGAACTCTGTCCTTGGTATTACTGTTTATTGAAGTATGGGCGTCTATTTGAGAGAATACAGTACATCAAAAGGTCTGTTAATTCATGACATTTTAATCTTGCTCTATCTCATTCATTGTCTTTAGTTAAAACTCTGTCCATGGTGTTACTGTTTATTAAAATATGGGCGTCTATTTGAGAGAATACAGTACACCAAAAGATCTGTTAATTCATGACATTTTAAACTTGCTCTATCTCATTCATTGTCTTTAGTTAGAACTCTGTCCTTGGTATTTCTGTTTATTGAAGTATGGGCGTCTATTTGAGAGAATACAGTACATCAAAAGGTCTGTTAAGTCATGACATTTTAAACTTGCTCTATCTCATTCATTGTCTTTAGTTAGAACTCTGTCCTTGGTATTTCTGTTTATTGAAGTATGGGCGTCTATTTGAGAGAATACAGTACATCAAAAGGTCTGTTAATTCATGACATTTTAAACTTGCTCTATCTCATTCATTGTCTTTAGTTAGAACTCTGTCCTTTGTATTACTGTTTATTGAAGTATGGGCGTCTATTTGAGAGTATACAGTACACCAAAAGGTCTGTTAATTCATGACATTTTAATCTTGCTCTATCTCATTCATTGTCTTTAGTTAGAACTCTGTCCTTGGAATTTCTGTTTATTGAAGTATGGGCGTCTATTTGAGAGAATACAGTACACCAAAAGATCTGTTAATTCATGACATTTTAAACTTGCTCTATCTCATTCATTGTCTTTAGTTAGAACTCTGTCCTTGGTATTTCTGTTTATTGAAGTATGGGCGTCTATTTGAGAGAATACAGTACACCAAAAGATCTGTTAATTCATGACATTTTAAACTTGCTCTATCTCATTCATTGTCTTGAATTAGAACTCTGTCCTTGGAATTTCTGTTTATTGTAGTATAGGCGTCTATTTGAGAGAATACAGTACATCAAAAGGTCTGTTAATTCATGACATTTTAATCTTACTCTATCTCATTCATTGTCTTTAGTTAGAACTCTGTCCTTGGTATTTCTGTTTATTGAAGAATGGGCGTCTATTTGAGAGAATACAGTACACCAAAAGGTCTGTTAATTCATGACATTTTAAACTTGCTCTATCTCATTCATTGTCTTTAGTTAGAACTCTGTCCTTGGTATTACTGTTTATTGAAGTATGGGCGTCTATTTGAGAGAATACAGTACACCAAAAGGTCTGTTAATTCATGACATTTTAATCTTGCTCTATCTCATTCATTGTCTTTAGTTAGAACTCTGTCCTTGGTATTTCTGTTTATTGAAGTATGGGCGTCTATTTGAGAGAATACAGTACACCAAAAGGTCTGTTAATTCATGACATTTTAATCTTACTCTATCATTCATTGTCTTTAGTTAGAACTCTGTCCTTGGTATTACTGTTTATTGAAGTATGGGCGTCTATTTGAGAGAATACAGTACACCAAAAGGTCTGTTAATTCATGACATTTTAAACTTGCTCTATCTCATTCATTGTCTTGAGTTAGAACTCTGTCCTTGGTGTTACTGTTTATTAAAGTATGGGCTTCTATTTGAGAGAATACAGTACACCAAAAGGTCTGTTAATTCATGACATCTTAATCTTGCTCTATCTCATTCATTGTCTTAAGTTAAAACTCTGTCCTTGGTATTTCTGTTTATTGAAGTATGGGCGTCTATTTGAGAGAATACAGTACACCAAAAGGTCTATTGATTCAAGACATTTTAATCTTACTCCATCTGATTCATTGTCTTTACTAAGAACTCTGTCTTTGGTATTTTTGTTTATTGTAGTATGGGCGTCTATTTGAGAGAATACAGTACACCAAAAGGTCTGTTAATTCATGACATTTTAAACTTGCTCTATCTCATTCATTGTCTTTAGTTAGAACTCTGTCCTTGGTATTTCTGTTTATTGAAGTATGGGCGTCTATTTGAGAGAATACAGTACACCAAAAGATCTGTTAATTCATGACATTTTAAACTTGCTCTATCTCATTCATTGTCTTGAGTTAGAACTCTGTCCTTGGAATTTCTGTTTATTGTAGTATAGGCGTCTATTTGAGAGAATACAGTACATCAAAAGGTCTGTTAATTCATGACATTTTAATCTTACTCTATCTCATTCATTGTCTTTAGTTAGAACTCTGTCCTTGGTATTTCTGTTTATTGAAGTATGGGCGTCTATTTGAGAGAATACAGTACACCAAAAGATCTGTTAATTCATGACATTTTAAACTTGCTCTATCTCATTCATTGTCTTTAGTTAGAACTTTGTCCTTGGTATTTCTGTTTATTGAAGAATGGGCGTCTATTTGAGAGAATACAGTACACCAAAAGATCTGTTAATTCATGACATTTTAAACTTGCTCTATCTCATTCATTGTCTTTAGTTAGAACTCTGTCCTTGGTATTTCTGTTTATTGAAGTATGGGCATCTATTTGAGAGAATACAGTACACCAAAAGGTCTGTTAAGTCATGACATTTTAAACTTGCTCTATCTCATTCATTGTCTTTAGTTAGAACTCTGTCCTTGGTATTTCTGTTTATTGTAGTATGGGCGTCTATTTGAGAGAATACAGTACACCAAAAGGTCTGTTAATTTATGACATTTTAAACTTGCTCTATCTCATTCATTGTCTTTAGTTAGAACTCTGTCCTTGGTATTTCTGTTTATTGAAGTATGGGCGTCTATTTGAGAGAATACAGTACATCAAAAGGTCTGTTAATTCATGACATTTTAAACTTGCTCTATCTCATTCATTGTCTTTAGTTAGAACTCTGTCCTTGGTATTTCTGTTTATTGAAGTATGGGCGTCTATTTGAGAGAATACAGTACACCAAAAGGTCTGTTAAGTCATGACATTTTAAACTTGCTCTATCTCATTCATTGTCTTTAGTTAGAACTCTGTCCTTGGTATTTCTGTTTATTGTAGTATGGGCTTCTATTTGAGAGAATACAGTACACCAAAAGGTCTGTTAATTCATGACATTTTAATCTTACTCCATCTGATTCATTGTCTTTAGTTAGAACTCTGTCCTTGGTATTTCTGTTTATTGTAGTATGGGCGTCTATTTGAGAGAATACAGTACACCAAAAGGTCTATTGATTCAAGACATTTTAATCTTACTCCATCTGATTCATTGTCTTTACTAAGAACTCTGTCTTTGGTATTACTGTTTATTGAAGTATGGGCGTGTATTGGATTGGATTTTGTTCAATTTGTCAATAAAGAAATAGCTATCATCAAAGATGGTAAAACATAATTTGAATATCTAAATTCTACAATTGTCATGAATTACAATATGGATTTCTGTTTCCAGAGCTTTGTCCCAAATTGGACTGATATAATAACCTAAAGTAGGTTAAATGTAGGTTATTGAAAACTTTATTTATGATGATTTCGTATAAAGTGATATATTGCAATTATGTAATATGTCCAATTATCACTCTTTTCAAAAGTTCTTCAAGGTACACGTATGTGTGACTAACATTCAACTGGAAATAATGGGAAAATGACATCATCAAAATGACTTAATTTTGCACTAAGACCCTCAATATTGCTTCTATTGTCTAGATAACTAACAGTAATGAGCCATTAAACTGTTCAAATATATCATTGTAAGTTATACATTAGCTTTTGTGTCCATGATCAAGTCAGCGACTAATTTCAATTCATATTTTTGCACCCTTGAGTTAACATTGGGATTCCTCCATCTTAAAATATGACTTACATTTTCACCTTGATTTGTTTACCTTTTTTGTCCAGTGTTTAAAAGATTTGAAAATTTTCATGGTTTAAATCTTATAAAATAAAGCAACATTTGATCATCTGTCATTTTTTCGGCCTATCATCCGAGGCATGTTTTTGAGCCACATCTTTGTGATGTGACGGTGATATTACCATCTTCTTTCGAATCACTTGGGCGATGTTCCAGCACAAGAGAATCACTTCAGTGATTGTTAAGATAGACATGCCAATAAAGAATCCAAAACTTCCCCCTATTTCTGAGATCATTGAGCTAATTGTGAAATCTTCAGCCTGTTGGGTTATCTTAGTGTCTAGATCTTTAAAAAACACATTTAAACGAACAACATTTTTTCGCAGTTGATTTCCATGCGTGTCTTTGAGTATTTCGTTTTCTTTTTCTGATTTTACGTAACCACAGTATTCATGGAAAACACCATGATAGGTTTTATAGATACTAGAGTTAATGTAGTTGTCCATGTTCATGATCGAGCGACAGTAAAAGTCTATCACTACCCCTTCTGATGGCCACACCGATTGAGAGAGTGTCATTTCGTACGATTGGTACATGCACTTTTCCCGGCATTGACAACCATCTTGGCCCACAAAATCTGACAATGAAAAATCATTTTGACATCGAAGTCGCCTCAGGTCATTTTGTATTACAGTTAGGTTGTACTCATTGGATTTCAGTTTAAGCCATTCATTTGTGTGAAGTTTTAGACAATATTCTGTATGAGCCATATCATTGTCAACTGGTAAGGAAGATTTGACGCAATCACATGTTTCGTAGATGGTTCTCTGCAGGCATTTAAGGAGACAATGTTTTTTTGTGTATTTGAAAGCTCCATAGGACTCAGAGTCATGATCAGCGCATTCACCCCAAGGTGCTTTCATTAGTTGTCTTTCATTGACAGACAATGCTGCATTGACAGAGTGTCCTTCCTCAATGTCAAATCCATCATTTTCTGGGTCAGGCAGAGTCCCCTTTTCATGGATCACAACTCTTACTCCTTGACTACCGCTGGTTGGGTAGTTTGGATTGTATATCAGTGAAGCTTTAGTTGTATCCAGGTAAAGAGTTAAAGATAGTCCCCCTTTAGGACCCGAGATCTTTGTGCTTGGTTTAGCAATGGTTGTGTTGCCTCCGTTGAATGTAAAGCATGTATAATGTTCATGGTGCTCTAGAGTGGAGACATCAGTCTTCAAACATGACTTCCCTTGATACACACATACTGGGATAAAATCCTCTTGTTTATGGCTGTAGTTTCGGATTAAGTTTTTACCATTGTCAAAATATCCTTGAAAAGAATATAACTGAGTGAGAAATTCTTCGTAAAATTCCCGTTTCTCAGACTGCGCACTTTGTGAGACATTATTGTCTAAATAAGTTGGAAAATTTTGTAAAATGTCCGCTAGTTCCACCAATGGCATGGTTTTTTGTTCATCATCTATCGAATCTTGAATTAGGTGCTGAAACCCAGTTGCTGACAATCCAAGTAAAGGACACACAGTAACTGAGGGGAAAATGATGTCTCCATTCTTGACAATGATTCTGTCCCTTGTATCAAATTTCCCATATCTCAGGATGATCGTTATCACCTGCCATATTGCCACAGCCGTACAACCAAGACAGAGGCCAAACCAGAGGGTTCTACCAAGTTTTGTTGTTCTTTGGGTGACATTCCCCCAACCATGTGCGCTGGTGTTACTTGCAAAATCACTTAATGTTCTCTTCATACTTGCTGCCTTGTTTATGGCTTACTTAATATTATTAAGTACTTTATATTATTATCAAACAAATTATATAAGTACTTTCTTTTAAATGTAGTCTAGATATAGTTTTTTTTAAATTTTTTAAATTTAATTCTGTTACACCACAATATATGCCCATCGGGTGTCTAGCGGCATAATTGTATATTGTATACTGTATATATAAGAAATTATGAAATAAATTGAATTGAATCGAATAGTCTTATGTATTGTGACAGTTTCTCATCGTGAGATATCAAAGTCTCCTATCAGTTTTCTTGAAGAAGCATATTCTTTGCACGGCAGAGTTGATCTGAGTTTCAGAATGCTTGTGTCCGGCCATAAAGTTTAACTCATTTAAGTCACACGCTGGTTTGAGACATACATCGCATCGCCAATTTGATTGGTCAATGATGTTAATGCCATTATAAACATCCATTATAATTAATCAATATGCGTTAAACACCATTGTCTGTATATAACTGTGTAATATTTATACAGAGCCTTATAATTATCCAAAAGTATTCAAAACTAGTTACCATTGTGTTATAGAAGTAATTGTTGGAATAAAATTGGAAAGACCAAACTTGGAAAGGGACCATTATTGGAAAGATACCAAAATTGTAAAGGGACCATTATTTGAAAGAGATCATTATTGGAAAGGGACCATATCCAAACGAGCATGAAGAGGATTTGGATGAGAGAAAAAATATCATAAAATTTAACATACCTGTGTATATTAAATATCTTGAGAAAAATACAGACGGAGGTAATAATCAAATTTTAATGGAGGGCTTCGCTATCCCTACCGAACTTCATCTGTTGGATTAATCAATCTAAACTACTGCTAGAAACAAACTCTTGAGGGAGGGGGTGTCGAATCTTGAGTCTCCCTATACCTTACTCTCATAAACATATTTACATGTACTTTATACCTTACCTTAAACTATATGCTTACATGTGTTTTGATAGATATAGTTTATATTGGGTTTACATGGGTCTTAGATTTGATTCTGAACGAAATTTACGGTTCATCTTACACTAAACCTTTTAAAAATATGAATTGTTTTGGTGGCTCATGTACCTTACCCTGTACATTATCTCCATACACCCCCCCCCCCCTTATCAACACTATTGAATCCCATACCTTGCATGTCCCATATGTGACGCATCATAAACTGTGGGTCCACAACTGTACCATTTAACCTGCCTGCCATTCTGGGGAACAAATTGTTCCTGAAAACAAAAAAAACACATTCATATATAAAAATGTCTTTTAAATGAGCGCTGTCAATAATTGGAGAAGGCAATTTTGGTACCCTTTATTATTGAGACATAAAGGGTGTAACTCATGTTCATACAGGGTGTAATTCATATAAATACAGAGTGTAATTCACGTTTAAAAAGGGTGTAATTCACGTTTATACAGGGTGTAATTCATGTTTATACAGGGTGTAATTCATGTTTATACAGGGTGTAATTCATGTTTATACAGGGTGTAATTCATGTTTACAGGGTGTAATTTATGTTTATACAGGGTGTAATTTACATTTATACAGGGTGTAATTCATGTTTATACAGGGTGTAATTCATGTTTATACAGGGTGTAATTCATGTTTACAGGGTGTAATTCATGTTTATACAGGGTGTAATTCATGTTTATACAGGGTGTAATTCATATTTATACATGGTGTAATTCATGGTTATACAGGGTGTTATTCATGTTTATACAAGGTGTAATTCATGTTTATACAGGGTGTAATTCATGATTATACAGGGTGTAATTCATGTTTTTTATACAGGGTGTAATTCCTGGTTATACAGGGTGTAATTCATGTTTATACAGGGTGTCTATAGAGTCTCTACACCTTATATTATACAGACCTTGTATTGTAATTATAAAGAGACTTTTTGGACACTCTGTAGATCTTCATAATTACAAGCAATATGTACAATTGACCTACCAATTTATTCCTTACAATCTAAAATACAATATCTCCCAAAATATTCATGATAATATGTTATAAATTGGTGAAGTTTTAATGGATTCAAAGTGCAAAAATAGGTGAAAAATGTTTCAATTCTCCCAAATAATAAGAAATTGGTAACCATTCTTATAGAAAAATAATATATTATTGTAAAAATCTTTAGTTTTCCTGAAATAAAGTGTGCACTTTGAGGATTTTTAGAAAATAGACATGAAAAGGAATGACATAAGCCAGAAATATTCTAAAATTGAAATAATATTTTGTTAGGCTGCTCGCTAGATCTGATTCTCTCTTTAATACCATATAACATTCATGATGTAAAATATTGAATTGTTCGACTCTCTCTTAATAATTTTCAACATGGTATTAACATGCTCCACATGCATTAAATGTCTCTAAATAAATGGGTATTAACATGCATTAACATGCTCCACATGAATTGAATGTCTCTAAATAAATGCCATTTGTTAGAGATGCTGACCACTTAATGCTGACCGTCAAATGCTGAACATCATCAACAAAAAAAGTTGGAGAAAAAAAAAAGTCACCACTTCTGGTCGTGACATAAAAATGTATTGTTATGAATGAAAAAAAGTGACTGAGGATTGACAGGTACATTATTGAGGTGTTCTTATTCACAGTTTCTATTGTTATTTATTTAATTGATTTCAGTTGCAATTTGCATTGTTACATAGTAAATTAATTATATTGTCCCCTGGCAAAAACCTGCAGGAATTGAGTCATAATAAATTAGAGAAAAACTTCAAATATTATCGAATATCTTAATGAGCTACAGCATACCAGCATTATTTTTTAAGTCAAAAAGTTAAGATACATATCTGAAAATAGGGATTGAGCTATGAGTCGGCCATGGGTCATAACCATGTTATTTTGATAAAGACCTTGACTTCTATCATATAAATTATTATGCTCAGATCATTTAAAGCACTGTATCCAGAGGCCAAGAACCTAGTTATTATAAAAAAAGACGAAGCTCACTTTTAAAAGGGTGAAATCAGACATGGTAAGCCCTGTATGTGTTGACTAAAAAAGTTTATGACAGATATTCATAACTGAATCAAGTGATATGTGAACCTGAAATTAAGCAGATAAAATGTACCATGGATCATACACATCAAAATCTACTTAAATCTTGTCATGCGAACCTATGAAGTTTAAAGTTTTAGGCCCTAGGAACCATCTTGAAAAAAATATTACTGACATCATAGATCCAAGATAAAAATGTGTCCTACATTCCGACATCAATATCTACTTTACTGTTGATATTATGAACCTGTGTGAATTTCAAATGTTTTATTACCTAGGGCATACTGACTTACACAGTTATGTTGTGGCCAGGAAGGTGACACAAATGAATCTATGCCTCACAGCTTTAAATACATTATTTCAATGGTCTCAGATATATGGGTAAAAAGTGGGTCACTTTTAATTACAGTGAAACTTGTCTAATCCGAATGCCACCGTGACTGGCCAAGGTGTTCAGATTTTTCAGGTGTTCACATTTCATGGTGTTTTAAAATGGACATCAAAGGGAGATTATCAAAGGACCAAAAAGTGTTCACATTGAGAGATGTTCAGATGAGAGAGATGTTCAGATAAGAGAGATGTTGAGATAAGAGAGATGTTCAGATGAGAGAGATGTTCAGATGACAGAGATGTTCAGATAAGATATGTTCAGATAAGAGAGATGTTCAGATAAGAGAGATGTTCAGATAAGAGAGATGTTCAGATGAGAGAGATGTTCAGATAAGAGAGATGTTCAGATAAGAGAGATGTTCAGATGAGAGAGATGTTCAGATGAGAGAGATGTTCAGATAAGAGAGATGTTCAGATAAGAGAGATGCTCAGATAAGAGAGATGTTCAGATAAGTGAGATGTTCAGATAAGAGAGATGTTCAGATAAGAGAGATGTTCAGATAAGAGAGATGTTCAAATAAGAGAGATGTTCGGATGAGAGAGATCTTCAGATGAGAGAGATGCTCAGATAAGAGAGATGTTCAGATAAGAGAGAAATGATCAGAGATGTTCATATGAGAGAGATGTTCAGATTAGAGAGATGTTCAGATGAGAGAGATGCTCAGATAAGAGAGATGTTCAGATAAGAGAGATGTTCAGATGAGAGAGATGTTCAGATGAGAGAGATGCTCAGATGAGAGAGATGCTCAGATAAGAGAGATGTTCAGATAAGAGAGATGTTCAGATGAGAGAAATGATCAGAGATGTTCATATGAGAGAGATGTTCAGATTAGAGAGATGTTCAGATGAGAGAGATGCTCAGATAAGAGAGATGTTCAGATGAGAGAGATGTTCAGATGAGAGAGATGTTCAGATGAGAGAGATGTTCTGATAAGAGAGATGTTCAGATGAGAGAGATGATCAGAGATGTTCAGATGAGAGAGATGTTCAGATTAGAGAGATGTTCAGATGAGAGAGATGTTCAGATTAGAGAGATGTTCAGATGAGAGAGATGTTCAGATGAGAGAGGTGTTTGAATATACAGATTTTTACATTACATAAGGAGCATGTACTAGCCTCTGACATTTTTTATCAAAATTTCTTGATGACCAGCAGATGATTAAGTTTTGGTTACTATAGCAACAATTGTCTTTGGTTTGTGTGACAACCATGTGGCCCCCAGGAGCTATACGGTGGCTCCCAGAAGCTATACAGGGGACCCCAGTGGCCCCAAGAAGCTAAACGATGGCCCCCAGAAGCTATACAGGAGCCCCAAAAAAGCTACATGATGGCCCCAAGAATGTATATGATGGCCCCCAATGGCTCCCAGAAGATGTGAAGGGCCCCCAGTAGCCCCTAGAAGCTATACGGTGGCCCCCAGTGGCCCTCATAGGCTATATGATAGCCCCCAGAAGCTAAATAGTGACCCTCAGGAGCTACATGGTGGTTCCCAGAAGCTACACAATGGCCCCCAGAATCTATATGGTGGCCCCCAATGGCTCCCTGAAGCTATAAAGGGCCCCCTCAGTAGCCCCTAGAAGCTATACGGTGGCCCTCAGTGGCCCCGAAAGCTATATAGTGGCCCCCAGAAGCTATACAGGGGCCCACAGTGGCTCCCAGAAGCTATACGATGGCCCCCAGAAGCTATGCAAGGGCCTGCAGAAACTGTACTGTAGCCCCCAGAAGCTATACAGGGGCCCCCAGTGGCTCCCAGAAGCTATAAGATGGCCCCCAGAAGCTATGCAAGGGCCCGCAGAAACTATACGGTAGCCCCATAAGCTATACGATGGCCTCCAGAAGCTATACAGTGTCACTAAATGGGCCACCATATAGCTTTGGGGGCTACCGTATAGCTTCTAGGGGCTACTGGGGGCCCTGTATAGCTTCTGGGAGCCATTGGGGGCCATCATATAGATTCTTGGGGCCATCATGTAGCTTTTTGGGGCTCCTGTATAGCTTCTAGGGGCCATCGTTTAGCTTCTTGGAGCCACTGGGGTCCCCTGTATAGCTTCTGGGTGCCACCATATAGCTCCTGGGGGCCACTAATTAGCTTCTGGGGGCCATCATATAGCTTCTGAGGGCCACTGGGGGCCACCATATAGCTTCTGGAGACCACAGTATAGTTTCTGTGGGCCCTTGTATAGCTTCTGGGGGCCATCGTATACCTTCTGGGGGCCACTTGGGGCCCCTGTATAGATTCAAAGGGGCCACTGGGGGCCACCATATAGCTTCTGGTAGTGGTGTCAATTAACCGCTTGAGCATTAACCGGTTAACCGGGGGCTTTTACCGGTTAAAGTCGGTTAACCGGCGGGAAATTTGAACTGATAATTTCAAATGAAATCTTCATCTTTGATCTTGAAAGTTGAAAAAATTGGAAAAATGATATATCGGCGTTTATTTTTTACGTTCGTCAAGCTTTACTCTATTCTATGTAAGTAAGTGCGGGAAAGCAATGTGGCAGGGATTAAAGTTGCTGATTGGATGTTTGTAAGGAATTATCGGACCTATCACATGTATGAGTAGCTCACATGAAACTGACGCTTGAAAAACAGATTAAAATGCAAAGTAAGCGCGGGAAAGCAATGTGGCAGGGATTAAAGTTGCTGATTGGATGTTTGTAAGGAGTTATCGGACTTATGACAGGTATGAGTAGCTTACGTGAAACTGACACCATAAAACCAAACGGATTAGCATGCAAAATAAGCGCGGGAAATAACAGAATTATACACGGTCAACTAACCGCCCATAAAAACACAGACCGGTCAAGGCATTATCGGCGGTTAACCGGTTAACCGGTTAATACTTGACACCTCTAGCTTCTGGAGACCATAGTATAGTTTCTTGGGGCCCTTGTATAGCTTCTGGGGGCCATAGTATAGCTTCTTGGGGCGATCGTATAGCTTCTTGGGGCCACTGGGGTTCCCTGTATAGCTTCTGGGTGCCACCATATAGCTCCTGGGGGCCACTAATTAGCTTCTGGGGGCCATCATATAGCTTTTGAGGGCCACTGGGGGCCACCATATAGCTTCTGGAGACCACAGTATAGTTTCTGTGGGCTCTTGTATAGCTTCTGGGGGCCATCGTATACCTTCTGGGGGCCACTTGGGGCCCCTGTATAGATTCTTGGGGCCACTGGGGGCCATCATATAGCTTCTGGGGGCTTCTGGAACCTAATAATTAATGTATTTTGCCAGGTTTCACCAAAATCTTCGAATACGGGGGCTGTCAGGAGGGGGTTAAATTAAGTTATAATTTTTTTAAACAAATTCATGTGACTATTTATCTCTAAGCAAAGGGAGAATAACTTTCTTTTAACTCATTAAGAACATGAAATGTAAAAACCTCATTATCAAGTGATGTTACCATAGCATCTGAAATGTTAGAAATATTACATAAACCATATGATGAATCATCTTCACTTCTAATCATGCTTTATACTTCAGACACTTTAAGAATCAAGAATATGAAGAATATGATGCATGGTAAATTATAAAATTGGATCTTTAATATACAGGGTAGAAATAACCGTTTTGACCCTTGTGAATGATAGTCAAAATACATGTAACCTTTCCACACACTTATTAGTTCAGTTCAATACATGCACATTTTTACTCAATAAGATTGAAACAACTATGGTTGTTACTTTTTTTGTTAATTTAATATTATTTTTAAAATTGTCAAACAATGACGTTCACAGTAGCTGCCTCCAAAGCTGGATAATTTTGTTAATTCTGATCCAATTTTGAAGATTTGTTGTCTCTTTAATGTTGCTTATATCTTCCACTCATCAAATAAGGGACAAAACTATGCACACGTTCTGTCATATGGCCTCAGTTCTAATAGATATGTTGCTATACTAGGATATTCTGAACCAAAAATGGATTGATGACGTCACAATTAATGCAAATTAGCTAATTTGCATAACTGAATATTGTTACCATATAGTAAATTTAATAAGGTTTAATCAGATACCAATATCATCTCTATAGACCAAATAATGGCGAAGCTACATTGATTCAAGACTCCAAGGTAAGATGTATGTATATTATTGTCAAATAATGACATTCACGATAGCTGCCTCGAAAGTTACATAACTTTCGTAATACTGATTCAATTTTGAATCTGTTTTCACTTTTATGTTGCTTATACCTTCTACTTATAGAATAAAGGACAAAACCTTTCAGAAATTTTGCCATACAGCCTCAGTTCTAATAGATACGTTGCTATAGTTGGAAATTCTGAACCAAAAATAGATTGATGACGTCATAATTTATGCAAATTAGATAATTTGCATAATTGAATATCAGAAATTTATTGAAAATTTAACGAGGTTCAATTTGGTACCAATATCATTTCTATAGACCAAATAATGACAGAGCTACAAATGATTTAAGATACCAAGGTAAGATTCTAAAGATGCGTAACCATGGTAACTGAATGCCGCCATAAAAGTACTATGGGACATTAGTTGGCAATGTTAACAAATGAATTCATTAAATAGACACCCTAGGGATTACAAAAATGTATGTAACTTATTCACACCTTATGGGTGCATGGGAACCCCTTGTTCCTACTATACTAATGGTTTACATATTGATTTGATGTATATTACACAGAATTCCCCAAAAAATATATTCATTACCATAGTAACCATAAGTAAAGCATGAATTAAACCACCATCATTCACTTGTTAATTAACAATCGAGAGAACACCCCTAGAGTGTATTAAATTTAAAAAACAATAAACGTCTAATTAAAGTCCGGACAATATGAAGTAAATACCAATATACCAAGGTGTGCCAACTTTTAACTCCAGATAAATTATGTGACATTTGGTGACATATGTTTTCTCATTGAGATTCCGTGAATGAATAAGATATTAGTACAGTTGTCATTTTAGTGTAACAGGGATAACTGTTATCAATTGTTATTGAGGATTTATTCATTAGTTTGAGGGTAAGTTATAATTAACAAAAACAAATGTTTATATTCATTTACAATATTTGTAATTTACTATACAGTATAAGTGGTATTTAATCAAAGTGGTTAATTTGCCTTATGGTCAATTTTATCATTTTCCTAATTTTGATTTTCCTAATGACAAGAAACTTCCCATTAGATAACATCATTAAGATAATATTTCCAAGATTTAATTTAACGAACCTGGAAAAGCTGGGCAATAGGCAAATCTCAAAATGATTAGTCAAAGTTACCACTTATACAGTATCGGATGACTTTAAAACATATTATGAGCTCAGTTCATTGGACAATGAGATTCCATATTGGCAAGTGATGATTAAAACTTTTAAAAAACATGAGCAGATGTTGATATCATTAAACATGAAATCATAATGTAGATGGTGTAGATTCTTTTGGGGCAAAACCTAGATGTGTTTAGTTCAAGAGTTTTTGATACAGTTAGATTATTTACAGATGGAGCAAGGTTGAAGAGATACGTGATGCCACAAACTGATAAATACAAGGCGATCTACCCCTATACGCCTAGCAATGAGGGGGAGATTCAACTACAAGTTGAAGACATCATTACAGACATAAAAGAACTGAACAATGGATGGGCGATTGGGAATAACCTTACAACAAAGTCAACAGGGATATTTCCGATGCAATATCTTGAGCGACTTCCTGATACAGGGAGTATCATTTCAGGGTCAGCACGCAGTAGCCCGACCCCAAGTGGAGTCTCAAGTATTCACACCCCAAAGGTGTCTAAAAACAACGTAGAAAGATTACCCATGCATCAAAATGGTAGCGTGCGATCGGGGAAACCTTTGCAACATAGGGAAAGTATACTGAGTCATGCGTCAAACATCAGTGTTGATTCTTGGGTGGAGAGTAGCGGCGATGAAAAAGATGGCGTCACTAATGATGTGATGTCAACAAACGGGAGTAAAAGGAACTCGAGGAAACGTCCACAGCTTGCGGTAAAACCAAACATACTTAGAACCGAATCAATGAATAGTAACATGACAACACCGGTGCTACCAGCGAGAGCATCAAATATCAACACTCTTCCCTCTGCGGATGCAAAAGCCGTATCTGAAGCTGGTGATATTTCAAGTGTGGAGAATGAACTTTACACTATTGATGATATTAATGATGAGCTTTATGCTACAGCAACCTACCCTAATGGCAACACCCCCAAAGATGCGCTTAGTATCAATGGACCTTCGGAATATCAAAACAGTGATGATATGGTCAAAAAAGGAAATAAGAAAGAAACAAAATCTAAACTTGGTAATATCTTCAAGCGGAGATCCAAACCAAGCACAGAAGATGCTAACGGGAACATGGAAATTTCAATGCTAGACATTAACAAAAGTCAGGAAGCTCTTACAAAGCCTGAGAAGAAACAAACAAAATTGAGAAAAAACCTAATAAAGGTGCTTCACGTCACACTGATGACAAGTGCAGGAGTGCTTCTAAGCTTGTTCCTCTTCCTTTGGATGTATTTTGGCTTGGATTATGGATGGCTACCAGCTTTAGTGACATCCCTATTGGTTGCTATACCCTTAGCAACAGGCCTTGTATTGTGCGTATACTGCAAATGCACATTCGCCTTATTCTTCCCAAGTCTATGTACATTGCGTTCGATTTGCGCTATTTTATGCATAATCACAGGTATTATCCTTAGTGGACCAATCATGAACATTGTACAGAATCATCACCTAGCAACCATGTGTGTCCACCAATTAGAGCATGCGAATGGGCAGCTCCATAGCCACCATGCAGAGGTATATGCTGATCAGGCATCACAGATTGAGTTAATGCTGCAAGGCAATCTGAACAACACAATGCAGAGATTGGAGCACACCGTGGGGACACTCATATCTGTGAACAACACTGTTGCTCAATGGTTCCAACAAGCTGTGTTGAATCCTGCGACAACTAGCCAAGCTCACACAGTAAGTACAGTAAAACCTGTCTATTCCAAACACCTCTGTGACCATCCAAAAGTGTTCACATTTCAAGGTTGTATTAACATGCAAATCAATGGGAGATTACAAATTTGAGACAGAGAAAAAGTTTTCATTTTGAGAGGTTTTCAGTTTTTTCTAGGAGCATCCATAAGTGTTCAGATTAGCAGGTGTTCACATTTCAAGGTTGTATTAACATGTAAGTCAATTTGGGACTGAGAAAAAATGCTCACATTAAAAGGTGTTCTGATTAGAGAGGGGCTCAGATATACAGGTTTTACTTTTTCAAATAAATCTACGATACTCCATACATTCTTTAGATTTTGATTATAGATATATACCTTTTAAGAATCATTCATTGAGTGATAGATTATATTCACCTGAATAGAAGTAGAACTATTTAATAATCATTATACTAGAAAAAATACAATGTGAGAGAACACTAAGAACTTTATGAGGAATATGACCAAAGGAATAATGTGATGTCATTTTGTTAAATATAGATTCATATCTCTATGAATCGAACACAGGTGTTTTTTAAAAACAGTTCACCTTAAATTAATTAATTATGAATAATGTTAAGCTAGTCACCTTTAAATTACATTTATTTTCCCTTGGGCATATGATCGTGATACTGTTAAGTTTATTGTTAATGAACATGAAGTCATCTACAAATATGTAGGTTTAAATATGCCACTTTTAACATATAGAGGGCATTCATCAATTTAAATTTAACTTTTACAATTTCTGAACTGTTTTATAAACTACATACTGTACATATTCTTTGTCAAATGTTTCACCAAATGTTAAAGTTGACTAGCAAGAATAAATCAAAGCTTTTTTTATATGTTCCACTCTTGGAGGTATTCAATAAACAAATTCCACTTCACAGGTTCTACTCTTACTCCAAATTGCTAAAGGTTTATATATTGAGATTACAGAAGTTTTCAAAGTTGTTGAAAACAGCCCCTAGCCAATGTTCACAATGTTCATGAAAAACCACCATTATGAATTTCTTATGTTTTGTGTTTTTAGAGGTGTTCTCAATTGTTGAAAACAGCAGCCAGTCAGTGTTCATGGGGGATTAAAGTGGCAACGTCGTCATGTGAGAGAGCAGTGATGTCACTACAAGAAAAACTCATCACATCAAGCATCCTATTTGCTTGTAATGCAGCTAATAAAAGCCTTCTTGGCCAAGTCAGGTAAATGTCTATGAAACTTATAACACAAGAAAACTGACTGTTAGTATACTAATTAAATATAATAAGTCCAGAATTACATGAAATGGGAAGATGAACACCCCCCTAGTTTTCTGCAAATTCAAACAATAAACTCTGCATGTCAAATAAGCAAAATCTGCAAAGGAAAAGGCCAATTCAATAGGAATTCCATGGAATTTCTCTATAAAGATATATTAAAAGAAAATTCTGCATGAAAATGGGGAAATCAAATTCAAAATTTCTGCAATTCCATGTTTGAAGGCTACCTCCATCCACGATCCACATATTAAGAATCCTGGGAGTAGATGAGATGCTATATAAAACCTTAGAGAATCTTTACCTAGATTGTTTGAATTGTTCTTCCAGAAAGAAGTTGAGTCTAACTGCCAAAGACATCTGTAGTCCTATCACCACGGTAACAGATTGTAATGTTCTGCTAGAGCCTGATGAGATTTGCACAGAATTTGATAGCGTAGAAGCCGTGTTAGCAAGAACGATTGATTCATTGGGGAATACATCATACTTACTGCGTCATTATTTCAAGATAGAGCAGACGGCCCCACAAGGAACAACAGCCCATGTTTCAAAACATGTAGCCCCCACATATACCAACCCAGAAGATGCTGCCACCTTTACAGATAATATTGTACTAGCACTGGACATAATCACCAAGCTACTGTCTCTTGTTATAATAGTCCTGGTTTATGATGCCTATGAATACATGATAAGTTATCTAAGTAAGCCATACTTTGATAACAAATATATCATGAAAGAATTCAAGTCACTTGACAGAAAAATGGATGGCGAAGGAAAAGCCGTAGTTCTGCCTTTTACTGCGAGGGAAAATAAAACCAACATTGATCCTAATACACGTAAATATTTCATTCCATCAATAAGGAATCTTATGATTGGACTAGCGATTATTTCTCTTCATGCTCTGATTGCGATCACAGCTTTTATTTTTGATCATGTGTATTACATGTCGTTTATCCATTTGGAAGATGTGTCGCCTAATATGCAAGAAAGTACAACTGATGGAATAGCCATTGCCCAAAGTATGGATAACACTGCAATTAATTCAACAGAGGGAGGCATAGTGGTTGATGGAAGAGCACTGTGGTGTAACGAATTGATTCCAGGAGGGGAGAAGAATCTGACGCTTGTAACAATCTCATATGTGATCCTTGTTATTGCTTTGCTTATTCAAGGCTATGCTATATTACTAAAACAAATCATTATGGCGTATTTTTTCCCGAAGGTAGCCGAAGATCGGGCAAGCTTCCTTTTCCAAGATATCCTTACCAAGCGAAGTGAATATCGTGCCACTCTCAGACACACCGTGCACAATAACTGTGCACAAGCGAACATGCAAGATAAAGTGAAAATCGGGGACATCTTAGCACGGAAAGTCACATGCATTCGTATCTTACTAAGAAAATTAGGAATGTCTAAAGCACAATGTCTTGGATGTAAGGAATTGAACGACGGGAATTTTACACGATGTAGCAGTAAGAACTGTGATGGGGTTTACTGTAGTGACTGTTTTATCGCCTTAAGCCAAGACTGTCCACTGTGTTCAGACCAAATGTACCAGAATCTAGCAGTAGAACAACATGTTCATAATGAAAGCTATGCATGATCAGTATTTACTCCAAATATTATAATACAGAGGACAAGCCTGTAGCCAGGGAGGGGTGGGAGGTTCAAGCATTTTTCAAGTGGTTTTGGGCCAAAGTTGTAAAGTGAACCCCCCTGAAATTTTTGGAAAATTGAACCCCCTTGGCAAAAGCTGGCTACTGGCTTGGAGGATTCAAAATACATGTAGAATTAAATAATATATGAATATATTAGAAACTGTCAGTTATTGATAATGGTCTTCAAGAGTCATCAAGAAAGATGGCACTCAAATTCACATTCATGTCTGGTTAATTGGGCATCTTTCGAGTTCCTGTTTTTTCAGTATTTATAACATAAATTGATAAATTGCAATTAACAAAATGTAATAATGTAAATCGCCCTGAGGCATTACAGACATGATCACCAATAAAGATAAAGAAAACACATATAAGGTAGAAACTTGATTGGAAAATAGATGTAAGAACAAATCAGGCCCGTAGCCAGGGGGGGATTGATGGGTTCGCGCCCCCCCTCCAACCCCCCCTGGCCAAAAAATCTTTCAAAAATTTTTTCACCTTTCTGAGCACTTTTAAGTGTTTTTGGTCATTTTTGGACCAAAATTGTCACAAGTGAACCCCCCCCCCCCCGGAATTTTTCAATAAGTGAAGTCCCCCTTGCCAAATCCAGGCTACGGGCCTGCAAATAGGTACACGTGATAAGAAAAGTGAATCAATATGAAGGATAAAATGATGATGATGATTTGAAGATGATGATAGGAATTGAGAAAGATGATTTACAAAAATGAATTACAAAGTTTGATCCTTCTCTGTTTGATGTGCTAAAAGATCATTTGTTTTGTAATCCATTTTATCAGAATTTCCAAACAGAAGCAATTTTAACTTTGTAATATTCATTTGCTTAAAACAATCTAACACATTAAATTTTGCAAGCTCTTCGAAAAGTATGATCCGTTGTAGTTGTATACTAGAATAGGGTGCAACTGAGAAGGAAATGTGTCTGCTATCTCCCATTTAATCACCACATAAACATTAGGCCATAAGAAGTAGATTCTTCGTTTTGCGTCCTGGAAATCCAAATCATGCAAGGGTACAAGGAAAACAAACTCAAACTCAAATAAAAACACAAACTTGTTTGCTGAGACATGTATACATTTTATGGGCATAAAAAGGTATGACATACCAATTTGCAGTGATAACAAACGCATATCTATACATTTTATACAATATATTTAAACTTCAAGGGTAAAAAATAAGAAAATACACAATGTATCAAAGTAATCAATAACACTGTCAATTTTGACGCACATCAAATTATCCACCATTACGTCTGATTCTCATTGAACGAAATGCAATGGTACTTTCAGACCCTCATGATTGCTATTTAGATGTGTTTGTATCTTCTGATATACTCAAAATCGTGCAAGCAAGGGGACGAAAAACAAAGAATCTACTTCTTATGGCCCAAGCTGTGGATAAGACAGAATTAAAATTGTGAGAAAAGAAGTGAGCCTAGAATTCCCAAAAAAGGTATTGATTGACTCCAAGTCTATTTAAGGCCTTTCTTGAGATATCTCAAGTCCTGGTTAATCTCATCATCATTATTTCTCTGGCTAATTCTTTTCTAAAAATGAAAATGATTAAAGATAAACTAAATGCTTTAAACTATTGATGCAATACGAATGTCTTATTTTCGAAGTAACAATTAAATGTTCTGGAACTGTAGAATTACACCATAGTCTTGAAGGCCATTACAAATACATTGTATGTGTCATAATATATTTATAATGTACTATTATATGTAATTTAAATAAAACTGTTAAATAAATTTAGATTAATCATAAATCAATTTTATATTTACCATTTCTAACCGAGCTCAGTACTTCCCCTAGATCACCAGCATATAAAATTTGAGCAGAGATTCTTAATCCATTAGGCATGATCCTGTAAAATTTGAACTAAGTGAACCAGTCAAACAACAGTAGGCTTCTCTATATCCCTTCGAACTTTTTTTGGTTTGAACTTTGTTCGGTGGGATAATTATATGACACATAAGTGTTACCAATCTAAAACACCAATATCATTACATAATTTCAAATATTATTTGAACAATGAAGACAAAAAGCCATAGTAATTAGAGTAGATCAAATAGAATTGCAAGCCCAGAGAAAGTTTATATTTCTATCCCAATGCCATCTATTGAACTGTACAAACTATGAAACTGTGTACTATATAAATGCCTTTGGTATTAATAATTTGAAGAATGATATGACAAAGGGGTAACCAGGGGTTGCAATGACCAATAAAATATAAACATGAGATAGAAGAAGAAAAGAACTTTGAAATGCTTTTTGGTTTAAGCTTGTAGGTCAATTTTGAAGGAAGTTGCATAAATTTTTGTAAAATTCAACATTAATCTAAATTTTTTGGCTTGTTTATGCCACAATCGCCCCCCCCCCCTCCACCGAAAACCTAAACTATTTTGGGGATCACACCCCCCCTGACTGAAAGCTGGCTATGCCCCATTGCCCCTGTATGGTATGATATAAATGTAGCAAACCATGTTTTATTTCACTTAAAGATCCCATAACAGTCTATCTCATAAGATATTAAAATCCAAGTGAAACTCTGAACTTGTGAAGATTGTGAAATTGTTCTGTCCTAAAATACTTGACAAAACAGTCCTATAAAATCTATCAAAAACCTCTTTTCAAATAAATATAATTATGATTAAAACCTCTTAATTAAACTGATATTAGAAAGCCAAGAATGATTTTTAAGGTAACTTTCTCTCTATATATGTTTTTACTGAGAAAAATATAGATAGAAACGATCAATTTCAGTCAAAATTCTGTTTTTAAATTGTCCTAGAGATTGACCAGATCAGCTTGACCTTGGAGTTTTAACATAAGCCATCAATTTCACTTCTTCTAAATATAGAACTGTCAATCAAAATTTTGAACTGTGAAAGGGAAACTTATATTTAGCTTAACTACTGTAGATCAGATTTAGATTTCTAAAGAGAAATAAAGGTTCACTACAATTATGCTCAAAATCTAATTTGTATACATGAACGGATTTAAAAAAATATTTGATAAATATATAATAAGGTCAATGTGACCTATTTCCAACAAAACAATGAAAGGAGAACCCCCGATAAGGAGAGCTTTTTAGAAGGACACAACTATTCTATTCTGGAAGTGATCATCATGAAATTTTAACATACTTTTAGAAATGAGGTGAACTGATACACAAAACGTGCGTTTGTAGAACGGTTTTTGTGAAGCGCTGAAATTCAATTTTCCATATTTAACTGTTACATTTTGCTTAAAATCAATAACTCCACCAGAAATACATTTTAAGAATTTTTTCCGAATTGGTTCCATTATTTCCGTTATTCTCATGAGTGGAAAGGTCTCAAAAAACATATTTCTAGGGAAACGCCCATTGATTTCTTTTTATTTCTAAGAGTTCAGATAAATAGCTTACAACTCAGATAAATATCTTACAACTGTGACACTTTGTTCCTATCCCACAAGGCCATACACAGATTTAAACCACAAATAAAGAGTCTAACCTTAAAAAACGAGTTCATTGCCTTGCCAAAAATGTTCTTAAAAGAGCAATTTTTATATCACACAACTTGCTTTTGGGAATATCTATGATCACCTCATCTCTGATGTATTAAATCTCTGATGTGTTAAAGTTCCATGATGATCACATCCAGAATAAACAAGCAATGTCCTTCTAATAAGCTCTCCTTATCTGGGGTTCTCCTTTATATTCTATTCTTAGCACAATTAAAGAACTCATTTCCCCCTACCCATGACACCCTAGTGGGGTAAAAAGGTCTTGAAAGAAGACAAGGTCTTGAAAGAAGACAACAATTTAGTAAAGAGATCTACCTTTTGTCTTGTGAGACTGTTGTAGAGGTAGAGTTCATGTTTTCCTGACCCCTGGGGTGGTTGCCATAGTGGCTGCGTTCTCTTCACTTTACCTGGAATTACAAACAAAGCATTCATTTTATGCACTGGCGGATCTTGGGCCTCCCCCCTTTGTTGGTTCCCAGATCCGCCCCTGTTATGGGTCTGTTGCTCAGCATGACTAAAGTTCTTGCGATAGCCATTATAAAAGAAATGTTAGATAACTGTTAATGGTCATAAATAACTTAATAAAATTAACTGATCCATCAGGTTGGCCCCCACGTGATTAGTAACGTCATATATATGATATAGTTTGGGTTTATTGGTTCCTTGGTAATCATGATGTCATGGCAACCATATGATTGTTGTGTAAACAAATAACAAAACATCTGTGGCATTATGTCATCATGACTTAATGGACCAAAACGGGCCACGTGGGGACCAGTGAGAGATCATGTGGGGGCAAATAATGTCACAACCAATTTGAATATTACTTATCAAGCAGCTATAACTATCGCTAAAGCTTCATCAAGAAGAATTTTTGAGGTGGAATTTTTTCTGGCGGAAAACGCTTGAGCGAAAACGCTTGAGTGAAAACGCTTGTTGAAACAAAACACCCTGGGGACATATTGCATCTTCAATGCAACTTGGTACATTGTAACTTACTTGCAGAATCCGAGTCTACATCAGGTGTCATGGGCGTAGCGCCTATTACGCAAAATACGCACAGGCGTACCAAATGAATATGAAAAAATTAAAAATGTGTTAAAATGCATTAATTTATTTGCGAATTTATTGATGCTTCCTATTGTATCTGTATATGTTAACCAAGTCAACATTTATAAAGTTGATAAAAACGCTTAAAATATTCCATCAAATAACGTCCTTGAAAAAAATCGCAGGGAGGATACTCCCGGACCCCCTGTGATGCTCGGCCTTCGGCCACACAATCAGGCATCCCGAGTGTGCGTATGGACTCAAAATAGAGCCCTACGCCCATGGGTTTTGAGACGACAACATTACAGTGTCTAGGATATTGAAGAAGAAGAATGGATCCACTGGCATTTTGATAAAACTAGATCAGGACTAAAATAATGATTATCATTGAGTCTTGAGATGACGGATACATGTATGTGACTGAGATGATGGGTGCACTGGTGACACACAGGGAACTGTTGTTGAATTGAATGGACAGGAAGTTTCGATATTCTTGGAAAGTATTCAGTTGAGCGGAATAGTACCTTCCGAGGTGACACTCAGAACATCTTCAAAGGGATCATTCATCAAACTCAAATTGAAAGCAGTGTTTTTAGAACAGGGTTTTTAATTTAAAAAAACATGTGCCACATATGCTACAGTACAACTTTATAAGTAAGGGCTAGATTTACTTCAAAATGTACCATGTTTCGGACCAATACATTTTCTAACTATGTCACCAATTATTTATTTATTATCAAGTCTGATAACATAGATATTTGCATTTAAACTGACCTGAAGTTTCTTCCATTTCTGATGAAATCTATTAGATAGCCTCAAAACAAAACAATTTTTGTTGGTTTACTTCCGGGTTTGAGATTAAACCTCGTTTTCGATTCCATATTTTCCCACGCGGATTTTCACGATGAGTGTTCCAGCTTTCATCGAATTACCCGAAAATGAACAGGTTTGTACGCATTTAGACTATGTCAATTTAATGTTTGTCTCATATGCTTTCTAAAAGTGTAATAATTTCGAAAATCGACCCGGTAATTGTTGCTATAACCGACTTCAAACTTTCAAATTTTGACAATTTTTCTGATTTTTTGTCAAAATTTCGCCGGTAATCAGACTAAGAAATGGTAACTTGTAAGTTTTATCCACGGGTGCTCCCTGGGTAATAGCTGGATGTGGCCATCCGTAAACAGAAAAACATAAAAAGTTGACTCAATAATCAAAAATGGAATAGCTTGAATATGAGAATCGGCCTCCAAGTTGTTCTATGTCATCCATCCTGCTAGGTTACATTGTGGAATGCAGCCAAACACGACACTGAAGGCAACAACATGTTGATCTTAGCAGAATTTTTGGAAATTTAGATTGTCCATTTTGCAAGCTCACGTGACTGACACGTGTCTAATCACGTGACTGGTTACTGTATCGATCATGTGACATAATGACGTGTCACCCAACCATGTCTTCAAGGAAAACGGAAGTAAATATTTTGGAAAATGTTTTCCGAGCATTTGCTACTGATTATAGAAAGCCCAATTACTCAACGAACGAAACTGCTAAATTGTAATTTCGTGCCTAACAGGCACAGTACGCAATGAAAGAAACTGCTAAAAATTGTATTTTAAGTCTGCTTATTGATCTATTGATTCATAAAGACCTGAAATGATGCATTCAAATAAGACCACCTCCTAAATGAAAACACTACACATAAAGTGGTGAAAAACAACGAACTAAAGTTGAAAGATCGCAACGTTCGCTACTTTGTTCAATTCCGGAAGTCTCCAAGGGGCTGCAGAAGAAGAAGAAATGGGAATTTTTTACGATTTAGATTTTATAACCTCAGAATACTGCCTTCATTGTCGTGTTTGACTGAGTTCAACAATGTAACCTTGCAGGAGGGATGACATAGAACAAGCTGCTAAGTAGACACACGGTAACATTTCATTATTTCGTTATTTTCACCATATGAACTTCTACCGAGAATTTGTGTTCAGATTCTAGACTATATTGCAAGGCCTGTCATGACCATGGTAATGTTAAAGCCTGACTCTTGAATGAGATAAGAATTATAGTTTGTGTAAATGAATTATGAGTTAAAGTAGTAGTAGTAGTAGTAGTCTAGATTTACATATTTAAGGTAGATAAACATTGAAATTTTTCATTACAGTATTCTCATGCTTCTAAATGTCACTTAATATAACCATTGTCACGGTCATATTGTGCTTTAACATTACCACAGTCATCACAGGCCTTGCAATCATTGTCACGGTCATATCAGGCTTTAACATTACCATGGTCATGACAGGCCTTGCAATATAGTATAGCATTGTCACAGTCATATCAGGCTTTAACATTACCACGGTCATGACAGCTCATGCAATATAATATAGCATTGTCACGGTTATACCAGGCTATCACAATAACACTACAATGGTCATGGCAGGATCCTTGCGAAACTTAAAAACACTTAATAACATGGTGACGGTTGTGCCAGGCATAAGTCTTGCAACAGATAGGGTCTCCATTATTCTCTTCAACAGAGTCCCTACATCCAGCGGCATTTTGGTCCCCAGCTGTAAGAAGGCCTTCTAACAACTGGGGACCAAAACGCTGCTAGAACGAGGGACTCTTTACAATAAAGTAATGCACCGACAGAAAGACAATTTTGTTTTGCTTTAAATGGTGTAGGTTTGAAAAAAAACCTAGTTAGTACCGCGTGGATATAGGTAAATGAAGCAAAAAGTAACAGTTTACTATTGACTGACAGTAAGATACTCCAAAAAATGAGTTCCAATTTGGATGTCTGATCAATGCAACAGAAACCCCTTGTCTTATATATTCTTCAATGTAGTGACTTCCTTCTTTCGTGAATTAGTGCAGTTATGAAATTCACAACCGAAAACTGTTTTTGTCAGATACATCCATATAACCAAACTCTAACCTACGAGTGTCCATTGAAGTCAAGTTATACGTCAAGACCTGATCAAACTGCTCTAGAATTCCTATTTTCAGTGAAAAATATGATCAAATTTACTAGGTTACCCGAACCTGTTCAGTTCCGCATTATTTGGGTACTGTATCAGAACTCAGAACACTGTTAGTGATCATATATTTAGCTTAAATTAACTCATAAAACCCTGCCTTGGTTGCTCAACCACTTGGTTACCTTCGCAACATATTAATAAATTCACAGGCATAACTTTACATTCTAAATGTAAGTTGTGATGAAGGTAGATTGATGTTGACGATAGATGCTTGAATGTTGTTATAAGACTTTATTTATTTAAATAAATTGTGCCAGATTTTTGTTCCCACTTGATATTTTTGATTTCGTTTTTCAAACTGGAAGTTCAGAACTGGAATTGACCCAAATAAAATTATTTTTTAAGTTTTTATGAAATGCATAGTGCCTATTTAATCTTTAAAATCACCATATCCATTTCACTGTTTTGCAGGTGCTGGAGCTGAGGAGTTACTTGAAGGGACTCGGGGCTGAGATTTCAGAGGAGAGCTCAGCAGCAGGTTACATTACAGATATAGTACAGCTTGTTAGCGCATCTGAGAAATGCTTCACAGAGGCTAGTAATGACACAGGTAGGGACGTTATTTTTGTTTAGTCAATTTTAGACTGTTTCCTCTACAATTCCTTTGAAACAAATGTCATAAAGAATTCTCTTACCTAGTATAGTAGGCCATGTCCCTAACCCAACCAATATATTGAGAATTTTTAATTTCAGCGGAGACCTTATTTTGAAAAATCTCATATCTTTTCAGTGCTGTACCTACACAAATTTTGATAAAGTCACTTCATTGAGGAATATTCTCTCGGTGAAATAATATTTTACTTTTGATGTGAGACTCCGGGACATTGCTTTGAGGATTGTGACGAAGTTTGAAAATTCACATTTCTTAATAGTGTTCTTGTTTTCAGATATTGAGAGTGTGTTCAATAGTATAATCTCATTGATCCTGATTGTTCCGTCAGACAACAGCGAGGACCTCATTATCTCTTTATGTGAAAAACTAGCAAAGATTCCACCAGGTGATAAGCAAAGGGGACCTATCAGAACACGCCTGTAAGTAAAACATTCTGCTCTCTCTCGTTACACCATATAAGGTATGCTGAACAGATCTATGTTATCATTGCAATGTTGCTTTAGCTATGTTGTTATAGGATTGATCCCAATATTTTTTCTATACATGTCACAGGATTTTTTTCTCAAGTGGGTGCAAAATTCTCATTTTCACAATTAAGACCAAAATTGGTCAAAATATCACAATCTTTTAGAATTTTTCTCATTTTCAAGTGGGTGCCAATGGATTTTCAGGTGGGTGTTAGCCTGTTTTCATAATCTCAGGTGGGTGCTGCACCCACTTGCTTTAATGCTGGGGAGATCACTGCATGTACATCCCAGTTTTATTTATTTTGGTCAAAATATTTCAATATTTCATCATTTCGATAGGGGTCAAACATATTTTCAGTGATATGCATGTAATTGTCAAATTTTGAAAATGTCTCTCTCATTTGCTCTAATGCTGGGGAGGTTGGGAGATCATTGCCTGGGATGAAATCAGATACTTAATTGTTGTTAAAACCCAAAAATATGAATTGCTGTAATATAAAATACAATGCGTAAACTGAAATAAAACATAGACAAACAAAAATAATTGACTAAATTGAATGTTATGACCAATAATACTAATATTATGAAATAAACAATAAATTACAGATTACAGAACCTGTTTAATGGACTAGATGAGAGGTCACCAGGGAGATATGTTGTCTATTACAGTCTTGTGAAATTAGCAGGTCAAACCAAACAGATAGAGGCAATACCACATGATCTAACACAGGTAGGGATGCACTAAATTACAAATGAATAGTCTTAAACAAATACTGGATGACCATGAGGTGGATATGCCAGAATACCTAGGAACAAAATACAAGGCGAGGCGAATGCAGCTCCCTTGGTTAATATCATATTCCTACCATTAATTTACTGTAGATAAATAAAAGATGGTGTTAAATTGTCAAGAAATACTTTATTTTAAAGAATGGGTCTACTAAAACAGAAGCCGAGCCTGGTATTTTTTTTCGAGGATAGGTATTCTGGCATACCGGATGGATAAACTGGACAGAACTGGATACTGGATAGAACGAGATCTTGCTGCCATGTATGGCAATAGACTCTACAGCTCTTAACCAATCAGATTTGAGTATTTTAATGAGGTGCATAATAACATAAAATACTAGGTTGAACAATAGAGAACATTGGTTTTCAACTTGTTTATGATATGTCAAAATGCCAAGATTTTTTCTGGTGGGCAGATTGGCACGCGCCACAATAATTGGCAGATTGGCACGCGCCACAATAATTGTGTTAATAGTATTCCAGGAAAACCGCTTATCCACTTAACTATTTCAGATTTGTTCATTTATTATTTCAGATCAAGAAATGGGTGGCTCAATGGGACGTCTCTACTGAAAAAGTTCAACAGCTTCTAAGAGCTCTTCATGATGCCTTCGTTGAATGCAAACAAACGTACGTCTTTATTTATTTGTTTCACAATTTCTGGAATTCTATTTTTATACATCTCCCAGAATAACCCTAGCAATATTGGTGGATTCATTAAGAAAAATATTTAGGGATGTTCAAACAGTGTCTTCAAAATACACAGGTGAAATATGCAATTGACAAATTGTGGTTCTTGTTAAAACTCATCTCAAAACTTACTGGAAGTGAACGGCATTATCCGAAGATATTAGTTAATCACAGAATAGACTGCAGTAAAATTAAGAAAATCAGTTCATAGATAAAAAAAAATTAAAATAATGAATTGCTATGGCAATATAACTTGGGATGAAGTTATATCGCCACAGCAATTAATTATTTTTTGATGTTGTTAAGGTTCAATGATGTAATAAGTAGATTTAGCTGTATTTTTTAACTGTTTCAATTTAAATTTATTGATCATGGATGCAGATTGCAATGTAATACAGTCTGTGACAATGAACACTAATAAATGGAATTAATATTACCAGACTATGAACTGAATATAAATGTCATATTGTTTTTCAAGAGTTAACTGATTGTATGTTTCAGTGATAAGGGGACGAAGACTATGATAGAGTTACTAGGTACATACACAGAAGATAATGCTTCACAGGCAAGAGATGATGCACAAAGGTATGCAGTGCCCTTTTTTGATTATAATTTATGGATCACATTTAGTGTATAGTTGCTTATGGGAGGTAAAAGGTGAAAAGCTTAATCTGAGTAGATTGTAAACCTGTTAAAAGGGAACGTAACAGTACAGATAAATAGTTGAAAAACCAAACGCTTCAGACTTGTCTCACATTATGTGATAGTATGATTTGAGTATACGAGGTGAAAATGTATTTATATTATGTGCATGTGTCTATCAAGGAGGATTGGCACATGCCTCAAATCTTGTCATCAAAATTCCAGGTAAACTTCTTACCTGTTCAATTTGAGTTGTCAAGATCTGATTAGGTTTTTGGCATGCTGGGTAAATTACTTGGTGGCCATTTTCGGATAAAAAAGTATAATATTTACCACTGTGTGTCTTTTCTCTTATACAAGAGACAACATTTGCCATGTCTCATTTTACATGTACACATGTTTAGGTAAATTGTTCAATATTTATTAAGAACAGTTTCTCACTTACATTAATAATATTATTTATATTTCTTGCAGATGTATAGTGACATCACTGAGAGATCCAACCACCTTCCTACTAGACCATCTACTCACATTGAAGCCTGTTAAATTCTTAGAGGGAGAACTCATACACAATGTAAGTAACTATGTGTCGACTGGAATACAAATCGCAATTTGGGTATGGAGTTTTCGCAAAATTGTGAAATAAACTGTATTTTCAACAAAAAAGATTGTGATACAACTGGAATTCAAAAAATGAGCAGTTTTGGAATTTCTTTGATTTGAAAACAATTTGTCAAAATGATATGCTGTTGTCATAGTAGACTTCGCTTGTAGCTAATTTATAGCTAATTTTAATGTATGCACTCTGTATTCAGTCGGTTCAATATTGAACTCTTCTATATTCAATGATATTATTTGTATATTCAGTTGCAACTACCCCGTACACGTCTACTTGTATATTCAATTGCACTACTTTTATATTCATTTGTTTGTATATTTCAGCTTCTAACAATATTTGTGTCTGGGAAAGTGAGCGACTACCTCCAGTTTTACCAGACAAACACAGATACAGTCAACTCATTAGGTATGTATCTACCATAGCTTTCTAGATGTTTCACCCCTTCCAAGTTTCACCCCTTGGAAATTTCACCCCAATTCATTTAATTTAAGTCAACTTTGAAAACGCCATATTTTCAACTTTAAACATTGAAAAACACCATATTTTCAATTTTGATATGTTCAACTTTAATCGTTGAAAACCCTCCAAAGGTCATTAAAAATGCCATATTACTTAAACCCATTTTCTTTGCCATTTAAAACTATGTCGGCCTATTGTTATTGCTAGGTTTACGTCATGAAGACAATCTAAAGAAGATGCAGATCCTAACCTTTATGCAGATGGCAGAGCAAAACAAGGAGATTGACTTCGCCACCATTGAGCAGGAGATGAGACTAGGCCCAGATGATGTCGAAAGCTTTATCATTGAAGGTATGTGAAGTATGCTCAAAATGTCTTGTTTGACCATTCACATATGAGAGATGTATATACTAAGCATTAGAATGACATCCAGGTTTTATAATGCAGTATACTGTTTTGTTTTAAATCAAAAATTTGTTATATTTCTTCATAGTTAATCTTTCATTTAATTATTGCCTATATGTATGTGAAACATTCCTGCCTTGCTCAAATATTTTGAATTTAATTTTGCATAAGACATGAATTTGAATTTTTGATCCTTACATAAACCTGTCTATTTTCAGTTGTAAGGACTAAGGCTGTCAGAGTAAGGATGGACCAGGTAAACAAAAAAGTGATCGTCATGTCAACCACACATCGTACATTCAACAAATCTCAATGGAGCCAATTGCGTACCCAGCTGGCAGAATGGCAGACCAGTTTGCATAAAGTGAAAAACAGTCTACAAACTATAACACCTCAATAATCTATTTATTCAGACTCTAATAATGAATTTCATAGGTTTCTATAGTAACACACTGTCGTTAAGGTAATGATATCAAAGATGGCCCCTGATCAGATGTTGAATAATTCTGGAATATTTATTCATTTCTATTTCCTCTTTACTCAACAAAAAACATAATTGAAAGTTTTTCATATGATGTCAACACAATTCTTTACGGGAGAGAAGATGATGGATTCAAAAGTGTGATGTATCTTTTTCTGAAAAATAAGAAAATTAATGTCATGTACATGTACATTGCCAACAAAAAAAAATAAATAAAAAATGTAACTTTTAATTAGTCTTATGTGTTGTGGATTCAATATCTTATTAAGGTTTGGGTTAATTATCCCATCGTTTGGAGGGATATAGGGAACGCCTCCATCCGTCCGGGCAATAACTCAAATACCGTTGGCCTGATTTTGTTCATATTTTGCACACATAACCCTATGGGGGTATAAGTTCTGCTCGAAAGTTGATTTTCAAAATGGTCGCTCATTTAAAAATGGTATATGAATACTACAAGCATGGCACACTGTCTAATGACACTTTTGGTAGAAGGTGGCCATTTCGAAAAATGGCCGCCATTTTTGTTATACACTTTATGTGTTAATATGCCAGCCATGGCCGTTCGGTGGGATTTGCTACGCTTTGGCGTTGCTGTTGTCTAGTTATAGTTTATTTAATCCTTCATCAACTCTATTTGAGGATCTATCAGAGCTAGTTTAACTCAGGTAGCATTTGCGAATTAAAATGACGGCTGGCGGATTGATCGTTATTTCTATGGCCAACTCATTTAAACCTGCTACTTCATATTTAAATGAGTTCTACGTAAGATAGTGGTAAATCGTCAGCCGGCAGTTGAATTCGCGAATTTATTTAAGGAGTAATTATATTTATATCACGTCTGGCATTGCTGTTCATGTGGTTGACCTCAACTGGGATATGATTTGAAATCCATGTTAAAAGACTTATTAACATTTATTTGGGTTCCCTTTTTGGCTCACCCTGTATATATGTATGTTTCCAGGGTGAAACTGGCTAGAAATAAAGCATTGATAACTTTGAAAGTTGAAACATGCGTTTTTCGATATTATGAATTACTCGCTGACAAGACATCGTCGATAGGAAAAAATAGAAAAGGAAAATACAGGTCACCAGGCCATTTTTAAACAGACAATAACTTTTTTTATCGTACCTAACAAGAGTTACGATATTGTAGTCAGCTTGACGGTCGGCGTGTGGGCGGCGTCTCACTTTTCAGCTTGTCTACAGGTTTCCAGCCAAACCGTTTGACAGATCCATCTGAAATTTTCAGGAATGTTTCTACGTATCAAAGTTAACAACTGATTAGTTTTTGGGCATTCTGGGTAAATTTTAAGGTGGCCATTTTGGATTTTCCGTCCTAAAATCTTCACTTTCAAGACTTGTCTACAGGTTTCCAGCCAAACCATTTGACGGATTCATTTGAAATTTACAGGGATGTTTCTACGTATCAAAGTTAACAACTGATTAGTTTTTGGGCATTCTGGGTAAATTTTAAGGTGGCCATTTTAGATTTTCCGTCCTAAAATCTTCACTTTCAAGACTTGTCTACAGGTTTCCAGCCAAACCATTTGACGGATTCATTTGAAATTTACAGGGATGTTTCTACGTATCAAAGTTAACAACTGATTAGTTTTTGGGCATTCTGGGTAAATTTTAAGGTGGCCATTTTGGATTTTCCGTCCTAAAATCTTCACTTTCAAGACTTGTCTACAGGTTTCCAGCCAAACCATTTGACGGATTCATTTGAAATTTACAGGGATGTTTCTACGTATCAAAGTTAACAACTGATTAGTTTTTGGGCATTCTGGGTAAATTTTAAGGTGGCCATTTTGGATTTTCCGTCCTAAAATCTTCACTTTCAAGACTTGTCTACAGGTTTCCAGCCAAACCATTTGACGGATTCATCTGAAATTTCAGGGATGTTTCTACATATCAAAGTTAAGAACTGATTAGTGTTTGGGCATTCTGGGTAAATTTTAAGGTGGCCATTTTGGATTTTCCGTCCTAAAATCTTCACTTTCAAGACTTGTCTACAGGTTTCCAGCCAAACCATTTGACGGATTCATCTGAAATTTCAGGGATGTTTCTACATATCAAAGTTAAGAACTGATTAGTTTTTGGGCATTCTGGGTAAATTTTAAGGTGGCCATTTTGGATTTTTCGTCCTAAAATCTTCACTTTCAAGACTTGTCTACAGGTTTCCAGCCAAACCATTTGACGGATTCATTTGAAATTTACAGGGATGTTTCTACGTATCAAAGTTAACAACTGATTAGTTTTTGGGCATTCTGGGTTAATTTTAAGGTGGCCATTTTGGATTTTCCGTCCTAAAATCTTCACTTTCAAGACTTGTCTACAGGTTTCCAGCCAAACCATTTGACGGATTCATCTGAAATTTCAGGGATGTTTCTACATATCAAAGTTAAGAACTGATTAGTTTTTGGGCATTCTGGGTAAATTTTAAGGTGGCCATTTTGGATTTTCCGTCCCAAATTCTTCACTGTCACACTGCTGTGTTTTAGGTACGATATTGTTCACGTCTGTGCCTTGTTTCATTATGATTTCGCATTCTCCAATCGCTGTGTCTTCACCCTTAAATTCAGTTCATATTGATTAAGCACAAATTAAAACAAACTTTGGATCACTTTTTACAAATCAATCGGCTCCATTTTCATAATTTGAGTCATTGGCGAACTATAGCCAATTACACATTTGCAAGCGCCTTGTCGTTGTTTTTACATTTTAGAGTATGTTACCCTGGCACCATTTCTAATAGTTTTTACTCCTACCGTTATTCGACTTCAAATTTTTCCGATGTAAGAATGAGGTCAATTAGTTCTTGAATTATTCAACAAGGCACGTTGATGTAAGATAGTTTATCATTTTAATGCATTATACATTTGATTCATACCATATGGGGGTTTGATAACATTTAAAAAATTGTATTAACCATGCTTTATCAATACTGGAATCAATTTTTAATGTGATCTAGGCAACGTTTTACAGTTTAATAATCCAGACCTACCACTTCCCTTTTGAATGTATTAAAACGCGTATCCAAGAAGTTCATCCATTTTGTTACATTGGCGTTTCGTCAAAGCATGGGTTTTCAATGAGATAGTTGAAAAGCCATGGTCAAAGAAACCAGTTGTGGAACAGTTATATGGACAAGCGGATAATTCACCTCATAATGAAAGTTTCCACAGTAGTCGCACTAAATGGTGGTAATTGGAAACACCAATAGGATTACCATAAAGAGCTTAACGTGTACATACAGTTAAAGTTTAAAAAAAAAAGCGGACATGATATTAATATATTTGATATCAAAAGCATCAACAGTCAAATGATAAATGAAATGCCCGTATTTTATTTACTCATATACAAAAACGTTTTACACTTAAATTATTCAAAGTCTTATCTACATCTAGGGAGCTTGCATATTCCTATGTTATTAATATTCCTATATCATTAAAAAGAAACAATTGACTCCAGAACGACTTGGCCAGACTACAGATTGAGTATACACATTTTCAGAGAAAATTTTGAGGTTAGTTGAATTTCTATTTTCATTTATCTATTTGTTTACTTTATTATATACCCCATATGTATTCTAGATGCTCATTGGCTTATTCGTGGTCACATGATATGAAATAGATGAACTAAATCCCTGCAAAGTCCTAAATCCCTAGTAACGGGGAAGATAAAATGCACTTATCACCAGTTAGGTCATGTGACCAGTCATTAGTACATTTTATCTTCCCTGCTAGCTTTGATTTATAGGAGTCAAATGGCAAAATGTCTTTAAATGCCAATAAAAACCTGTAAGCATTAAATGTTGAAATTAAGACTTCTGATTTTTGTTTTTTGTTTACAGAGTGCATATGGGGTTTACATAAAACAAATAGTGACAGCCACATTTTCGGGAATTAGTGTAAAAGGTTCCCCTCGGGAATATCTTGTGAACATGTGAGTGGACAGAGCATTCCCTTGGGAAAAATATTTTGCACTATTTCCCTCAATGGCAGTCACTATTTGTATAATAATTGACAAACACTGAATAACAAGGTGGACACTCGATACCAATAATAGGGTATATCAGTACATACAGGGTGGGCCAAAAAACAAAACTTTTGCATCTTCAAAAGAGGTTCATTTATACAGGTCTAGTGCAAAATTCACCAATAATACTTCTATCTTTTTAATTGATTAGCTATTGTGTATTGCTCTTAAATACATTTTTGATGATTCAGCATAATGGGTGGGGTCGAGTTGACTAAGGGTTGAGATGACCAAGGGTTGAGATGACTCGGGGTCGAGTTGACTAAGGGTCGAGATGACTTGGGGTTGACTTGAATAGGGGTTGACTTGACTTGGGGTTGAGTTGACTAAGGGTTAAGTTGACTTGGGGTTGAGTTGACCAGGAAGCGTATTATATACCATTTTAAAGATTAATCATTCCCTAACAATGTGACACATGGCATGGTTTAACATATATCATATGAATCATTCATCTTTAAACTTGGGTATTGTCTTTTTGGCCCACCCTGTATATCAAAAGTGTTCATTAAGAATGAATTGTGATATAAAAATATACTTGCAAATATCAATGTTTTATTCAGCTTTCATTTTTAGCGTTAAAGATGAGTGAACTGACTGCGCAATAGACATTGAACTTATACCTTGATATACCTTGTACCAAATAATATCAGCATTTTTGGAATGTAAACATAGGATTCAAATTATTCTTTGAGGTCAATACGATATCAATTGAATAATCTGAGGATCTAAAAATGTTAGCTCAAATGAGAACACAAAATACGTATTTACCATATCCACAAGGACATAATAAGTATACCCTCCCCCATTTATGAAAAATCGCAATGTTTTAAGGTCACATCATTGCAAAGGTCTTTAGTAATAACTACAGGGTGACTCAAAAAATGACACCCACTTTACGTTGCCTAACTTGTTTGTCTATGAACATATTAGACGAGTAGGGATTTGCAAAAAATAAAATAAAAAAGGATCGACTGACCCTGTTGGGTTTCTTGGTATTTTTGGAAAGCTGTGCATCACCACTACATCTTCTACTAATGAGAAGTTCTGAAAATGGTCCCGTTGCCATGGAAACGGACGCTGAATAAAATACCTGCTATTCACAGTATGAACATATTATAGACTTGTCCTTTGGAACATCTGAAGTTGACATAATGTGGAAGCACCTTAACACAGATGTGTACCTCAAGTGGGTAAAATTTTACAATATATATAACGCTCATAAAATTTGACCAACTTGAGCTACATACATGTATCTGAAATTTCTGTAGGTGCTCTCGCAGTACGTTTACTTTAGTTGTGCCAAAGGACAAGTCTATGTGGTAACGGGTAAACAAGTTATGCAACGTAAGGTGGGTGTCATTTTTTGTGTCATCCTGTACATTAATTCATTACAAATCTTGATATGATGACGATAAAAATTATGCCTGGTACACATGACAGAGATTATAGCCCAATCAATCAATTTGTTAAAGTAGTAGCAAACGATGACAACTTTTTCAGAAGAAATGTTAATTATACAATTTAGTGAAGTCAATTTTTACTCCCATGGGGCAAGGGTAAGTTCTTTTCCTGGCAAAACACACAAAAGCATCAAATGTTTGAAAATCAAAATATTCAAATATGAGGATATCGGCCATCACTTTTTTAACGGTTTATTTGTTTGCACTAAAAATGATATAACCTGTAGTGAAATTCAATTTGCAGTTTATGGAACTATATTTTTCTATGCAATAGGTACCTAGAAACGGATCGACTAATTTAATAGCTATACTGATTATGAATGCTAATAATTTGACCGATAACCATTTATTGCAGGTATAATGTTTGTGAAAGCGGCATTACTTTTTGCTGTGATTAACGTGGTATGCTGCATTACAGTACGGGAAATGCAGGTAGACATGTATTCTTAAATGAATATTATTATATACAGGGTGGGCAAAAAACACCATTTCAAAAAATGCAAACTTTTTTATACCCAACCTACTAGTACATATTCTAAATCTTGCAGTTATATAGTGCTAGTGGTAGTAATAAAAATGCACGGACGTCAAGTAAGTTTCTGGCGAAAGCTGGAGCATAGATTATAAGGACTGGAAACAAGATGGCAGTCTATTTCAATTCTGCCAACTCGTGTTGGCCTATTTATCACTATTGACTCAGTTGTTCATCTAGTTTTACCTACCTTAGATGCTTATAGTAATCTATTTAGTATAATATTGTTTCTAAAATTATTGTCATTTGCGATAATTAGTACTAAAAGTACTTTGAACACGTCAGCTGCCATTTGCTTGGCCCAATCGTACCAGTCCACAAAAACAGTGAAATCATATTAAAAATACCAATAAAACTTTAAAATTGAGGCAGATGCGATACAAAGAGACTCTATTAATGCAGATATATAGTTTACAGTCACCAAGATGAGCTAATTTCAGGCGAGATTCGGGAAATAGAATTAAATATAATACGAGAAGTGAGATCTTCTATGCTTGATGTATATAGATACTGACATAGTATCATTTCTGACATTATTACACTTTGACTTTAATTAGCTCTAGAGCTTTCAATTTTAGGCTCGGTTACAAATCTAAAAAAAAAACTGGGAAAAGTGGGGGTACAGTCGCCCCCAACACCCTCCCCCTTCCGATGCCAATGTGTACACTAACATTTTATATTTGTAGTGTCCTGCTAATCGGGTACTTTCAGCAGTGCAGAGTGTAATGGCGACGGGTCTAACTGCGGGAAAAGTGAACATATATATGTGCTGCCCAACTGGCTACGGTAAGCATACAAACATGTTACCGGGCACTATTTTTCTGGAAATGGACTACAAACACGTCACGGTACTATTTTTCTAGAAATATTTTCTGAAGCATTATGTCACATTGCATTCTTCATCTTTACACCTAAAAAGGATTCATTCTTTAGGACCATGGGAATATTTGCCCACAATTGCTCCTGGTCCTTTCTGCGGTTTTGTGATATAGTAGACAATAGGATTGTGAGACACTTTACAGTTATAACTTTCATTTGGCACTCATATACTATAATTCACTAAAAAGATGAAATGTGTATTCTTGGACTTGTGCTAAGTTAATTAGTAAAATATGTAAAAGGGAGTAGCAATATGTCAAAGTAGTTCCAAAAAGTAAACATTATCGGAACTGTGTTGATTGTGACATACATTGTTTTTACAGCGGCACTTTACATCGACGGCGCGGGTGGTTTTTGCTGCCCAGCTGGATCAGGTGCCCGTTGCTTGAGTAAGTTTCTTTGCAACAAATCAAGAAATTTATATTTGCCCTTCATTAACCCAAATGCGGGCAGGATATTCTCTGATTGAAATGGTAGATGGTATAGTTACAGATAAAAGACAATGTTTGGAGAAAAATCGAGGTGATCGGGGGGGGGGTTAAAGTACAAAGTGAATGAGTCAGGGGTCCATTTTTCAAAACTCCGTAAAGTTACGGGTCCTTAAGTCCATCGTTCTTTCTCAAACTTATGGAGATTGTGCATTTCTCAAAAATCGTAGATTTAGGAGATTTTGTAGGATTTGATACAATTTGAAACTCCACATTTTTCTCGTAATTTTTTCAATTCTATGGAATTTGTAACTTTACGGGTCTATAATTTTAGGGAGACACAAGGGACAAATCTTGGTATATGAGGATGACATTTTTTATATTTCTTTCTTTTTCAGGTCGAAGGTGTAATTGTTTTGATGGTGAAATTAAAAGCCCATCGGCTCCGGTTGTGGTAAAACATGATGTTTAGCACACTTAACAACAATACGAATTTGAGGAACAATGCCACGCTGCCACTTTTAGAAATAAAATAAAGGAGTGATGTCGATATGGTGAACTTTTTGAACACACGTTTCTCTTCAACCATTCATCAAAGAATTCTGAAAATTTTACACATCGTCAATTTATGGTCATCTTTTGAATGGTAATAATATGATTTGAAAAAATATAATATATATACTTTTCTCTATATTGTTTTAGAAAACAAATCAACCACTTCTTTTGTTCTTGGTATCATATATCTATCCGAACCTCATTGGAACAAAACGACATAAACACAACGTGTTTAGGTCTCTTAATATTGTAATTGTACAAAGGAAAGTTTGGTTGATTTTAAAAAAGTATCTTGTTAATGAAATAAAAGGTTTATCTTAATTTTTATCTAATTTCAATTTTTATTTTAATTGTATAACTGTAATATTGAGAGGTCTAAGAAAATGTTGTATATTCTATTTTGTTCCAACAAGGTTCGGAAAGACATTTTATTTCATTCTCAAGAATTGGTAGAAATGAACAAAAAACAATTGCAATAAAAAAACAAACAAGGCATTAACATGACAAAATGTCACCACCTAAAGGTCAATTTGAAGCAAGTTGAAAACAGACCTTTTTGACCTTTTTTGACCTTGAGAAGGTCATTAAAGGTGAAATGTCAAATCTAGAGTCAGATTTGAATTTCTGAGAACATGTAGATGATTTTGAAAAAAAAAAAATTAGTCAATTTGAAGCAGGTTGAAAAAAGACCTTTTTGACCTTGAGAAGGTCATTGAAGGTAAAATGTCAAATCTAAAGTCATATTTGAATTTCTGAGAACATGTAGATGATTTTGAAAAAAAATTTTAGTCAATTTGAAGCAAGATGAAAAAATACCTTTTTGACCTTTTTTGACATTGAGAAGGTCATTGAAGGTCAAATGTCAAATCTTAAGTCAGATTTGAATTTCTGAGAACATGTAGATGATTTTGAAAAAAAAATTTAGTCAATTTGAAGCAAGTTGAAAAAAGACCTTTTTGACCTTTTTTGACTTTGAGAAGGTCATTGAAGGTCAAATGTCAAATCTTAAGTCAAATCTAAAGTCAGATTTGAATTTCTGAGAACACGTAGATGATTTTGAAAAAAAAATTTAGTCAATTTGAAGCAAGTTGAAAACAGACCTTTTTGACCTTTTTTGACCTTGAGAAGGTCATTGAAGGTCAAATGTCAAATCTTAAGTCAAATCTTAAGTCAGATTTGAATTTCTGAGAACACGTAGATGATTTTGAAAAAAAAATTTAGTCAATTTGAAGCAAGTTGAAAACAGACCTTTTTTGACCTTGAGAAGGTCATTGAAGGTCAAATGTCAAATCTAAAGTCAGATTTGAAGGTCAAATGTCAAATCTAAAGTCAAATCTAAAGTCAGATTTGAATTTCTGAGAACATGTAGATGATTTTGAAAAAAATTTAGTCAATGTGAAGCAAGTTGAAAAAAGACCTTTTTGACCTTGAGAAGGTCATTGAAGGTCAAATGTCAAATCTAAAGTCAGATTTGAACTTCTGAGAACATGTAGATGATTTAGAAAAAAATTGAAGTCAGTCTAAACAGTATTTGTAAAGTTATAGGAAGTTGTAAGAAATTGTTACAGACGCCGGACGCCAACCTCCAACCACCAACCACCAACCGCCGTCACAAAAAAAACGGAGACCATAACAATATGTCACCACTTTTGGTGGTGACATAAAAATGTTAACAAAAACAGTTATATAAAATATACCCTTCTAAGATATGAGATCTATTAAAAAAGGCGCTTCATCAGCAACATGCAAGTCAATGTTTTTGCAATAAAATGGAAACACACAAGTCGACGGGCACTCTTGTGTGCACAAAAGTGGGAATAAATTGCACCCATTTCGAAGAAGGTCTCCAACATTGCATTGCAATGGTGCTACATTTGTTACCATATAGCTAACCATTATAAAGTGTCACCACAACAAAAGATATTTTAAACATGGAACTTTATTTTCCCTTAGATAAAATAAAAATCATGAAACATTATATAATTCAATGAGTTGTACCATAACCTAAAACAAAATTACCAAAGCATCTTTGCTTGCTCTTAAATATAAAAATAAAGCTAATTACAAAAACATTTAATTAGCATCCATTGTACTTTCACGTGTTATCTGCATATTAAGATTTCGGGAATACGCTGAATTTAGACTCTGCAATGAGTTATCCTTTGCTTGTCTCAACGCCACCATTTTTACAAATTTAAACATTTTTTAAGTCCTATCTTCTGGTATAAAATTTACACTTGCTGTAGTACCTCTCTTCTTGTGTTCAGATTCACTATCAATTCCTGGAGTTTCCATCTTTTCTATTGCATTAATGCTTTCTTATATGTTGCTAAAGCGCCCATTGAAACCGCTGTAAAATGGATGTATCCACTGGTGAGAATGTCTGTGGTCTACATTTTATACAGTCAATCATTTCTTGCCTTTCCCTCTTGGTCCCCGAGGTTGACCTATATCCTTTCCTCGTAGCTTGACTCCTGAAACATAAAGTTAATTCACTTTATGTACAGTAAAACCCCATGCCACTGACGTGAAGTGTTCTAAATAGCAGGTGTTGATGTTTTGAAGTTTTTTAACATTTTGAGGTTTTTAACATGGAAGACTGGAAGATTGAAACAAGGTATTATATGTATAATGTCGAACACCAACCACAAATCCACAAAAAAGTTGGAAACTATAACAATTTGTCACCACTTATGATGGTCACATAAAAAGGGACTAAAAGGCATTCACATCAAGAGGTGTTCAAATATGCAGTATTTGAGAGGTGTTTAAATATGCAGTATTTGAGAGGTGTTCAAATATGCAGTATTTGAAAGGTGTTCAAATATGCAGTATTTGAAAGGTGTTCAAATATGCAGTATTTGAGAGGTGTTCAAATATGCAGTATTTGAGAGGTGTTCAAATATGCAGTATTTGAAAGGTGTTCAAATATGCAGTATTTGAAAGGTGTTCAAATATGCAGTATTTGAAAGGTGTTCAAATATGCAGTATTTGAAAGGTGTTCAAATATGCAGTATTTGAGAGGTGTTCAAATATGCAGTATTTGAGAGGTGTTCAAATATGCAGTATTTGAAAGGTGTTCAAATAAGCAGTATTTGAGAGGTGTTCAAATATGCAGCATTTGAGAGGTGTTCAAATATGTAGCATTTGTAAGGTGTTCAAATATGCAGTATTTGAGAGGTGTTCAAATATTCAGCATTTGAGAGGTGCTCAAATATGCACTATTTGAGAGGTGTTCAAATATGCAGCATTTGTAAGGTGTTCAAATATTCAGTATTTGAGAGGTGTTCAAATATGCAGTATTTGAGAGGTGTTCAAATATGCAGTATTTGAGAGGTGTTCAAATATGCAGCATTTGTAAGGTGTTCAAATATGCAGCATTTGAGAGGTGTTCAAATATTCAGCATATGAGAGGTGTTCAAATATGCAGCATTTGAGAGGTGTTCAAATATGCAGCATTTGAGAGGTGTTCAAATATGCTGCATTTGTAAGGTGTTCAAATATGCAGTATTTGAGAGGTGTTCAAATATGCAGTATTTGAGAGGTGTTCAAATATGCAGTATTTGAGAGGTGTTCAAATATGCAGTATTTGAGAGGTGTTCAGAACATTGCACATGTATGTCTAAAATAGGGAAATACTACTGAACAAGTCAGTCTGACCAGATATTAGCCGGAAAACAAGACAGTCCTCTAAGGGGCATGACCCTTGAAGTCATCTGGAGGCCCAGGCTAAAAGTGCTCATATTCAGAAGGTCTAGGACAGATCAAAAGTTGGACTAAGAAGCATCCACATTGAGGGGTGTTTCGATAAGAGGACTGTTTAGATTTTTTTTTGTAAAAACTATATTTCAAGAATAAACATATATACAATTATACACAGGCCTAATTACATTGTTTAATTTCTGTACAGTTTTTCTTTTTCAAAATAAGCATGTATACTTCTGTTTAGATATATTATACATGGTTGACTGTAGTTGGATCAAGTTATATGCCTGATATTTTCAATTATTGGTTCATACTTACCAAGAGCGTTCTCCAGTTTTCCAAGCACCTGTTGGTTTGGTATGGCCCTTCCAGCCTCATAGTCATTCACAACTTGTGGCTTCTCGTTTATTTTCTGCAATATAATTTACACATGTAGTATTATTGGTTTGGTATGGCCCTTTCTGACTCATAGTCATTGACAACTTGTGGCTTCTCGTTTATTTTCTGCAATATAATTTACACTTCATATTCATGTAGTTTTTATTAGAGATGTGGAATGGGCAAAGACAGTGATATTGATATCAATGAGGTAACTTGGCGGATCTTGATTATATAGTTTAAACATGTAGATGATGTAGTATTCAATGGAGTTGGATGCACAGACAGTGCAATTGATTGGACAAGGAGGATTGGCTCTCAGGATCGAAACTCAATATTTTCCAACAATGAAAACGTTAAAATGTCTTTATTTTAGGAAATCATAACTGACTATAAATTCAAAATAAACATCTCGATCATTTCTTGTGAGTTTTGGAATTTTTCATTTGGAAATAAGAGAAAAATTTACGATTCTAATGTTGAAGTGTTGTTTTTAGGGATTTTCAACGTATCCATATTAAATTTTTGATTTCCATTAATTTTGCCTGTTGTTTCCATCCATTAGGCCCGTTGTGAGAAATTCTAGTGAAACCCCTGAAATGTGTCAATAAATTACCTCCTTTAGCCCAAATTTGCCTCGCCATTTAATTTTGCCTCACACAATTTTACATCCTGGCAATGCACATCATTCTGCGCTCCAAGGAAATACACTAACCTTCCTCTTAATATATACACGTAAACTTAAACTATACACGTAAACTGGTTTGCACATCATTCTGCATTCAAGGAAATACACTAATCTACCTCTTAATAAATACACATAATCTTTATACAGTAAAACCTCTCTGTTCTGAACACCACTGGAACCAGCAAAATGTAATTGAATTGGCAGTTTTTAATAGGCCTATATTAGTCAATGGGAGAGTTTGGACTGAGTAAAAAGTGACACATTGAGAGGTGTTCCGATATGAAAGGTGTTTGGACATACATGTTTTACTGTATGATGTATATTATAGGCAATTAAACATACTGTGGCTAAATCCTTCTGGGTCATTTCCTTGGCTTGCCTGCTTTGCATAATGATCTTTCCAACACTAAGGCCAAGCTTATCATGATGCAGCTCTTCAGTCTCTCTGTCAAGTTTGGCTGTATCTTTTGTGGTAACTGCCTTTCTGTTCGTACCTCCAGCAACTGTGAATTATATCATATAGATATTACAGGGGCGGATCTGGGAACCAACAAGGGGGGGGGCCCAAACCTCTGGTCTGAGAAAAAAAAGTGGGCCCAAATTTTGACATTTTGAGGCCTATTTTCCTAAAGATTTGGCCTAAAATGAAAAATAGGCCCCCCCCCCCGATCCGCCAGTGTATTATGGATAGACATACAATAAATGTACATACAACCTTATGAGGATGGCAGTTATAACTTGTACAACTAACATAAATGGCTGCCTACCAGATCCCATTACCCCACTATGTGAACCCAAAAATATTATCAGTGATCTCCCCAGCATTAAAGCAAGTGGGTGCTGCACCCACTTGAGATTTTAAAAACAGGTTAGCGCCCACCTGAAAATCCATTTGCACCCACTTGAATATGAGAAAGTTCATGAAAATTAGAAATATTTTGACGAAATTTGGTTTAGATTGTGAGGTTCAGAATTTTGCACCCACCTGAGATAAAATCCTGGTGAGTTCACTGATCTAAATAATTTAAATAATTAAATGATTTTAAGATGAATTTCTGTAGGTGAGTAGATGGTTCAGGATATTGTGAGTACAGTGAGGTGTAGCGTTAAACTGTGTAATGACCTCTTTTCAATAATTATGTATAGTTTTCTAAATACTTTATTCTAGCAAGCGCATCAAATTTCCAATTACGTCATGTTATAGCCAAGTATACAAACAATTTTAGGAATTGCAATATCACTATCACTCAAAATCTCATGATATCCTACACATAGTAAGTGAAATTAACTATGTAATGACCTTTTTTATGTGTTTTTTAAGTATCTGCATTTTATTTCAACATTAAAGCTGGACTACGCTCCGAAACGCAATCTTGGGTTGTTTCGGGGGGGGGGGGAACTTTATCATTTTGAGCTTAATGAAAGATTATAGAATGATGAACAAATGGGGCAAATCTTGTGTAGAAATACTTACGATAAATGTGTCATTTCAAAGATTTTTCATTGAATTTGCTTCGATCGGTGCCGGCGATATGATTTTGGAAAGGTTTCTAAATGAAGAACGTGACCTCACTTCCGAATCATAGCATTCAAAATAAGTATCGTTTAATTACTTCCTCCTCTCATAATAATACGCTGGTGTAGCGGGTAGAATCCTCGCTGAGCACGCGGGAGGCCCGGGTTCGAATCCCGCATTAGCCTTTTTATTTTTTTAACTAAATGATTGTTCTTTGATATTACGCAGAAAAAAACAATTTTTATTTACATAAACTTTATATTAGAGCTTGAAAATGTAAAAACAATATATGTCAACATATTGCGTTTTGGAGCGATGTACAGGTTTAAATTGATGATATATCATACAGTACCCTGCGTGAAGAGTCTAGTTAAACTACACTCTGCCTAATAGAGACCATATTACAGTTTAGTAGCCCCGCCCTCACGACGGGTATCGGTGACAGTTTAGGTAATAAATCACTTGACCTACGCGCTGACCTTTCTTCTTCTACCAATCAGCGAGTTTGAAGAAACATACACCAAATGTGTTCTAATTAAATATGTGCATATCATTGGTCAATTCCGGGCTCAACGATGACGTCAGAAGGAATGACCATATATAGAACGTCGGTCAAATTTGGCCGACGAACACTGATTGGCACGGTGAGTTCACAGGTTTATTTTAGTTTGAAAGAGTGAAGACGAAGCTCTCTTTTAAGAAGTGAAGTCAAACGAATGCAAAGGGTAATCATACAGCCAAGGTTATGTACAATTGTTGGTATTGCATCAGCTATGTGTATTTTTATTCACAAATACATCTGTTAATTAATATCAATATTAGCTAAATATCAAACCAGATTACATCAACTCTAAGGATCATTTAAAAAAAAAAGATCTTGTCAGAAATCAATAAACAATATAAATTATAACATATTTATTGTTTTATAATTATAACATAATTTTTACCTTAACTATGAATGCTAATATGCTCAAAACTCTCCAACCCCCCTGCCAAAAAATCTTTCAAAATCTAGCAGTTTTCTCAATTCTGACTTCTGAGCATATTACTAGTGGATTTGGATCATGTAAAATGGGCATATTTTGACCAATTGTGGACTGAATTGTGAAAATTCGCATTTTGCACCTACTTGAGGAAAAATCCTTTTAAGAACATTGTAAACAAACACATACAAGTACTCACACTTTTTCGAGGTCTCTACTTCGAGGCCTTGTCTCTGAGCCGCTGCGATAGCCTGAAACGTAAAATTAAACAATTTTGTATTGAACAACTTTGATTTTTCTTCTTAATATTGATGTACAGTACATAACCAATATGGATCAGTTTACACATGCACATTTTTTTATGCAGATATATTTATTTCTTTACAATATATTATGAGGTTATATAACGGGTGATTCGGTATATCGTGTCTATACTCAAGTGAGTATATGATATATTTACGAGTAACCGAGGGAACGAGTGAATATATCATAAAATCACGGGAGTATATACAGAGATTATCCTAGATTAGGTTCAGGATATTCAATTGGGATTATCCCAAGGCTAATATAATGTATCTGCCCGAGGGCTATTGTTTTTCTTTACAAGATACTAAATTCCTTAGTTTTTCTTGTCAAAATTTATCTGTTGTGCCATTTTACAGTCGGAGACAATTTAAAATAATACTTTTTGTATGTTTTTGTGCAGCAAATGTCCGATTCAATTTTCCCAAATAACAGACAATATTGTGATTGCTCAAATAATTCTTTTACTTGAAATGACAGTTTCAAATATCATTAAGATCATAAACACTGTCTATACACTGGATGAAATATTTGAAAAGTTCAGCTCTCTTGAAAATCCAAGTAGGGGCCACTTCTGTACCGACATTGTCGGTTCTCTATCTGGCCCATCTAGGTGGCGATAGAGTGATGACATATGTCGGTACATCAGCAAATGCTCACTGGACAGGCTCCAGTACCGATATGTCGGTATTGAAGGCAGGCCGTAAAATTAACGGAGTGGCTCCAGGACCGACAATTGTCGGTACTGGAGACTGTCCAGGGGTATTTGCTGGGGTACCGACAATTGTCGGCACTCTATCGTCACCTAGTAGTGCCAGATAGAGAACCGACAACTGTCGGTACGCAAGTGGCTGCTACGTGTTTTTGCTAGAGAGCCGACAATTTCATAAATAAATCCACTACTTTTACTCTCTAAAATAACCTCATCACTGGTAGTCTAGTGGTTAGCGAGCACGACTTGAACACACTCGGTCCCGAGTTTGAATCCCGGCCGAACCTATTTTTCTCTTTTGAGGGGGGGGGGCATATAGTGCTTCTTTTGCAGTATGGAATCGTACAGGCATTAACTTGTAGTGAGCCATAATTTATTTCGACAAAAATTGATTCAACTTCCATCAAAATTGTCCTACAAGCTTCAATTAAAAAACATTTTCAAGCTCTTTTCTTGTTCTATCTAATTGGTCGATATTTACAGTTAGGGGAGGGGATGCTTTCGCCCCGTCGACCTCTACCCTTACTACGCCATGGCACAGGAAAAATATCTCATTTGGAATATATCACTGTTTACTTTGCGTTTGGTAGCTCTCTCATGCGAGATGGAATCGTGGCCATTAACTAAGGGAGCCAAATGCAACTTCCATCAAAAATTGTGCTATAAGGTATGAGTACCGTAATCCAACACCAAATTCGAAAATCCATAACAATACTTTGCACATATGGCGTTCGTGACCAACTATGCAACGCTTACCCCCCATAGTGTTATATATCAAAATGCACCTGTCCATTTAGGGGTTCGATTGACCTACATCAAATTATAGGGAGTCGGGTTACTTTTTGAGATATCAGCGTCCGTTTATTGTAACTCGCGTTTGCTACCACTTCCTCAATTCTGATATGACGGGCAAACGCGTAGTAAACATGCTCACGTTCAGAACTATTTTGACCTACATCGCTATTTTCGTAATTCAAATGAAAGTTGAACTCCTCTTTATTTTGATACCAAATAGTGGCATACTAGGTACCATAGAAGCCAACTATGGGTTATTTAGAACGATACCACAGGTTTTTAAATGGACTATACCTTTTGGCGGATGGATATGGAACCTTATACCATACGATAAGCTTCAAACCCGGGCTTCAAATAAAAAAACATTCTAGCTATTTTCTTCTATCTAATGGGAAGCAAACGCCCCTTTCTACGCCTGATCGGCTCAGGAGAAATATCCTGTCTGTTTAGAATATATATAGCCGTTTACTCTGCATTAATAGCTCTCTAACGTCTTACTTGTTCATGTTTTTTATTGGGTTTTCAACGTTTACTACCATTCCCTGTTCCCGGGCTACCATTTTTTGACTGGGTTTGGTAATCCCCGGGTAACTGGGGCTAATGCCCTCCCCGGGTTTTGCACTTGTTCCCAAAATATCCGTATGATATCTGAAATATCCCCCCGCGCATTGTGCATGCGCCAGAAAATTCGAAAATCAATATTTGTCGGTCCTCTAGCGTGTAAACACAGCACATCTCCCGTACCGACAATTTATTTGTCGGTCCTCTAGCGTGCCACCACATCAGAGTCTAGAGTACCTACCGACAATTGTCGGTACTCTAGCCTTTACGTAAAATTAAACTGTACACCATGTAAACAGTATGCACCAAGGTGGGAGGGGGGGGGGGATTCCTTGGACCTCAAAAATTGAACCTACTTTGGAAGGTCCACCACAACAGAAAGACCATCAATAGATATATCTAATGCAATTGCAAGAAAATTTCAAAAACAAAAAAACATGAAAAATATGATCAACTCACCGATCCGGATTTCAAAGCACCGGATTTAGGGGCCTTCTTTCTCAGGTATGTAACTTCATCCCAGTCAGACATAGCTTGGTTTTACTTTAAATTAACACTACCGAACACGTAAATAATGTTTTATGAGCTAAAATGTTGAGTAACTTTTTCACCACACCAATGAAATTTCAAATCTCGAACTTTCTCGAGCTACGTAATTCGTAGATACGCATGCGCAGCAGTACTTCCGGTTCTCCAAATAAAATATTTTGTGAGTATTTTCTCTAATTTAAACGTCTAGAATATCCAAACTATGTAATTTATAGAAAAATCATTGAAACTATGAGAAAAGACATATCTTAGACTTTCCTTATAGGCCAATGCATAGTATCCAATTCACTCCAACCCTCTGAAAATTCTGTTTTGTTTTGGCTCATTATTTCAATTCAAAAACATCCATTGAAAAACATTGAAAACAAACTCTGAAAATGTGACAGTGACACATCACAATCTTTTCATTTTATTGTTATTTAGTGCAGGTACATATTTTTTGTATATGTTTATTTATTTCCATATATTGTTGCAATGTGGTCCATCGCTCCCTTATGTTTTAGATTCAAAGTTATCAACAGAATTAGCCTTTACATCACGGCCGTCAAGTAAGTTTCTGGCGAAAGCCGGAGCATAGATTATTTAAGAGGACTGGAAACAAGAATGAGATACTTTTTTATTTCCCGAATCTCGCCTGAAATTAGCTCATCTTGGTGACTGTAACCTGTATATCTGTATTAATAGAGTCTCTTTGTATCGCATCTGCCTCAATTTTAAAGTTTTATTGGTATTTTTAATATGATTTTACTGTTTTTGTGGACTGGACGATTCAGCCAAGCAAATGGCAGCTGACCTGTTCAAAGTACTTTTAGAGTCCATTTCACTGCTTCATTTCGTCAGTAGAACGGCAAAAATAAGAAATTGGGAGACCATTGTGCAATAATATATGGAAACGTATATTCATAATGTATATGAATGACATTTGTATATCTTGGATTGCTTCTAGTTTGGCTTATAAAGTGTGTGGCCTCTTATATTTGGATGTTTCTCTGCCATGTTATTTTCAATAAGATTAACATGGCTGAAATTCTTCAAATTACAAGACAGCACAGGCTTATTGCACAAAATACTAAAAAATCTGAAATATACAAAAGTCATTCATGTACATTATGAATATACTTTTCCATATATTATTGCACAATGGTCTTCCAATTTCTTATTTATGCCGTTCTACTGATGAAATGAAGCAGTGAAATGGACTCTAGTACTAATTATTGCAAATGACAATAATTTTGGAAACAATATTATACTAAATAGATTACTATAAGCATCTAAGGTAGGTAAAACTAGATGAACCACTGAGCCAATAGTGATAAATAGGCCAACACGAGTTGGCAGAATTGAAATAGACTGCCATCTTGTTTCCAGTCCTCTTTATAATCTATGCTCCAGCTTTCGCCAGAAACTTACTCGACGTCCGTGCTTTACATGTAAAAATCTGAAAGTATAAAGTTTACCAATGTTTTTACAATACGCTAGTTTAAGGCATGTGATACATGTATAAATAAAATCACTCAACATATTTGTGAACTTCTAGTCGTGTAAAGGTCTCAGTATTTGTTGATATGTTGCGTTGAAAAAATCTCCCCCCATGTGAGATCAGAGAGATATCCTATATAAGTGTATTTTTCAAAATACTACTTTAGATTATCTTCCTATTTTAATCACAATATACATTCCTAAAAGGTTTCTGACTTCCTATTCCTTGTTTTACCACAAACAATGTGACAAAAATGTAAAATTAGATTCCAGAAAAGCACTTTAGACTCTGGAAAAGGTATTGGACTCTGGAGCAATAAGATCTAAAGGATTAGACTCCAGAGAATCTCCGGAGTCTAAAAGCCTAGTGAGAACCCTGCTACTTGAGCAATTCAGGGTTAACTTGATAGGAATGTTTTTTTGTAATTTTGAAAGTGGATTGCAAATTAAAATTATGTAAATGTATTGAGACCTGTCTGCTTGTATTGACGGAATTGATCATCTCCGTAGGAATACAGAAATGATTGGAACGGAAGGGAAATCTCAGTTGCAATACAGATTTCATTTATGAAACTAAAGTGTCTACATTGAATTAATGGTTTTATAGCAAGTCAGAATATTTCCTAAGCCTAGAAGATCACGCAATAAAAACGTTATAGAATGATTTGGAGTGCAATACAGGATATATTGTCCCATCGATATTCTGTATTGGAACTCGACTTCGTCTCATACCAATACAGAGTTTCTAGAGAGCAACATATCCTGTATTGCACTTCAAATCATTCAATAACTTATAATTTAAGGTCTTTTAATCAGACTAGCTTTTCATCATCATGCCTCCATATACCATATTGAACAAGGAAACAGAATCATACTTAATCAAAGATATAAAAAAAATTATTCACAAAACAATATGTTTCAGCGGGAACTGGCACATCCAACCAGCACAATGATAGATGTCTCTGTTAAAACGCTCGATGGCAAAAATCGCAGCTACTCCGTTCCTGATGATGTAAGTCGAACAATTTATTTCTTAATGTTTAAATTTTTTTGAATAATGTACTTTGACTATAATTCCGGGTTTGTTATTACATTTTCCCAAATTGATCAAACAGAAAGATATTATATGTTATAGTCAGTACGTATATGTTATAGTCAGTACATATATGTTATAGTCAGATATACTCATCACCTCATGACATAAAGACAAAATAGAATCAGGAACAGAGTATAGTGTAGTAAAGGTTTCAAGGTAGTTTCATTTAATTAATATACCATTCAGAGCTTGGATTGCTTAACCTCCCCACCCTTCCACCCTACCCCCCTCTACCCCCCCTTTATATTTTATTACTGCATAAGAATCCAAAACCATTTGGTGATTATTTCAGAATGTTCATATAAATACTCAATGAGCATCAGATTTAGAGTCCTAATGATTCGCCAAGATTTTGAATTTTCAGAGAAGCTTGTTCAGATAATGGATGTAATGTACGCTAAATTGATATTCCCAATGAATCAGTGCTGATATTTACATTAATGCTAAATTGCTGTTCACAATAGAGAGTGCTCATTTATACATTCCCCCATCACACAATTTCTGTTTTAAATGCATGTAAATTTCAATGATTCACCCAGATTTTGAATTTTCAGATAATGGCACGCAATGACTTATGTATGGTAAATTGCTATTTACAGTGAAGTGTGCTCATTTACAAATTAGCCCAAATCACAAAATTTCTGTTTTTAAATGCTTGTTGATAGTTTTAATTGTTATATAAAGCTAAAGCATAATACTAATCTGTTTATGTTTCAGATGTCTATTGCGGATTTCAAAAGAAAAATTTCAGGATCTATCGTAAGTACAAGGTTAGCGTCAATGACGAAATAACCATATTTAGTCAGCAATTAACTATATGAAATAATAAATTGATGGTTTAAAACTAATATTTGATTGAAAGATAATTTCATGAAATTACCTCCACGTTAAATGTTTTAGAGAATCTTAATTTTATTTTATCTAGTATTTCATGCTTTTGAAGCATGGGAATTTCTAAGTGTCCATATTCAAAGATTTTGGTTTCATGCGGGTGCTGCACCCCATTGAGAATATGAACATTGCCTCGCACCTGGTTGAAATATCTGTACCCACTTTTCGATTTGGACATTTCTTCGTCAGAATTGCTAAAATAATGAACCAGTGCAAAAATGATAGAGATAACTATGATATGTATTCATTTTAGGGCATTGAGACTGACAAACAACGTTTGATATTTCAAGGCAGAGTGCTACAGGATAACAAAAAGTTGAAAGATTATGGTACGTATCTAAGATAATCTCACACATGATTCAAATAATCAAATAAACTTTAAGTAAGTTTTTATAGAATATCATGCCTTGTTAGAAAATTTATAGCGAAATGAAAAAAAGATGGACTTTTTTGCCCTTTATGTGAAAACATTAAGTTTATTTGAAAGTACTGGTACTATACACATGTATAATTTCTCATTTATTTTATATAATGCAGATGTTGATGGGAAGGTTCTTCATGTGGTTGCCAAGGCGCCACCATCCAGCAGCCAATCAGGAGCTTCAGCTACCACAGGAGGTGGTGCAACACCATCAGGCCCACAAGCAAGAGACCCCAACAGCTATGTACTGGGATCGTTCACCCTCCCCTCCGATGTAATGGATGCAACTAATGTTCAGAACATAGTATCACAGGTGCTCAGTGATCTAGGGGATGCAGGACGAAATGCTAATGTCACAACAAGAGCATCAGTAAGTTCTTATGTCACCATCAAGAAATTTTTATGTCACAACAAGTGAACAAGGGCCTTAGTACGTTTGTATACCAGGCCTCAGTAACTTCCTATGTCCCCACCAAATTGTTAATGTCACAACAAGGGCCTCAGTAAGTTCTAATGTTACCAACATGTATTTGTGTCTTAACAATTCCTACACTTTTCCATGTGGTGACATTTTGTCATGGCGATACCTTGTAATTTTTACAAATAGTAAAACACATGTATAAATAATTCTTAAAATCAAAAATAATAAAAACTCGGATTGCAGATAACAACTTCATTGTGATCTATTGGCAACCTAAACAGTCTGACCTTTACCTCTATATTTTTCCATTATTAACACCCAGAAGCCTAAATTATTTGAAAAAAAATTTCAAACTACCTTTTAATAACCTATTAATAATTGTATGAATTAATCTTTGAAATACATCAATTTCTTGAATACTCCATACTTCTACTCTTCATTTTAGCGAGACGGTTCAGCGGTTGATGTCCATATTAATCTTGGATCAGTGGCGGCCCCTGAAGTTGTCAGTCAGTCTCGGAATCGACTCAACCAGGCACGCAAGATGTTGAAGCATGCCAAGGAGTGCATAAACAGACTAGAGGTATTCTTAAACATGTTCTTCAGGCTGGATTATCAAATCACAAAAATATCTTTTTCTTTTCACAACCTTTATTTTACTAAACAGGACGTTTCGGATCCTGTCTGGATTATAAAGTTGAAAAAGGATCCAGACAGGATCCGAAACGTCCTGTTTAGTAAAATAAAGGTTGTGAAAAGAAGAAAAAAATATTTTTTTGAGACTTGAGGTATGTCTTTTCAAATCTGCAAATTGTTTTTCGAGTTACATGTAATTATGTCACTACAACAAATGGTGACATACTGTTTAAGTGGTATTTAATCCGAATGGTTAATTTTTCAAATTGTCAAATTTTATCATTTTCCTGGAGCAACTGTTGGTGTTCAGTGTCTGGCGTTTGGTGTCTAAAAAATGGCAAGTGGTGCCAGTTTGCATGTTAATGCCTTGCTTGGAACTCATCATACTGCTTACTAGGAAAGGACTTTTAAACTTTGGTATTTTCAGAAACAAAGGATGTTTATTGTTTATGTCTAAGTCTGTTGATCGTATGTTACAAATCATGTTGAGTTAAGAATATTTTAGGGTTACTTAATATTATGGTGGGAATTACACTATTGCAGCTAAAAGTCTGATTTCTTCCTGGATTTTAATTTTTTTTAAAAATTTGCATTCAGAATCCAGATGAGCCTGCAGAAATGGAAACAGAAGAAGCTCAAACTAACAGCAGTTCACCTACAGCTGATGTCACAATGTCTGAATCTGCCACATCTACAGCTGCCTCTACATCCACAGCTGCATCTACATCAACATCTGAAACAACTGCATCCTCAAGTAAGAGGAAAATTCAAATAACTGCAAGAACTGAGATTACATTCATTGTTTAAACCAGTTTATCATTTCTTGGTCAGAATAGCTTAAAAATGCACCCATTTGAGGAAATCCCTGACGATAACTCTGGTATTTATTTTAGGACAATGGGACTGACAATGGGACTGACATGTCATTTTGTAACTTTGTACTTTCTTTTCAGGCTCACAGACAGAGGGAGCAACTGGGGGTGCTACTCCTGGGGCGAGAACAACTGGGACAAATACCGACCCGCCAAGACAACAGTAAGCATTCTTGAAATAGCATATTGTATAATTAAGGAATAAAGATCGAGATTGTATGATTTATGGCGTAATATATGACCGAAAATTTTATTCCGTTCATTGTTAAAAGACGGAAATCACCTAGTGATTGAGGTCTTTGGAAATGTTCAGGATAAAATTTGAGGTAATATATTTGACATAAATCATAAAATCGAGGTCTTTGTTACGATTCTAATATGATAAACAGACAAGAAACACAACTATTTGCATTTATGAATTTTAGCGGTCATACATACTCTGATATAGACCAGTTTATTTACCAGTTGTTCTAGCTATTCTGACGTCACGTATCATATAAGAATATGGATTATACCCTTATCCATGATATATTTGTAATCTGACCTATTGGCAACTTGACTTTTTGTCCGTGAGTTTAAGTAAACACCATGTTTACTGTAGAATTGTGCCATCTTTAGAAAATAGGCAAGATATGAAATGATGAGAACTATAAAATATCCTGAAATTGTGACCATTTTTTCAGAATGAGCATAAGTATAAGAAATCACCATGTGAACCAAAAGAATTGTAAAAAGGCAAGACATGACATGATGAGATCAAAAATGATTTTTTTCAAAACTTTGTCTCAACTTGTTTCTGTCACTATAACGATTGGCGATTGGTGTCTCTAACAAATTGCGGATGCTGTCATATTGCATATGAATGCCTTGTTTTTTATTGACAATAGTATGATCTAACTAAAAACTTAACTTCACACTGAAAATAACAAGTGCTTATTTTTCCAAAGGCCACAACCGAATGCACCTGAATTAGCTGCAATATTGAACGAGGTATTTGAAGTGAATAGGCGTCTCCAGCCATTTCTCCAACAATACCATGATACGATGCATGAGGATGCTGAACTCAACGATCCTAATAATGAAGAAGAAAGTGTAAGTCTATATAGATGTTATATACTGGGAGGGATTGAATATGGGTTTTATATTGGTCTGAAAAGCAGGAAGTCTGGCTTCAAGCTGAAAAGTAGAGGTCTTGGGTTCAAACCCAGGTCACAGCACTTCTTGTGATTTGTCTTTGACCTATGACTGCTGACCTATACCGGCGATTACTAGAGTGCTGCTAACTCGATAAAAGGCTGGCGCTGGCTAGAATTGTCTATGGTTCTAGCCAGGATAAAGATACCAGTTCTTCAACTCGACAATGGGAATAACTGCTCTACCTAAGTGACTAATATGTCATGATATGACATCTAAAGAGTCAATAAAAGATATATATATATACCATGATATTTACATGACGATGCTGAACTGAATGATTCTAACAATGAAGAAGAAAGTGTAAGTCTTTATAGATGTTATATACTGGGAGGGATTGAATATGGGTTTTATACCATGATATTTACATGACGATGCTGAACTGAATGATTCTAATAATGAAGAAGAAAGTGTAAGAATTTTAACATTTGTCATACTGGATACTAATTAAGGGTTTTTGGGAGCCTTGATATTTTCAGCACAGAAAGTGTATTATTCATTATTTCAATTCTTAATCATTGTTTCTTTAGAATTCCAAAATCAGAAATGCACAAAGATTAGCCAATATGACGTCAGAGGCACTACATTATATAAGCCACGCCTACCATAGCATAAGTGACATCATGATTGACATGAATGCTCCGCCCCCAAGACCACTAAGGGCTCCCCCTGCTCCACAGTTACAACCCACTGCAGTTATACAACAGACCATACCAGTTCAGGTAACAGACAAGCTTATTGCATAAAAACACTGAACTTCATATCACTACCAATCATTGGTGTTGAAATAAAAAGGTACAGTAACACATGGATTTCATTAGCAGCAGGCAGCAGGCGATTTTCATCAGTTGTTTTCACAAAATCGCCTGTTGTTTTCACAAAATCGCCTGTTGTTTTTAGGGACTGTTCAAATTACCATGTTAATTTTATGATTTCCATTAAATTTGCCTGTTGTTACTTTCATTTAAATTCTCGTGAAACCCATGGTAATACCTGTTTTAGTGAAATACCTTTGGTAGTGAAATACCAGTGTTAGTGAAATACCTTTGGTAGTGAAATACCTGTGTTAGTGAAATACCTTTGGTAGTGAAATTGGGGCAGAGAAAAAGTGTTCACTGTTCACATTGGGAGTTTAAAGGGCTGTTTGGATGTATAATTTTCACAGTAATACATGCAGTCATCTCCACATGTCACTTTTAGGGGGAGGGGGGTGGGCCCTACTTGAAACCAAAGGGCCCCCCAGTTGGCACCTTGCGCCCCAACTTCTGATTTGCAAAATGAGTAAAGTAAGCATCCACCTGGAGATATCGCGAGTGTAGCATGCGGCGATATTTTCAGACTTGAAAAATTGCACCCAGTTGAAAATTTTTTTTGGGAGATGACACTGACACAAAATATGTGTATTTGTAGGCACACATAAATGTGAGGCAAATGAATGGCCAAGGTGGTGCAAGGACTAGCACCACATCTGGTAGCACCACATCTGGAGCCACCCCTTCTACCACCACCACATCTAGGACGACCTCTCAGTCTACTCCACCAACCTCTAGTCAACCTTCAGCACAGGTACTATAGCAACAATAGGGTACCATAGCAACATTAGTATCTATAGTTACAATACATACCATAGTAAGAATATGGTGTCATAGCAATAGTTGAGCACCATAGCAAAAGTAGATTAAAAAACGACAAAAGATCAATAGATTAGGATTATAGCAAGTAAAATAATTAATCTCTTGATATTCACTCAGTGTGAACATTAATTATCCCATCGAACGAAGTTCGGAGGGATATAGGGAACGCCTCCGTCCGTCTGTCCGTCTGTCCGTCCGTCCGGGCAATAACTCAAATACTGTTGGCCCGATTTTGTTCATATTTTGTACACATATACCTTATGGGGGTAGAAGTTCTGCCCGATAGCCGATTTTCAAAATGGCCCCTTATTTCAAAATGGCGGCCATTTTAGTGCCGATTTTACAGTAATTTAGGTGCAATATGTAAAACTGTTATAGCAATATGTTTTAAATGTAAAAAAATTATAAAGGACATTAATAATGCTACAAATGTAGATATTAAAGAAGCACATGGCAGCCATCTTGAAAAATGGTGGCCTTTACTCGTCATTTTACGATTTTTGCTATAACTCAAAAAATAGTGGAGCGATTTTGTTCATATTTGGTATGTGAATACTATAAGCATTGTACACTGTCTTAAGACACTTTTGGTAGAAGGCGGCCATTTTGAAAAATGGCCACCATTTTTATGTGTGTTATTTTACAAGTACGTGTGCAATTTTTCAAAAATTTTAGAGGTGGCTACTGAAAAGCATATTATTTCTTCTGATGACAACTTGGCTAGTGAGCAACCATTTTGAAAATGGTGGCCTTTCTTATGTGTGTTGTTTTATGATATTTGCTATTCGTTTGTAAAAATGCCAGCCATTTCTATTCGATGGGATTCGCTACGCTTTGGCGTTGCCGTTGTTCTGGTTTGCAAGATTTTACCACATGGTGACATTTTGTCATTCCAAGGCCTTGTTTTTATTAATTTTTATTAAACTGTCATCCCCTCTCTATGTGTGTATATATTGTATTTACAGGCCTCTAGCTCTACAAATACAGCCACATCAAGTGCTAGCAGGACACCACAATACACTACAGTGGCTAGTACACCCCCCTATATATATGTCCATTGTATTTATAGGCCTCTATAGCCACAGCCTCTAGTACTACAGCCACATCAAGTGCTAGCAGTACACCACAATACACTACAGTGGCTAGTACACCCCTATATATATGTCCATTGTATTTATAGGCCTCTACAGCCACAGCCTCTAGTACTACAGCCCCATCAAGTGCTAGCAGTACACCACAATACACTACAGTGGCTAGTACAACCCCCTATATATATGTCCATTGTGTTTATAGGCCTCTACAGCCACAGCCTCTAGTACTACAGCCCCATCAAGTGCTAGCAGTACACCACAATACACTACAGTGGCTAGTACAACCCCTATATATATGTCCATTGTATTTATAGGCCTCTACAGCCACAGCCTCTAGTACTACAGCCATATCAAGTGCTAGCACTACACCACAATACACTACAGTGGCTAGTACAACCCCCTATATATATGTCCATTGTATTTATAGGCCTCTACAGCCACAGCCTCTAGTACTACAGCCATATCAAGTGCTAGCAGTACACCACAATACACTACAGTGGCTAGTACAACCCCTATATATATGTCCATTGTGTTTATAGGCCTCTACAGCCACAGCCTCTAGTACTACAGCCCCATCAAGTGCTAGCAGTACACCACAATACACTACAGTGGCTAGTACAACCCCTATATATATGTCCATTGTATTTATAGGCCTCTACAGCCACAGCCTCTAGTACTACAGCCACATCAAGTGCTAGCAGTACACCACAATACACTACAGTGGCTAGTACACCCCCTATATATATGTCCATTGTATTTATAGGCCTCTACAGTCACAGCCTCTAGTACTACAGCCACACCAAGTGCTAGCAGTACACCACAATACACTACAGTGGCTAGTACAACCCCCTATATATATATGTCCATTGTATTTATAGGCCTCTACAGCCACAGCCTCTAGTACTACAGCCACACCAAGTGCTAGCAGTACACCACAATACACTACAGTGGCTAGTACACCCCCCTATGTGTATGTTGATGTCGGCCCAGACTCGGTGTCTGTTAACAGCCTTTCTGCTCATGTTGTTACAACATCAGATGGTGACCCACCAGTTGGTACTATAGGTAGGTACAATAGTTGGTTCTATAGGCAGGTACAATAGTTGGAACTATAACTAGGTAGGTATAATAGTAGGTACTATAGCTATAGATGCAATAGTTGGTACTATAGGTAAATACAATAGGTAGGTACAATAGTTGGTACTTTAGGTATAGATACAATAGTTGGTACTATAGGTAAATACAATAGGTAGTACTATAGGTAGGTACAATAGTTGGTACTTTAGGTATAGATACAATAGTTGGTACTATAGGTAAATACAATAGATGGTACTATAGGTAGGTACAAATGTTGGGTCTATAGGTAGGTGTAATTCTTCAACAATTAATTTATTAATGTCTGGAGAAAAATGTACTTTTGGCAATGTGGTATAGTAATTTGAATTCATTTATCTCCATAGTAACATATTCCAAAGTGGATATATTCATTATCTTTTGACATTACGTAAGTGAACTGTTTCATATGCATATATGATAACTATTTAATATGCATGTATAATAACTGTTTTATATGAATGTATGATAACTATTTAATATGCATATATGATAAGTGTTTAATATGCATATATGATAAGTGTTTAATATGCATATATGATAACTGTTTAATATGCATATATGATAACTGTTTAATATTCATATACAATAACTGTTTAATATGCATATACAATAACTGTTTAATATGCATATACAATAACTGTTTAATATGCATATACAATAACTGTTAAATATGCATATATGATAACGGTTTAATATGCATATACAATAACTGTTTAATATGCATATACAATAACTGTTTAATATGCATATACAATAACTGTTAAATATGCATATATGATAACTGTTTAATATGCATATACAATAACTGTTAAATTTGCATATATGATAACTGTTTAATATGCATATACAATAACTGTTTAATATGCATATACAATAACTGTTAAATATGCATATATAATAACTGTTTAATATGCATATACAATAACTGTTTAATATGCATATACAATAACTGTTTAATATGCATATAGAATAACTGTTAAATATGCATATATGATAACGGTTTAATATGCATATACAATAACTGTTTAATATGCATATACAATAACTGTTAAATATGCATATATGATAACTGCTTAATATGCATATACAATAACTGTTAAATTTGCATATATGATAACTGTTTAATATGCATATACAATAACTGTTTAATATGCATATACAATAACTGTTAAATATGCATATATAATAACTGTTTAATATGCATATACAATAACTGTTTAATATGCATATATGATAACTGTTGAAGAACATATTGACAGTGTGCATCTGGCTGTTATCCTTTTATTGCATTCCTTGGTTGAGGAATATGTATATTATAACAACTTCTATTGATATGGCAGAAAAAGATTCTAAAAGCTGAATTTAAAAAGAAAACGGCATGTTCAATTTTTGTTTTAATTTATAGGTGATATACCCCCTGGTGCACCCATACCCCCTGGTGCTCTACCTGGTGGTGTACCCCAGATGGGTAGTGGTCTCCCCCCTAATGCCACCCCTATTGTAGTTGGTATACCAGGCGCCCCTGGAGGTGGACCCCCTAGCCAAGATGTAGTGAACAGTATTGTACAGGCAATCAACCAGGCTGCTCAGAATGCAGGAGCTCATGTACATGGTGAGTAGATCTCTTGGTTCAAGTCATACGTACATCCATCCATATGGAACCATATCAGCTATGACATCATATAGTATAGGGGTTCCACGATACATTATGGAACCGATACGATACGTATATCTTGATACTCAGGTCACGATACAAGCAAAGATACGATACATGATAGTGTAGTTGAACAGGGGGGGTCGAGCTGAGGTTGAGTTGAAAATCTATCGTCTCATCACCAAACAAGCCGATGCATTGATATATCGATGAATTGTGGGACCCCTAATATAGTAGCATTGACTCGAACACTACTGTATGTTGCTGTGATTCCTGAATGCGGATTATGGTGTAAGTATGGTCGTTAAATTCTGTTCGCGTGTAAGTAACATACCTTACATGATTTTGCAAACAATCCACTTTTATAAATTATTTTTCCAGGAGTATCTCTTGCGTCACCATCTGGGACTACAACAAGTTCAGAGAGTGGTTCTACAACAACTTCTGCTTCAACAACATCTAGTGCATCTACAACAAGTAGTGCTTCTACAACATCCAGCAGCTCAACCACACGACCTGCCCAAGGGCCCCCTAGGATGCCATTCCAGATGGCTGGGATGCCCCCTGGAATGGTGGGCATGCAGGGAATGCCCCCTGGTGGCGGGTTCATGACATTTGGCCCTTTTCATATGCAGCAAGGCGGAGCAGGTCTACCGATGTTTGGGGGACAGATGCCCCGGGGCCAGAGGCACATACAAGTAAGGCATGTACGCCCTGGTCCCGTGCCCCAGCCACGCCCAAGCCCAGGGAGTACCCCAAGCTCAGGCAGCCCACCTACTCAGACTGGCCCTAGTGGGCGCCAGGCAGGGAGTGCGTCACAAACTGGATCTAACAGTAGCCAAACACGCCCCAGACCAAGTGCATCGGGGCATGCGCATGTACATTCTGCCTCCAGCCGATCTGGTAAACATTTTTATTTTTTTATTTGTTTCACAGTGAAGTTAAGTGAATCATCTTTGCCAGTGGTACTCTTTTTAGAGCCACCAAAGGTGTTCTACTTAGACAGGTTTTACTGTAGTTTTTTTGTGGTTTTTAGTAGGCTAATCATATTTATTAAAGGTGCAACAATTAGTGCAGGGGGGTGATTCAACGATCATCGACCAGTGTCAAAATATATTTAAGTTTGGATATTTCATCATTATCTACAAAGGAACCCCTGGATGAACATTATTTCAGCTGATATTCCTCTTGAAACGTGGTGGATCTTAAAAATCTATAAGTGGGACTCCCTTTATAGAAGCTTTGAACTTTTACACTTCTTAATGCTGAAATTGATAGCTTATACATACATTTTAAGAAAATAGGTATGTCAAAGAAGGTGTTAAGCCAAATATTGACCTGATAGCTCAGAAAAAATAAAAATTTTCAAATTTTCTCTCTACAGTCCTTGTTGCCCCTTTAACCCATTATTTCTCCCAATTATTGGGTTTACATAATTTCTATAGGCTATAATTATTGACAAAACAATGGTTATGTATCAACTTCCTAGTTTTTTCCAAAGTTAAAGGAGTCCCTTTCATCTGGAAATAATTTAGCACTGTGTATTCCATACCTACTCAGGTTCTAGGTACATAACAAGCAGGAATATACATTGGACAAGCTAAAAGTGTTCAAATTGGCAGGTGTTGAAATTTCAGGACATTGTTGGTCGGGGGGGGGGGGGGGTTCATTGTTCAGTTCACTATATTGAACACTTAATACTTAGTCAGAAAACAATACATGTTGTTGATGAGATTATAATAGGCCTATAGCCTATATGCTATGTTTTATTAAATTTTGAACAATTTCATTATTTTAGCAAAAATAACTCATATTTTAGCAAATGAACTGTATATGATACATGAGTATATGATAGTCTCATACAAAATCTTATGCTTATCAAATGACTCATCCCATATCATGATTTCTTGGGACTTTTAGCATTAGCAATATTTGAGCATCGTCGGTTCCCACGCTCAACCACTACGTTGAGGATAGGTCTGAAGCTTGATAAAGCAAGATGATATTTGAGTAGATATATATCCTCTTCAAGTAAAAAGAATTTTTCATGAGTTTCATTCGAGATGTGAGATTGATGAAGCAAGATGATATTTGAGTAGATACATCGCCTCTTCAAGTAAATAGAGGATATCCTATGATTTATGAGTGATATGATTTTTATCCACGAATGGATATGATATCTGCACGAGCGAGCGTAGCGAGAGAGTGCAGATATCAATATCCATGAGTGGATTGAAATCATATCACGAGTAAATCATAGGATGTTCTTTTTATTCCATAGTTAAAGTCATCATCAGAATCGTCGGAAATTAAGTGATTTAATTCGAATTTCCAGACGATCCGGCGATGTTGACACTTAGCCTCGTTTTGAGTCTGAAGTAGCAAAAATCCATAAACCATCGCATACGACGTCGTATGTCATGGCTAAAAAACCGTATGTTATGGTTAAGTGAAAATTTGTCAAAAATATCATATTTTACCACTGATTACAAAAATACCGTTTTTATTTTCACATGTTATCCCATGCATATCATGCTAACTATGGAATAAAAAGAATTATACAGCATAATCCTCCAAAATATCAAGGGCATTCAGGATGGTTTATCCTATTAGAAAAGATCTGAATATTTTATGTTTGGATTAAGAGAAAGGTGTTGGTGTGAATCAAGAAGATAATTGATTTATCATTATTGGAAATTACCTGGATGTTTTTGATTTGGATTATGAGAAAGGTGAGAATCTGGGATATAATTGATTTATCCTTAATGAACTCCTGCATTCACACCTTTCCAAAACATCCTGTTGTTTTCTACAATTAGGGATGTCACTTAGACTAAGTTAATTATGACAATATTAGTTCTTTGATTACATTGTATATCATGTAAAGATAAATAACAACTATAACATTGGCTCAATATGTGGCTATTATTGAAATATCCACACATTTGATTTCTGATAAAAATGTTCAGATTAGTCACTTTTTCAAATCTGGTTGTTGACTGTTCAGATTAGGAGGTGTCCAGATTTCAAGGTTTTTTTAACATGGGAGTCAATGGGAGGAAAAAATGGGACCGAAAAAACTGTTCAAATTGGAAGCTGTTCAGATTAGACAGGTGTTTAGATGTACAGGTTCTACTGTATAGTAGAAAGGCGAGTGTTATTATTAGTTTTTCTGCTTTCAAACAAATGTGAAATTTTTCAGCTTTTATTTATATGAATAGTTGCTATAGTAACAATAATAGTAACATTTGCTATATTTATTTATTCAGCTGAATTATCTGTCATTAATATATAATTGCAGGCTCTATACAAATCCTAGATTGAGTTGAATTGACCAATATTGATGAATTACACAGTCCGAAATGTATAAATTTTAGAGTCCATGGGGGATTTTAATTTTTAATAATATGCATGGTTCCTAAATCCATTAATTTCATGCATTATTTAAATTACGTCTTCTGTTTATACAATCGAATTTAAGTCAAACAAAGAAAGACCCCAAGAGAGTCATAACAATGAACCATAATTTGCCCCCAGGCTGGAATATTTCCATTAGATCGGGAAAATGGTATATAGAAGGATTTTATAATATTATCGACTAAATAACATTTATAAATATGGGTTTGAGTTTTGAAATTCAAAGTTTTAAGTGAGGAAATCATTTAAAAATAAATTTGGCATTTTCCCCCAGTACTTGGGCTTCTTAACATGTTTGGGTAAAAATAAGTTTTATGAATATGAGTTTTGAAATCTTTTCAAAATTTTGAGTGAAGAAATTGTTTTTTTTTTAAATCACTTCAGTGACGCTTTTGAATGAATGACAAACAACAAAGGTTGTCACAAAGGTTGAATTCAAACTTTCCTCTATCTTGATTAATTTCAACATTTTTGTGTCAAATTTGAAACCTTTGATGTCTTGGAGTGTTTGTAAGTTTTGAGTGTTTTTTTTTTCATTAAATTACATTTATATCTCCATATTTGCAGGTGCCAACAACGGAGGTCATCATCACCATGTACGGGGAGGGAACCAAGCATTTGCCATCCCTGGGCCTGGCTTTTTACCTCCATATCCATCTTCCAGTGTAGTAGACAGTTTCCTTCCCTGTCAGTCGAGACATTTCCTAGCACACAGGGCCAGAGATACTTTGAACAGTGCGTCACAGACCAATGTAAGTCAACCTTATCGTGTCTATTGAATGTTTGAACAGTGCGTCACAGACCAATGTAAGTTAACCCTATTGTGTCTATTGAATGTTTGAACAGTGCATCACAGACCAGTGTAAGTTAACCCTATCATGTCTATTGAATGTTTTAACAGTGCGTCACAGACCAATGTAATTTAACCCTATCATGTCTATCGAATGTTTGAACAGTGCGTCACTGACCAATGTAAGTTAACCCTATCATGTCTATTGAATGTTTGAACAGTGTGTCACAGACCAATGTAAGTTAACCCTATCATGTCTATTGAATGTTTTAACAGTGCGTCACAGACCAATGTAATTTAACCCTATCATGTCTATCGAATGTTTGAACAGTGCGTCACTGACCAATGTAAGTTAACCCTATCATGTCTATTGAATGTTTGAACAGTGTGTCACAGACCAATGTAAGTTAACCCTATCATGTCTATTGAATGTTTTAACAGTGCGTCACAGACCAATGTAATTTAACCCTATCATGTCTATCGAATGTTTGAACAGTGTGTCACAGACCAATGTAAGTTAACCCTATCGTGTCTATTGAATGTTTGAACAGTGTGTCACAGACCAATGTAAGTTAACCCTATCATGTCTATCGAATGTTTGAACAGTGTGTCACAGACCAATGTAAGTTAACCCTATCGTGTCTATTGAATGTTTGAACAGTGTGTCACAGACCAATGTAAGTTAACCCTATCATGTCTATTGAATGTTTGAACAGTGCGTCACTGACCAATGTAAGTTAACCCTATCATGTCTATCGAATGTTTGAACAGTGTGTCACAGACCAATGTAAGTTAACCCTATCATGTCTATCGAATGTTTGAACAGTGTGTCACAGACCAATGTAAGTTAACCCTATCATGTCTATTGAATGTTTGAACAGTGTGTCACAGACCAATGTAAGTTAACCCTATCATGTCTATTGAATGTTTGAACAGTGTGTCACAGACCAATGTAAGTTAACCCTATCATGTCTATTGAATGTTTGAACAGTGTGTCACAGACCAATGTAAGTTAACCCTATCATGTCTATTGAATGTTTGAACAGTGTGTCACAGACCAATGTAAGTTAACCCTATCATGTCTATTGAATGTTTGAACAGTGTGTCACAGACCAATGTAAGTTAACCCTATCATGTCCATCGAATGTTTGAACAGTGTGTCACAGACCAATGTAAGTTAACCCTATCATGTCTATTGAATGTTTGAACAGTGTGTCACAGACCAATGTAAGTTAACCCTATCATGTCTATTGAATGTTTGAACAGTGCGTCACTGACCAATGTAAGTTAACCCTATCATGTCTATCGAATGTTTGAACAGTGTGTCACAGACCAATGTAAGTTAACCCTATCATGTCTATTGAATGTTTGAACAGTGCGTCACTGACCAATGTAAGTTAACCCTATCATGTCTATCGAATGTTTGAACAGTGTGTCACAGACCAATGTAAGTTATTACCCTATTGTGTCTATTAAATGTTCCTCATAATCCTTTTGGGTTTTTACCCAATTTGCTGTTATATTTTTTTATCTGTGTCTATTCTTTGACTGCAATAGTTATCCAAGGAATGAAGTATACCTTAATGATGCTAAGATAATTATTATATCCTATGTTTAATATACTCTAACATACATATGCAATTAAACTAGTACTATAGGAGCCTAATTATTAGATAACGTGTTAAAATACAATTCAATATATTATTAAGATACAGTACTTCACTTTTAAATTACTTTTAAATTGTGTGGTTTTAGAATCCTGAGGGTGGGCTTCAGAATGTGATGACAGATCTGGTGTCCAATCTTATAGGTAAGACTGATTTTTTAAAAAGATGGCGTGCTTGTAGCTAGCTTTTTATGTCACCACCACAAGTGGATGGTATTCGACACTTGGTGTTTGCGACTTAGTGGTCAGTGTTTGGTTGTTGTTGTTTAGTTTTCGGCATCTTAAACAAATGGTAGGTGGTGACATTTTGCATGTCAATGCCTTGTTTATTTTATGAAATTTCAATATTACATATATACATGGCCTGTGAGTTAGACACCCTAGATTTGTGGCTCATTTTAATCTAAAGACATTTTCAATCAAAATAACAGTAAATCTGTACGAGGGGTGATTCAAAAGTAATGGACAAAATTTTATAGACATACAGGGTGTGCCAAAAAATTTTGCAACTTTTTTAAAAGGCTAGAAAAACATAATAAAATTTAGGTATTGGCATAAAAAGTTATTTACAGAAACTTAAGGATAGGCATATTTTACCATTCAAATACTAAAGTTTAAACTGACTTCAATTTTTTTTGTCAGATCTTTGAATATCAATGGTCAACATTATTGAAGTAATACAGTTTTCACAATTTATAGATCATTGGTTGATCTTCATTTGTACCAAATTTCATACAAATTGGGTAAGAGTAAGCATGCCTATAAAATTTTGTCCATTACTTTTGAATCACCCCTCGTATATCAAAAAAACACCTCTCCAAACACTACTCAATGTGAACACTTTTTCTTTGTCCCATTTCTCAATGTATACTTAACTTTTTCTTGGTCCCATTTCTCAATGTGAACACTTTTTCTTTGGCCCATTTTTCCATTTGAACACTTTTCTTTGTCCCTAGTTGTGTTTGGATGAGACAGGTAAAACACTACTTTTTTATTTAAATTACAGTAAACATCCTTATGAAAAGAGCATATATCACCACAAGTGATCACTTAATATCTACAGCTGTTTTTATGTGCTCTGTATTTCTTATTTTAATATTTACACAAAAACAATCTGTTGTAATTGTTTGGTTATGTGTGTAACACATTTCTACGATTTTTTTTATTTTTATTTTAAATACATAGTATTTACATATGTAGGCATAGTCAAATTTGCATAATCCCTTTTTAGTTTGACACGTAATCTTGTATAGAATTACGAACTGATGTTATACCTGGGAGTAAGGTAGCTTAACGCTACACATATCACCTATATGGCGTGGATCGAAGGGTTTCGGGATACACAAATCACTCACTGGCGGGTCTTGGGGGGGGGGGGGGCTTGTTAAAAGAATTTTAGGTCCAAAAAGGCCTTAAGGCCCCTAAAAGTGGGCCTTTTTGGTCATTACTAGGCCTTTAAGGCCTTATTTTTTAATGTAAGGCCAAATTTTGAAGAAAATGGGCATCAAAATTTGGGCCCAATTTTGGGTTTTAGGGGCCCAAAATTTTTTTCTCTGACCTGAAATTCGGGCCCCCCCTTGTTGGTTCCCAGGTCCGCCCCTGTCACTGATAATACAAATAAGTGAAACCATTAGTCATGCCTTGAACCCTTGTGACTCGCTCCATATTCCTCAACCTCCTTTTCCCTAAAATGACTCGACTTTGTCGCCCACATGTTATTATTTATTATAAAGTTTTAACTTTTGAATGATTAATCATCAAAATCTATAAGTTGGGTAGACTTTGTGTCTGCTATGTTTTAAAACATGTCAAATCACAAATCACTCAGAAGAATCTGTTACCTTGGAGATTGGGGTATTGTCTTACTCTGAAAAAAAGAAATTGAACTTCGCCGCAAATCTGCCATATGCGATCTTATTTCAAGTTTTTTTCAAAATATTTGAGTCAATGGGATATTTGGGACATAGAAAAGGTGTTCACTGGGCTTTCAATTGCAGGGGGCGAGTGTCCAAAATCGCCGTTTGTTTTCGATAATCCGCCGTTTGTTAGAAGTCAAATAGTCTTTCCAGTGGGTGTAAAATTGTGTTAATCAGTTAAAGGCCCCATATAAAGTTTAAACCACTTTGGCTTATATTGTTGTCTTATCCAATGTTATCAAAGTGTGAAATGTGAAACTTTTCAATAATTTCAAAAATGTTTTTGAAGGACTTTTTGTTCAAAATATCGTGAATTTATTCAAAACTAGCTTTAAGAGGTCACACATATCCTTTGAAGTGATAATTCACACCGATGCATAGCAATCATCCTCACTTGTTTTTTTGCCGACAAAATCAAGAAAATTGGTTGATAGATGAGCTAGCAATGAACTCATCCATGCATGAAAGTGGTTCAGGGAAAGATGCATTTCAAAATTTTAATTCTCATAGAAACCAATGGTAAAATAATATTAAAAAGATAATATATTCATCCTTTTAACCTGGTAAGACAGTCAAAATTGGTTTATCTTTTAAGTTTAGCATATTAAGAAAAGATTGACATTGAAAAATGTTGCCACCTAAGTGATGTCACGATGTGGTCACTTAGGTTGAACATATTTTCGATATGCTAAATCATTGAATTGGCACATTAGATATAACATTTTTAACATAGTGTGTCCGTTTTTCAATCTTTATATTGGTGTTATAAAGATATAGAGGTTCTTATATGAGTACCTGTGCAAGATCGTCCATTCTTGATGAGCTTTGATAATTCTTCTTTATCAAAGCGACTGTCGGATAAATTATGAATGTAGTTTCGCACAGGTGTCTACGGAACCAAACAGTGAACCCCGCTTTCCCGAACCCGAGTTTCCAGGATTCGCCTCGCATGCCTTCGACTCTTTCTCAAGATTTGGGCCCCGCTTTCCCGAACCCGAGTTTCCAGGATTCGCCTGGCATGCCTTCGACTCTTTCTCAAGATTTGGGCCCTATATTGTACCCCTACCTTATCATCCTGGTGTCTCGTTTAGAACACCCTTGTATTGTATTTTGTTTACCACCAATGAAGGTGAGCAATACCTCTTGGGTATATCCCGTACATATTATACGGTCGTAATTTACGTAATTAACCTGGAAGATAGACCCAGAAACCCCTCCTTGAAGGAGCCCTGTGTTCTTTTATGTGCACTTATACATAGACATACAAGTACACACCACAGCCTTTTTGTACGAGTTGCGGGCCACTCAGTCAAACACCCTGGAGTACTTCACGCAGACAAGCAAATTTAGTCTTGCCTGAACCGGGGATCGAATCCGGGACCTATTGCGTAAGAGGTACATGCGCAACCGCAGAGCTACACGGGTGGACTTGTAATTACAATGCGAAGTTACTAAAGCATGATAAAAGGTGTATGTGTGGATGGGGAGGGGGGAGGTTTGACCCCCCACTTACCAAAAGCTGGGACATGTATACCTTTATATACTCAACCGGCCAAGTATTAACAGTACAAAAGGGAGAAAAAATCCATCAGGTCCATAATTCTACACGTTCAGGTACAAGTTAAAAAAACGTGTATCTTAGATTTATTTAGAACTATACGCCTTTATACCAGCGACACACTTTCACGGGTGCGTCTTTACAATGAAACACAATAACGAAAATTGCAACTTTAGGATCTTGAAAAAAGTTGCAATATCCTTCCTGGTTAGAATAGGTTTCCACGTACAACTAAAAACACTATATAAAAGTAACTATCTATACACCATCAATGCAAATATATGCTTTCATCCATTCTGATACTCATAGCATCTTTCTGTTTCACCTGAAACACAGGGCTTAGAAGAAATGAGATGTCATGGTTTATCATGATGGCTTTCTTCGAGAATACATAATGCGGGCCCGAGAATGCGGGGTGTCACATAAATTGCAACACACCTTGCAACAATGTCTTATGAGGGTAATTTCTTATACCCAGCCTATCATCAGGTTTTTGAGGCGTAGACCAAAAGTTAACCTTAAATGCGCCTTACTTTCAGGTCTAGACTAAAAGTATGCCTCTTTTACAGGTATTTTTAAGGCTTAGACCAAAACCTAGCCTCATTTACTTACAATAATTCCAGTTATAGACCTTATTTTCAGGTGTATAGACCAAAACTGCGCCTTAAAAACCAAATCTAAACCACATTTACTTAGAAGATTTTAGAATAGACCTCACTGTAAGGCGTATAGACCAAAAGTGCGCCTGAAAAACTTCAACAATTTTCAAAATGACCAAATCTAGACCTGATAAACTAAGAACATTTTAGAATAGACCTCACTGACAGGCGTATAGACCAAAACTGCGCCTTAAAAACTTAAACATTTATAAAATGACCAAATCTAGACCTGATAAACATAGAATTTTTTTAAAAACTTAGAAAACATAAATCTGAAAAAGCCACACTTACTGTAGTATTTTGTCAGAATCACGAAGGAGACAGATTATAATATATTAGGTTAACAGACCAGTAAACTGTATTTTCAACTCCCTATTAATGGTTTTTATCAGAACTTAAAAAAATAATCAAAATCTGGGAAACCTAAAGAAGGATGTCTGAAAATAATAAAATATTGAAATATTGTTAAATTTAAATGATGAAACAAAAATACATCATATTAGAAGCCTACATATAATTTATATAAGAATACTGTTTATTTTTTGCTTCATCTTTCTAATGTGTTCATAGATCTGTATCTTATCCATGAGACAAGTTAATCCTAGAAAACAACACAGCAATTCAAAATAAATGCAATTTATTTAACAACTATGGAGGGTACTGATATGTACTAAGTACTTTTCTACTTGTAACAACAAAACATGACCTGACCTTACTTACAGGTATATGAGGCTTGTACCTGAAATGAGGTCTAGACCAAAAGTAGACCTTAATGCTTAATTTCCATAATTGAAATGTGCCTTAACGTAAGGTGTACACCAAAAGCAGAAGAGAAGTAGACCTGAAAACCAATAGTGAACCTCAAATAAGGCGTAGACCAAAAGTATACCTCAAATATAGACCTGATTTACAGATAGTTGAGGCTTAAATGAGGTCTAGACCTCAAATATAGACCTGATAAACCTGATGAGGTCATTAAATAAGGTGTACTTCTGGTCTACTTTTGGCTTAATTTAAATATTTGAAACGCGCCTGACTATGGGGATTTAACACAGAGAAAAACCAAAAGTAGACCAGAAGTACGCCTCATGAGTAGACCAAAAGTAGACCTCAAATATTGACCAATATTGCGCCTGACGATAGGCTGGGTATTGAGAAGTTTATCATCTATTGAAATTGAATACTTGTAGCTACAAAAAGCGAATTTGTTTGAGCAGCCCTAGCTCAATATATTATAAAGAAAACAATATTTACAACATGGTATCCTTAGTAGACTGTTCAATTTGGAATTTCGAAGCTTAGCCAAACATCAGCATTATAGCAAAGATCATCAAAAAAGGATTTTATCAAAGTCTTCCATGTAAATTAAGGTGCGAATTCACATTAACAAATTAAGATAAGATCCACAATATGTTATCAAATGGTTAAATGCGCAAAATGTGTAGATATGTTTTCCTTAATAATGTGTGAGGAGGCCTTTCAGGCAATTTTCGAAAGCGTAGTGAGAACAAGTTTGGTGTAGATCGGAGGGGGTTATCTCCCACCTCGGTCTCTCTCTAATGCCTAGGCCACATATGCACCGGGCGCTGGCCGATGAATGGTCATCGTCCGATTTCTAAATCAGTTTCGACAAAAATCATGTAATTCGGCAATTTTAGTTAAAAACATGAAGGTACATTATGTAAAATTTTGAAGACAATTGGTGTATATTTAACAAAATAATGACAATTCTAGATTTTGATTTATATCAAAAGTGTTCAATTCAACAGGTGCATTTGGATTTGTGAAATGCAACCTGTGTAAGGGTAAGTTATTTTATAAAAGGTAAATGGCATTCTATATAAGTTGCCTTAGTCATTCCACAGTTCCAGGCGTTATTTTGTGGAGCCCATGTCTTGCCACAGCACACGTGGAAATGACTTTGACAAACCTTGGACATCTTTCTTTCAGTCCATGGACTCTAAAATAACACAGTAACAAGAATTTGCATTGTCGGGAGCGTAAAATTGGTTAATTTGAATGCCGCCTCTTGTATTTTTCATCTGCCTCTTGTACACAAAGTTAGTGAAACCACTGGTTCATATTGAGAGGTGTTAACATTGAGAGGTGTTAACATTGAGAGGTGTTCACATTGAGAGGTGTTCATATGAGAGAGGTGTTCACATTGAGAGGTGTTCAGACTAGAGAGGGCTTCAGATATACAGGTTTCACTGTGTAAAAATAAAAAAATTGTAAGCATCTCCTCTTCTCAATAAAACCTGCTGAGAAATAATTGAATAATTGAATGGTGGCAAGCCACGATAAAACATTCCTTAAAAGCAGTAACTAACGAGTTACTACCTTTAACCTGTCTAACCTGCTTACATCGGCCATTCACCAGAATTTGTATTTATTGAAACCGTTCCTTATTATTTATTTAGACCTATTTTATCCTACATAATGAGTGTACGCACTACACCTATTATCAGATCAATAAATTCAAAACAATAGTTTTTTTTCAGAACACACAATGACGCATGTGGTATATCTTGTAAGATCAATATTTTATAATTAGCATAGGCTCTTCATTTTCTTTGTTGGAAATGATGAAGAAATTCAGCCATTATGATTTCATAGATATATTGATTCTTTGGAATAAAAAATCACTTTTGTCCCTGAAAATTATGTTTTGCCCCCGGGAGTCCGAACAGAAAAAATTATTTCAAGAAAAGCTTTTCATAAAACATAAAATAAGTTTATTCAAGAAGTAAATATATTAGAAAGCAGTTTTAGGTGTGTTTTTTTGTTCATATCACTGTGTAAAATCTATAATTTAATTATTTAATGTTCAGTAATAGACTAGATGTGAGTAGAAAAAATCTTGATTTACGCCATTAAATATTTAAAATCCAGTCAAAGCGATGTTATATTTGAAATCTACATGTAAAAGTACATCTAGAAATGTGGTTTCGAAAATTGTTTATCAAGTTTGAAAATTTAATTATTTTTGAAACTGTGACTTCTAGTTCGGGTTGATTCTCCATAGAGACCAGGTTACAAAATCACAAAAAGTGAAATATCTTTTCTTGTATTGGTCAGATAACATTTTCATTTACTGGACATATTTTGATTAACATGACTATTAGATACATAAGGGTTATATGAAAATTGAACCACTAAAACAGATGTGATTTAAGTTAAAGGGAACTTTCTACTATACCCGCCATGCTATCTGACCCGAACGAGCCACCTGGTGGTGGAACTGGTAACTAACTACTCGCATCTGCGTTATTATCAATGTTGGTAACAGGAATTTTGGAGATATTTTGTCATAATTATAAGATCTTTCAATATTTATTGATGGAAAAAAATCAGGAAGAGAGCTCTAGTATGCCTCCACAATTATTAATAACGGAGAAAAAAAAATTTAACCGTTAACCTAAGAAGCAAGAATGGGGGGGGGGGTTAAGTATATTGTCCCTGCCAAGTAATCTAAGCACTTTCTTATTTTTTGTTCGAATCTTGTGATTTAATGACTTTTTTGGTTGTTTTAATGAAAAAATCTGCCCGAGCAAATTCATGGGTTACTTTTTCTCCCATAAAATTATGATTTACACCAACCCCCAAGGGGTAGCAGGGGGGCAAAGCAAAAAATTTATTTTGTGAACAGTTTTTCATAATACCACCATGAAATATGTTCATTCAATTAGAAGATATAACAAAAATTTGTTTTCAGTATTTTTATAATTATCAAGCTGAATTTCATTGATTAAACATCAAAAGATCTTACTAGAAAGTGATATAATCTCCTCAAAATTAATAAAAAGCTTGAAAAGGTGGACATCAAATGGTTAGAATAACAATTTTTGCAATAAACAACTACTTCCTATGATCATTACCTATAATAAACACATATAACTAATTCAGTTTTCATACTTAATAATAGTAATAGAAATCTCATGGTTGATGCAATACATTGGGTAATGTGTGTACATGTATGAATCATTATTAAATCCCCCATTGACACCAGGTTGATGGGGGTGAAGTAATGTTTATATGAACAATATATGTTCATCTTATTTAGGTATCAGTAAAGTAATTTGAGAATTTTTCATTGGATTCCATTCTGTAAACAACAATCAATTTGGAGAGGGGAGGCGTAAAAGGATTAATATCATAAATAAATTCTAAATATCCTGCAGAATACCTAATAAAAAAGTGAGGTTTACATGAACAGACCATCTAAGGCATGATAAAAAAGAGTTAGCACAAATAATCTACTCACTGACTATATTTTTGGTATTGACCCTCATCCTCTGTAGAGAATCCTTTTGAAATGAGTTATACTCAGCATTGAATTGGGGGTGGGGGGGTAGTAAAATGCTAAAAATCAAAAATTAATTCAAAATATACAGCAAAATGTCTAATAATTGGTTAACTCCATATTAATTGACCATCTTAGCAGGATAAAAAATAATTTGAACAAATGATATACTCACAAAATATTTTTTTCATATTGACCCTCTCCCGACTGTTGAAGAAGGGGCAGGTTCTTTCTGGCTCTATCAAAGGGTAATTAAGCAAAACTGTGGATTTTTTTCATAGGCAATTTAATGTGCTAAAACAAAAGTTACGAGGGAATATTCTTGAAAACAGATGTACTCAAAATTGAATTGGAGGTATGAAAGTGCTTAAAATCACAAATAAATCCAAAATATCCTGCAAATTGCCTAATTAATGGTGAAATAGATATTAATTGACCACCTAAGGCAGGATTAAAAAGAATTCGAACAAATAATGTACTCACAAAATATTTTTTTCATATTGACCCCCTCCCACGGCTTACGGACAATTCATCCCCTAGACAACTCATCCCTGGACAACTCATCCCCTGGACAACCCATCCCCTGGACAACTCATTCCCTGGACATCTCATCCCCTAGATAACTCATCCCTGGACAACTCATCCCCTAGACAACTCATCCCCTGGACATCTCATCCCCTGGACATCTCATCCCCTGGGCAACTCATCCCCTGGACATCTCATCCCCTAGACATCTCATCCCCTAGATAACTCATCCCCTGGACAACTCATCCCCTAGACAGCTCATCCCCTAGACAGCTCATCCCCTAGACAACTCATCTTTTATCTCATGAAGCCAAAGTTTTTTTGGAAGATCTAAACATCTCGAATCATTCTAAATATTATTTCACGCTTTATTGACACAACTAAAATGGTCAAACGGTGCCATTAAGTTTTCTCTCTGCTTAAATTTGAAAAATGAACTTCAGTAACGTCATCTGTAACTGCTGTGAAAAAATAATCTTTGGATTAAAGAATATTGGAACTATGAAAAACATACATAGATTGATTATCTCCTTGACAATACCATAGTAGTACCATTTTTTATCATAGTTTGTTAAACAATTTTCCAGATTTCCCCTCAATAAAGTCTTTGTTCACTTGAAGACAACAGAACCGTCACTTTAATACCTTACTATTGTTATGAAAATGGAAAGAGGATGTGCAGATCTTAACCATTTTTTAAGTTCTGTTTATGTAACAAAAGTGAGGTATTCAATCAAGGATTGTGTTGTCCTCTCAACCATTTGTTCGTTCACATGAACATTTTCTTAGACATATGATATTCTGCCTACAACTGGAGAAATAAGGAGGCTCTGACATTTTGTTACCAAAACGATCTGTTTATAACATGATCGAGTGGGGTACCAGTGTTCATGTAATATATGATTTTGAAACTTAAAACTGATCATGATAACCAAGACATTTAAAATCATTTGAATAATATATGAATTAATAATATGACATTAAATTGCTCAAGCATGCTAAAGGATGAGTTGTCCAGGGGTGCGTTGTATAGGGGATGAGTTGTGAATCTAAATTACTAAAGTTTTAGTCTAGGTACGTGTTTAGTACATAGAAAGAAGTTCTTCCCCAGGAGGGATTTGATATGGGGAATATGATACAAGGATGATATCAAAATTTTCCAAGGGAATGTTGTGACAGAGGCAGTGTTGATACCATCTTAGAGATATTCCCCATATCATCCTGACATGTGAATGATGACCTTATACCATGGTCAAGAGCAATACCTAAAATCCTCTGTTGAACAAGAGAAAAATGAAATTGAAAAAATGATTTTTTGGGATAAACAAAATGAACATTTTTGAAAATATGAAAATTTAAATAAATACCCTGGTTGATATCCATATCATCCCTGATATCATCCCTCGAATCCCAATATCATCCTCATCCCAAATATGTGATTTATCAGTTGATATTGTATACTTTAAATTGGTCTGACCATGGTTTAAATATATATCCTCATGTGGTCCTTCATACATATCCAAGTGATTTCATTTTTTTGCCTCAAATTGTATGTGTATTTGATTTTATAAGTTACCAGTTGATTACATGTTGCTTTTTGTGGTCCTTCATACATATCCAAGTGATTTCATTTTTTGCCTCAAAAAATTTGTGTACGTGATTTCATAAGTTACCAGTTGTTTACACGTTGCATTATCCTTGCCTTCCTTTGATAGAAGGTAGGCATTCACCTTATCAGCCACCCAATTTGGTTTATTAAATTTGTCTAACTGTTTGTTTGTTCCGCTGACCTCTTCCTCAATACAGTACCTTTGTATCTTGTCTCGCACTTGGTTGAATTTTGATAATTCTGTACTCATTCTCTCCTTCCCAAAATCGTTGATGATATTCCAAAATGTTTTGTTGTAGTACTGATATAGCGTTTCATCACCCATGTTGAGTTCTCTGATTTTCCTATATGCTTTGGGGTATGTCACATCTATTCCAGTTGTTTTCTTAGCTTGGACATTTTTACTGATGTATACAATGTCATCGAATGACCAGTTCATTAGATGTTTTAACAATATTAGACCTTCATTGAAGTATTCTGATATCATCACAAGGTCAAATGTTCTGTCCATTTCCTGAATTTTCTTCTCAACCTTAATGATATTTTTAGCATCCGTTGGTTCCATCCCCAGGTCATATAACTGTCTATTTGCACATTTCCCAGATTCTGTTATTATGTTAGTTGAATTTTCTATAATTGAAAGAAATTTGTCAATGTTCTGTATACCGAAGCAGTTCTTCCTCCAATTGTCAAAATATTTAAATGCAGAAATAAAATTATATGTTGGTTCTCGTAACATTGTAATTGCTTTCCCTTCTGGTTTGAGCACATCAAATACTTCATCACTGTGTCTGAGGTGTTGGCAGATGATATCGTATCTCGAATAGGGAGCCTTCAACTTCATAGGAAAGTTTTTCTGGAAAAGCCGAGGATATTGTAATAGGTGACTACTTGCGTCTAATGCGAATGATAAATTTTTTATGTCTCCATATCTCTGCAAAATGCTCTGTAGTGTACTGCTTCCAGTTTTATGAATTTTCAAAAAATATATACTGTTTAGTGGATGATATCCCCTGCTTTCATTGTTCAATGTTACATTGTCATTTAATTGTTTCAAATTCTCTGAAGGTGTTGCACATATATCTTTCAATTGTGAAGAATTCTTTGAAAATGTTGATCCCCATATTTTCTTCAACTTGATGTTTGACTCAAAACCTTTTCCATGAGTTGATAGCTTTGATATCATGATGTACATTACAACTACTGCACAAAGTGCTATGCTAATCCTCCTTAAAAAATCTTTTGGGACTTTCATGATTCCGTTGTTTAGAATTTGAATCAGTATATATTCTTGGAAAATAACAACATCAAATCCTATTTCTCTGGTCTTTATTCTTGTTTTGTCCTCTAAATCAGATACTGGTATATAGATATGCCTTGTTAGCTAGCAGTTTAAATATTCAATCTCAATGGATATTATTGGCTAATAGCATTACATATAATCAGATACATCACTGCTAAACTGAAGGTAGTTTTGATCAATATCCTTTGTTGGAAATCTTTCTTTTTGAGCTTCAATATTGTGTAGTTCAGTTTTCAGTATATTTATCCGAGTAACTCTCATTTATTGAATTATTTTTTCTTCTTCCAAACAATTCTGAAAAGTTATATTTGAATGATTTTTTTTATTTCTCTATTCAAACATTACAAGTACAATAATTAGAACAATTCAGATATTTTTACACCACCTCCATTCATTCAGACATTTGCAACAGTCATACTTTTAAGTTCAGGTACATAATAAAACATTTTTTTATCGCAATCTAAGGTGCTATATTGTAATCAGTTTGCCGGGCGGTTGGGTGGGCGGGAGGGCGTCTCGAATAATCTTGTCTACAGGTTTCCAGCCAAACCGTTTGAGGGATTCATTTGAAATTCTCAGGGATGTTTCTACCTATGAAAGTTTAGAACTGATCAGTTTTTCGGCATTCTGGGTAAATGTTAAGGCGGCCATTTTGGATTTTCTGTCCTAAAATCTTGTCTGTCAAGGCTTGTCTACAGGTTTCCAGCCAAACCGTTTGAGGGATTCATTTGAAATTCTCAGGGATGTTTCTACCTATGAACGTTTAGAACTGATTAGTTTTTTCGGCATTCTGGGTAAATGTTAAGGTGGCCATTTTGGATTTTCCGTCCTAAAATCTTGTCTGTCAAGGCTTCCAGCCAAACCGTTTGAGGGATTCATTTGAAATTCTCAGGGATGTTTCTACCTATGGAAGTTTAGAACTGATTAGTTTTTCGGCATTCTGGATAAATGTTAAGGCGGCCATTTTGGATTTTCCGTCCTAAAATCTTGTCTGTCAAGGCTTGTCTACAGGTTTCCAGCCAAACCATATGAGGGATTCATTTGAAATTCTCAGGGTTGTTTCTACCTATGAAAGTTTAGAACTGACTAGTTTTTCGGCATTCTGGGTAAATGTTAAGGTGGCCATTTTGGATTTTCGGTCCTAAAATCTTGTCTGTCAAGGCTTGTCAACACTGGTTTCCAGCCAAACCGTTTGAGGGATTCTTTTGAAATTCTCAGGGATGTTTCTACCTATGAAAGTTTAGAACTGATTAGTTTTTCGACATTCTGGATAAATGTTAAGACGGCCATTTCTGTTCAAGGGTGCGATATTGTTCACCGTGTTTATTTTTTCGAATTGCGCCTCATACAAATTTTGATTTACTTCGTCGAACTCTTTTGTAAAAATATAGTACTTAATTGCAAGGGTAAGTCTATTTGGTGAGATATTATTCTCATTAGCTTGCCTTCCAAAAACCATGTCTTAGGCATTAAAATCGAAATCAACTTTAAATAAACGCTTTAAATTCCCTTTGATTGCTTTCAGAAATATTTGAATCCTTTTGCACTCTCAGAATTAGTGTTTTAATGTATCTCGAGAGGCACAATAGTCACATTTAGAATCATTTTTAATGCCTATCTGTGCTAAAAAGGCATTTGTAGTCCAGATACCATGAAGTATTTTAAATTGAAGTTGTCGCGTTTTATTCTGTTATGTTTGAATGATATATTTTCATCCTATCGAAAGAAGTTTGGAGAGATATAGGGAACGCCTCTGTCCATCCGTCCATCAGTCTGTCCAGGCAATAACTCAAAATGGCAGCCATTTTAGTACTGATTTTACAGTTATTGATGTACTGCATATAAAACTGTAATAGCAATATGTTTTAAATGTAAACAAGTTATATAGCATATTGATTAAGCTAGAAATGTAAATATAGAAGAAATACATGGCAGCCATCTTGAAAAATGGCTGCCTTTGCACATCATTTTACAATTTTTGCTGTAACTTAAAAAGTAGTGGAGCGATTTTGGCTACAGGAGCAGGTCAAAGCCATCCACAACAAGCCAGTAGCACTACGACACCTACCACTAGCACTGAGGCTAGACCAGCTAATCCATTTGCATAACCATGCACTATGTTTAACCATATATTGCAGGAGGTATAAGCCAACAGGCTACAGGAGCAGGTCAAGGCCATCCACAACAAGCCAGTAGCACTACGACACCTACCACTAGCACTGAGACTAGACCAGCTAATCCATTTGCATACACTATGTTAAACCATATATTACAGGAGGTATAAGCCAACAGGCTACAGGAGCAGGTCAAAGCCATCCACAACAAGCCAGTAGCACTACGACACCTACCACTAGCACTGAGACTAGACCAGCTAATCCATTTGCTGGCCTATTCCAATCAGGCCCAATGCAAGCGCCAACTGGGCAACAGGGAAGCAGTAGAGCTGGCAGCCAAGGGTTCCTAGATCAACTTAGAGGAGTTCTCAGAGATGGAAATGTGAGTCTTTTTTTATGTCACTATTCGGAGTGGTGACAAATCAGCAGGTGACCTATTGTTATGGTCTCCTACCTTTTTGTGGCTGGTGTTTCGGTGGTTTGTGATCTGTGAGTTTTCGGCATCTGTAACAAATGGCAGGTTGTGACATTTTGAATCTATAATGCCTTGTTATTGTTAGTTGAGTAAATGGGGGTTAAAAGAATGACACTATTTTCCCAGGGTCTGAATATACCAATGGAAACCAGAGAGAAAAGAAAAACATATTTGACAGTTTCATGCCACTTTGGTGATGTCAGTTGTAAACCCTCAGTCACATTTGACCTATTTCGACTGTATGTTGGCCATAGCTTCCCAAAATCAGCTAAATATGCAGCACAAACAGTGATACGCTATTTGATGTAGATTATTCACATTAATTTTGTAAAGCTACAGCCACAGCAGAGCAAATGCAACTCAGGCTTTACATCTGGAAATGTCTCATTTGATCATGATCAATTATTGCATAAATGTTTTCAATAATAAATATCAGAAAATGATTTGATAATATAAAAATTGAAAACTCTTTATCTCCAGCCACGGTCTCCAGAGGTCCCCAGGAATGAACCTGCAGCCCCCGCAGCTGATGGTAGCGAAACACAGGCCCCACCCCCTGTCATGTCAGATGAGCTCTTTGCACAGATGGTGTCGGGAATTGGCAACTATGTAACGCAGGCTTCTGTCGGTAACCCCTCCCAAGACACTATTCTAGACTTTGTAGGTTCACTCGGGCAGAGATACAATATCAGCCAGGGAGAAGGTAAATAACAATTTTAAAATAGAGAAATCTGAAATTCAATTGTTGAATGATGAATGAAATGATCGTTTGACATAAAATTATCCAAAGCCAATAAATCGACATAAAAGGACAGAAATGTTCAAATCCATGATATTATGATAAATATATAGCAGTTTAAACGAAAATTTCTCAATTATAGAATTTTTAAAAAATAAAACTCGACATAATGTAAGAATATAAGATTCCATCCCCCTTTCCCTGTCAGAGAGAATATTAGATTCCATCCCCCTTGCCTTATTAGATTCCATACCCCCTCTCTCCTTCCCTCCCTCCTAGAGAGAATATTAGATCTATATTATGATGACAAACCTTATCTATTTTCAGGTCTATTGAATGACATATTCAACCATGTCGGGAGATACCTGACTTTTCCTGATGTTATGCAAGTGTTTCTAGGCAACCCAGCCCCCCTGCAGGCTCTATGCACTCCCCTGCAGGAGTTCATTAAGGAGAAGATTCTCAAAGGAGAAGAGCCAAGTCCTGAGAATATTGAAGCAGCTGTTAAGAGAATCGTAGATGGTATGCAGGCTGAAATACAAAATATGTGTGTAAGTATTTTTTTAAATATACACCTGGAAAAATTGGTTAAAAGTTGTCTGGTAAAGAGCAAGAGATTTCTCAAAGTTTTGAGATGCCACTTTATATGGAATCATTTGCAATTTTAAAATTCGAATTGAGGTTTGTGACAATCAAAAATATGCCAAATTCTAACATATTGTCATTTAATCCATTGCCCAAGAGGGAACTCATTTTTCTAAGTTCATTGCCACGAGTAAAAATTAATTGCTAACACAGTAAGGTGGCTATGAGCTTCAAAACCTGCTTTGAATTTTCAAAATTTCTCATTAATGTTATTATTAAAATATTGTTACCATAGCAACAATGTTTATTTCCAGGAAAATGTGGAAGTTAAGGATGACATTGACTTCCAGGCTACTGTTTCTGAGTTTTGTCGACATCAACTAACAGCAACCGTTAGGATGATCTTGAATTCGTCTCGTAAGTATAATGTTTATAAAATATAACTGAGTGATCAAAAAAAGGTTCAGGTATATAGAGGTTATCTACTTGGAGGAATTGAATATGGGTTTTATTCTGAGGGACAAGATGGTATTCATGAAGATAGTTTTAAGATAGTAATATGGTTAAGGTACATGTTTTTTAAAAGTAACTTGTTAATAAATGTGTAATATAATGGCCTGAGGATATTGTGGCCTCTCAACTGAATTTTACAAGGACCTCATTACAACTCTTTTTTTATCATTGATAAACTGCACTTTTAAAGAAAAACGCTCAGGGATTTTATTCCGAGTGTTATCAATGTTTCAATATTTGTAATCAACTAAACTGATAATATAATACAACACACAATTTTGTATTGATGTTATATTGAATATTTGCATTGAATTAATGATGAGAGTCTCATATATTATTTATAACTTTAAGGGTTTCCTTCAATGGTATTATTACTAAACATAATTGTCCAAGCTTGTATGTGTATTGATTCACCTGCTCTGGTCATTATTGGTGTTATTAGGTTTAACCCATGTATGAAACACAATTTCCTATATATATAATAAAGGTATATTTATTATGCAAATGTAAAAATTGGTAATGCCCTGGTTATTATTGGTGTTATTAGCTTCAACCCATGTATCAAACACAATTTCCTATATATATAATAATAATTGATAATAAAGGTATATTTATTATGCAAATGTAAAAATGGGTAATGCCCTGGTCATTATGGGTGTTTTTAAATTGTTTGATGTGAAATTTTTGTATGGGCAATTATAGTAAAAATGATAGTAGGTAATAATAGTAAAACATTAAAGTGGAACACCTAATTGAGTGGAATGCCTGTGTAAGTGAAACTTTTAAACATGGCTTATGAGTTAATCCCATAGATAATCCAATTAATCATTGATATTATATGAGCTTTTAATGAAGATAATACATTTGTTTTTGTGCTCAGAAAGTACTCGTAAAAAAAGTTACCACTCTTTGAAATCTGTTGCCATAACGTCCGTGGTCTTATTAATATTTTATGAATGTTTCTATGATTTTAAATATTCATCCACATATTTTTTCAATTAAAATGAATTCAAATCCATAAAAATCCAAATATTGTTGATGTATAAACACTTGAAATTGGACAAGAAATTTTCCTTCAAAATCAGCAAAATGATCAAAATTTTCAAGAGGAGGGAAAACTCCATGATTCAATTGATGACATACGATTTCCTCCTTCGCGCACCTCCTTTACCAGAAGTACGTATATTTGTTTACAAAATGGCGACTTTCATAAAGGAAAAAAAATTGACGTAGTTTTAGACCAATCAACGATCGACTCGCTAAACCAATCAGCGACGATGTAATCTCAATACAGATTTACATTATAAGCGTATGTCATCTTTGAACCCTGGGATTTCTCCCCCTCTTAAAATTTTCCTTCAAAATCAGCAAAAGTTTGAAATGATTCCACTGTCCAGTTTTCAATAATGTTTTTGATGTGAATGAGTACTGTATATGCAAAAACCAGTTTGAAATGTTTGCTTGTAGCCACTGACCCCAACTTTGGAAATAGCTTGTTTGAGAGATGCCGATGCGTAATACACGAAGCAGTGGTCCTCGGAAGATATTGTCTCCAAGGGGGTATGTCTGGTGTAGAGGCATTGCTCAACAATAGAATGGTAAGATATTGTCTCCAAGGGGGTATGTCTGGTGTAGAGGCATTGCTCAACAATAGAATGGTAAGATATTGTCTCTAAGGGGGTATGTCTGGCATAGAGGCATTGCTCAACAATAGAATGGTAAGATATTGTCTCCAAGGGGGTATGTCTGGTGTAGAGGCATTGTTCAACAATAGAATGGTAAGATATTGTCTCCAAGGGGGTATGTCTGGTAGAGGCATTGCTCAACAATAGATTGGTAAGATATTGTCTCCAAGGTGGTATGTCTGGCGTAGAGGCATTGCTCAACAATAGAATGGTAAGATATTGTCTCTAAGGGGGTATGTCTGGTGTAGAGGCATTGCTCAACAATAGAATGGTAAGATATTGTCTCTAAGGGGGTATATCTGGCGTAGAGGCATTGCTCAACAATAGATTGGTAAGATATTGTCTCCAAGGGGGTATGTCTGGTGTAGAGGCATTGCTCAACAATAGAATGGTAAGATATTGTCTCTAAGGGGGTATATCTGGCGTAGAGGCATTGCTCAACAATAGATTGGTAAGATATTGTCTCCAAGGTGGTATGTCTGGCGTAGAGGCATTGCTCAACAATAGAATGGTAAGATATTGTCTCTAAGGGGGTATATCTGGCGTAGAGGCATTGCTCAACAATAGATTGGTAAGATATTGTCTCCAAGGGGGTATGTCTGGTGTAGAGGCATTGCTCAACAATAGAATGGTAAGATATTGTCTCCAAGGGGGTATGTCTGGTAGAGGCATTGCTCAACAATAGATTGGTAAGATATTGTCTCCAAGGGGGTATGTCTGGCGTAGAGGCATTGCTCAACAATAGAATGGTAAGATATTGTCTCCAAGGGGGTATGTCTGGTAGAGGCATTGCTCAACAATAGATTGGTAAGATATTGTCTCCAAGGGGGTATGTCTGGCGTAGAGGCATTGCTCAACAATAGAATGGTAAGATATTGTCTCCAAGGGGGTATGTCTGGCGTAGAGGCATTGCTCAACAATAGATTGGTAAGATATTGTCTCCAAGGGGGTATGTCTGGCGTAGAGGCATTGCTCAACAATAGAATGGTAAGATATTGTCTCCAAGGGGTATGTCTGGCGTAGAGGCATTGCTCAACAATAGAATGGTAAGATATTGTCTCTAAGGGGGTATGTCTGGTAGAGGCATTGCTCAACAATAGATTGGTAAGATATTGTCTCTAAGGGGGTATGTCTGGCGTAGAGGCATTGCTCAACAATAGAATGGTAAGATATTGTCTCTAAGGGGGTATGTCTGGCGTAGAGGCATTGCTCAACAATAGAATGGTAAGATATTGTCTCTAAGGGGGTATGTCTGGCGTAGAGGCATTGCTCAACAATAGAATGGTAAGATATTGTCTCAAAGGGGGAATGTCTGGCGTAGAGGCATTGCTCAACAATAGAATGGTAAGATATTGTCTCTAAGGGGGTATGTCTGGCGTAGAGGCATTGCTCAACAATAGAATGGTAAGATATTGTCTCAAAGGGGGTATGTCTGGCGTAGAGGCATTGCTCAACAATAGAATTGTAAGATATTGTCTCCAAGGGGGTATGTCTGGCGTAGAGGCATTGCTCAACAATAGAATGGTAAGATATTGTCTCCAAGGGGGTATGTCTGGCGTAGAGGCATTGCTCAACAATAGAATGGTAAGATATTGTCTCAAAGGGGGTATGTCTGGTGTAGAGGCATTGCTCAACAATAGAATGGTAAGATATTGTCTCCAAGGGGGTATGTCTGGCGTAGAGGCATTGCTCAACAATAGAATGGTAAGATATTGTCTCCAAGGGGGTATGTCTGGTAGAGGCATTGCTCAACAATAGATTGGTAAGATATTGTCTCCAAGGGGGTATGTCTGGCGTAGAGGCATTGTTCAACAATAGAATGGTAAGATATTGTCTCCAAGGGGGTATGTCTGGTAGAGGCATTGCTCAACAATAGATTGGTAAGATATTGTCTCCAAGGGGGTATGTCTGGCATAGAGGCATTGCACAACAATAGAATGGTAAGATATTGTCTCTAAGGGGGTATGTCTGGCATAAAGGCATTGCTCAACAATAGAATGGTAAGATATTGTCTCCAAGGGGGTATGTCTGGTAGAGGCATTGCTCAACAATAGAATGGTAAGATATTGTCTCCAAGGGGGTATGTCTGGTGTAGAGGCATTGCCCAACAATAGAATGGTAAGATATTGTGTCCAAGGGGGTATGTCTGGTGTAGAGGCATTGCTCAACAATAGAATGGTAAGATATTGTCTCCAAGGGGGTATGTCTGGTGTAGAGGCATTGCCCAACAATTGAATGGTAAGATATTGTCTCCAAGGGGGTATGTCTGGTAGAGGCATTGCTCAACAATAGAATGGTAAGATATTGTGTCCAAGGGGGTATGTCTTGTAGAGGCATTGCTCAACAATAGAACGGTAAGATATTGTCTCCAAGGGGGTATGTCTGGTGTAGAGGCATTGCCCAACAATAGAATGGTAAGATATTGTCTCCAAGAGGGTATGTCTGGCATAGAGGCATTGCTCAACAATAGATTGGTAAGATATTGTCTCTAAGGGGGTATGTCTGGTGTAGAGGCATTGCTCAACAATAGAATGGTAAGATATTGTCTCCAAGGGGGTATGTCTGGCGTAGAGGCATTGCTCAACAATAGAATGGTAAGATATTGTCTCTAAGGGGGTATGTCTGGTGTAGAGGCATTGCTCAACAATAGAATGGTAAGATATTGTCTCCAAGGGGGTATGTCTGGTAGAGGCATTGCTCAACAATAGAATGGTAAGATATTGTCTCCAAGGGGGTATGTCTGGCATAGAGGCATTGCACAACAATAGAATGGTAAGATATTGTCTCTAAGGGGGTATGTCTGGCATAGAGGCATTGCTCAACAATAGAATGGTAAGATATTGTCTCCAAGGGGGTATGTCTGGTAGAGGCATTGCTCAACAATAGATTGGTAAGATATTGTCTCCAAGGGGGTATGTCTGGTAGAGGCATTGCTCAACAATAGAATGGTAAGATATTGTCTCCAGGGGGTATGTCTGGCGTAGAGGCATTGCTCAACAATAGAATGGTAAGATATTGTCTCAAAGGGGGTATGTCTGGTGTAGAGGCATTGCTCAACAATAGAATGGTAAGATATTGTCTCCAAGGGGGTATGTCTGGTGTAGAGGCATTGCTCAACAATAGAATGGTAAGATATTGTCTCTAAGGGGGTATGTCTGGTAGAGGCATTGCTCAACAATAGATTGGTAAGATATTGTCTCCAAGGGGGTATGTCTGGCGTAGAGGCATTGCTCAACAATAGAATGGTAAGATATTGTCTCCAAGGGGGTATGTCTGGCGTAGAGGCATTGCTCAACAATAGAATGGTAAGATATTGTCTCAAAGGGGGTATGTCTGGTGTAGAGGCATTGCTCAACAATAGAATGGTAAGATATTGTCTCAAAGGGGGTATGTCTGGCATAGAGGCATTGCTCAACAATAGAATGGTAAGATATTGTCTCCAAGGGGGTATGTCTGGTAGAGGCATTGCTCAACAATAGATTGGTAAGATATTGTCTCCAAAGGGGTATGTCTGGCGTAGAGGCATTGTTCAACAATAGAATGGTAAGATATTGTCTCCAAGGGGGTATGTCTGGCGTAGAGGCATTGCTCAACAATAGATTGGTAAGATATTGTCTCCAAAGGGGTATGTCTGGCGTAGAGGCATTGTTCAACAATAGAATGGTAAGATATTGTCTCCAAGGGGGTATGTCTGGCATAGAGGCATTGCTCAACAATAGAATGGTAAGATATTGTCTCTAAGGGGGTATGTCTGGCGTAGAGGCATTGCTCAACAATAGATTGGTAAGATATTGTCTCCAAAGGGGTATGTCTGGCGTAGAGGCATTGTTCAACAATAGAATGGTAAGATATTGACTCCAAGGGGGTATGTCTGGCATAGAGGCATTGCTCAACAATAGATTGGTAAGATATTGTCTCCAAGGGGGTATGTCTGGCGTAGAGGCATTGCTCAACAATAGAATGGTAAGATATTGTCTCCAAGGGGGTATGTCTGGCGTAGAGGCATTGCTCAACAATAGAATGGTAAGATATTGTCTCCAAGGGGGTATGTCTGGTGGAGAGGCATTGCTCAACAATAGAATGGTAAGATATTGTCTCCAAGGGGGTATGTCTGGCATAGAGGAATTGCTCAACAATAGAATGGTAAGATATTGTCTCCAAGGGGGTATGTCTGGCATAGAGGCATTGCTCAACAATAGATTGGTAAGATATTGTCTCCAAGAGGGTATGTCTGGCGTAGAGGCATTGCTCAACAATAGAATGGTAAGATATTGTCTCCAAGGGGGTATGTCTGGCATAGAGGCATTGCTCAACAATAGAATGGTAAGATATTGTCTCCAAAGGGGTATGTCTGGTAGAGGCATTGCTCAACAATAAATTGGTAAGATATTGTCTCCAAGGGGTATGTCTGGCATAGAGGCATTGCTCAACAATAGAATGGTAAGATATTGTCTCCAAGGGGTATGTCTGGCGTAGAGGCATTGCTCAACAATAGAATGGTAAGATATTGTCTCCAAGGGGTATGTCTGGCGTAGAGGCATTGCTCAACAATAGATTGGTAAGATATTGTCTCCAAGGGGGTATGTCTGGCGTAGAGGCATTGCTCAACAATAGATTGGTAAGATATTGTCTCCAAGGGGGTATGTCTGGCGTAGAGGCATTGCTCAACAATAGAATGGTAAGATATTGTCTCCAAGGTGGTATGTCTGGTGTAGAGGCATTGCTCAACAATAGAATGGTAAGATATTGTCTCCAAGGGGGTATGTCTGGTAGAGGCATTGCTCAACAATAGAATGGTAAGATATTGTCTCCAAGGGGGTATGTCTGGCATAGAGGCATTGCTCAACAATAGAATGGTAAGATATTGTCTCCAAGGTGGTATGTCTGGTGTAGAGGCATTGCTCAACAATAGAATGGTAAGATATTGTCTCCAAGGGGGTATGTCTGGTGTAGAGGCATTGCTCAACAATAGAATGGTAAGATATTGTCTCCAAGGGGGTATGTCTGGCGTAGAGGCATTGTTCAACAAAAGAATGGTAAGATATTGTCTCCAAGGGGGTATGTCTGGTAGAGGCATTGCTCAACAATAGATTGGTAAGATATTGTCTCCAAGGGGGTATGTCTGGCGTAGAGGCATTGCTCAACAATAGAATGGTAAGATATTGTCTCCAAGGGGGTATGTCTGGTGTAGAGGCATTGCTCAACAATAGAATGGTAAGATATTGTCTCCAAGGGGGTATATCTGGCGTAGAGGCATTGCTCAACAATAGAATGGTAAGATATTGTGTCCAAGGGGGTATATCTGGTGTAGAGGCATTGTTCAACAATAGAATGGTAAGATATTGTCTCCAAAGGGGTATATCTGGCGTAGAGGCATTGCTCAACAATAGAATGGTAAGATATTGTGTCCAAGGGGGTATATCTGGCATAGAGGCATTGCTCAACAATAGAATGGTAAGATATTGTCTCCAAGGGGGTATATCTGGCGTAGAGGCATTGCTCAACAATAGAATGGTAAGATATTGTCTCCAAGGGGGTATGTCTGGTGTAGAGGCATTGCTCAACAATAGAATGGTAAGATATTGTCTCCAAGGGGGTATATCTGGCGTAGAGGCATTGCTCAACAATAGAATGGTAAGATATTGTCTCCAAGGGGGTATGTCTGGTGTAGAGGCATTGCTCAACAATAGAATGGTAAGATATTGTCTCCAAGGGGGTATGTCTGGTAGAGGCATTGCTCAACAATAGAATGGTAAGATATTGTCTCCAAGGGGGTATGTCTGGTAGAGGCATTGCTCAACAATAGAATGGTAAGATATTGTCTCCAAGGGGGTATGTCTGGTGTAGAGGCATTGCTCAACAATAGAATGGTAAGATATTGTCTCCAAGGGGGTATATCTGGCGTAGAGGCATTGCTCAACAATAGAATGGTAAGATATTGTCTCCAAGGGGGTATGTCTGGCGTAGAGGCATTGCTCAACAATAGAATGGTAAGATATTGTCTCCAAGGGGGTATGTCTGGCGTAGAGGCATTGCTCAACAATAGAATGGTAAGATATTGTCTCCAAGGGGGTATGTCTGGTGTAGAGGCATTGCTCAACAATAGAATGGTAAGATATTGTCTCCAAGGGGGTATGTCTGGCGTAGAGGCATTGCTCAACAATAGAATGGTAAGATATTGTCTCCAAGGGGGTATGTCTGGCGTAGAGGCATTGCTCAACAATAGAATGGTAAGATATTGTCTCCAAGGGGGTATGTCTGGTGTAGAGGCATTGCTCAACAATAGAATGGTAAGATATTGTCTCCAAGGGGGTATGTCTGGTGTAGAGGCATTGCTCAACAATAGAATGGTAAGATATTGTATTCATAGGAAAGCTTGTTTGAGAACAACAAACAAATAATAATATTTTATATTATCCTGGGTATAATCCCAATATCCCGAACCTCATATAGGATAATCTATATGTATCTCATACTCAGAGGGGGTTTAAATAAAACCTCAGCAAATATGGCCCAACACAATAACAAAATATAAATTTATATGAAATACACCTGTGTCCCTCGGGAGATACACATATTTCCCTTGGGATAAACCCTGTATCCAAAACCTCCCAGTACATAACCCTTATGTACACTAAATAACTTTTTGTCCTCAGCGCTACATATCTAGTGATGTGAACCCAATGATCCAACAATGGATGTGTGGAATGGCCGTGAGGCAACTCCATGAGGTGACTCCAAATATACGCGTAGCAGATCAGCAAGTGTATCACTACATCATCAGACACAATAGGGAAATGGATGCAAGCCCTACAAGGTCCCAATCATCAGAGTCCTCTTTTATGTCAGCTGAGAGTGAGGGGACTGCCGACACTGCTACAGCTGCAGTTGAGGTACTAATAGACTACATGCGAGTAGAAATAATCTTTATTTACCTCATTAAATATTCAAAATTCAGTCAAAGTGATGTCATATTTGAAATCTACAAGTAAAAGTACATCTAGAAATATGGTTTCGAAAATTGTTTATCAACTTTGAAAATTAAATTTTTTTGAAAATGTGACTTCTAGTTCAGGTTAATTCGCATAACTAATAGATACATAAAGGTTATTTATGTATCTATTTCAGCAATTTAAACTTTTATGTTAAAAAGTGTGATATTTCAAATCATTTAAAATGCTTTTATTTAATGTTGATGTTTCCAGCGAATGGATGTTGACAGCGAATCAGATAAGAGACCTGGTTCTGAGTCAGAACGTGAACCTGAGGTTGAGCGAGACGTACCAGATTCAGAGCTTCCAATCAGACGAGGTCCTCTGAGAATCCCCGATCCTCGCCCCCACGCCCCAAGAATCAACGGAGCGACCCCGAGAGAACGAGGTGTTGAAAATGATGATTGGCAATCTCAGGTTCCATCTGTGAGTAAATGAATATACAGTTTGTGTTTGATATCAGTTTTTATGATTTATAGGGAATTGTTTTCATTATCATAATTAGACTCCAGATGTCAATCTGGAGTCTATTGTTTTTGTCAGTATTATTGTTTATTATTATTCTTTATTAGACTCCAGATGAAATCTGGAGTCTATTGTTTTCGTCAGTTTTCTTATTCTTATTATTCTTATTATTCTAACCCAGTTTTCTCAATAACCATAAGGTTTTCAGTAAAGTCAGTCATTTGGTCAATTTAGGTCCAGAATCTAGTTCCTCGGAAATTGGGTCAAATTTTTATCTAGGTCAAAGGTCAAGAACTAGGTCAAATCCAGTACTTTGTCACTTTTTTCGATTTTCTCGGTCGTCCTTCAATATTTTTGATCCGGGTTTTTTTCATTGTGTTCCTTATAAAAAAGTAGGAAACCTAGGGTCGATTTAGTTTTTTGATATCTCAAACCGATTTCGAGATATCAGTGTCCGAAAACGAGGTCCAAAAAAAGTTCTCCGAATCAAATGTCCAGGATATTAGTCTTATAGGAAATTTTCTCAGGATTCCGAATCTGAAAACCAAATTCGAATCAGACTTCCGGTTCGGAAGTTATGGCGTTTTGAAAGCTCAAAAATCGCTAAATTTGGTGCCCATGTTAAGTCAATGGGAAAAAAGATTTTTTTGAAGTGAAAAATACGAAATATAGACTGAGTTCAGCTAAATATAATGAAAGCTTTTAAAAGAATGGGACCTCAAAAGCCATCTAGCTTCAAAATTTGGACACCAAAATGCCTAGGTCAAAATCTAGGTCAAATTCAAAGTTTTTCCTTATTTTTGCTATTCTGACACTACAGATTAATTATATTCTTCGAAATTTTGTATACATGTAGCCAAGAGTGCGCTAATAGAGTTAACCTTTTGCCGTCAGAAAGTATTTTGACCCACTTTTGAGATATGGTGTCCGAAAAGTAGGTCAAAATAAAAAGTTCTCCAAATTTAACGTTTGAGTTATGAATTAAGAATAGAATTTTCTCAGAAATCCGAATCTGCAAACCAAATTTCAATCCAACTTCCGGTTCCGAAGTTATGACGTGTCCGAAAAGTAGGTCAAAATAAAATTCGCCAAATTTAACGTATGAGTTATGAATTAGGGGTAGAATTTTGTCAAGAATCCGAATCTGCAAATCAAATTTCGATCCGACTCCCGGTTCGGAAGTTATGGCGTTTTGAAATTTCAAGAAAAATCGATCTGATGGTATCCTGATAGAAAGTCAAGAGTAGAGAAGAAAATATTGAAAAATGCATCCATCCTTCCTTTCTGATCCTATCCTATCCTTCCTATCTACCCTTGCTTCGTATCCTCTCCTTCCTATTCTATCCCTTCTTCCTATTCTATTCTATCCTTTCCTATTCTATCCTATCGTTCCTTCCTATTCTATCCTATCCTTCCTTCCTTTTTCATCCATCCATCCATCCATCCATCCATCCTTCTTTTTCTTGATGACTTAGCTTATTTTGGATGACTTGACTTATACTGGATGACTCGGCTAAAAAAAGTCTAGATCTGGAGTCTGAAATTGAACTCGTTCAATTTCCAAAATCTAGTTATTTTTCTTTCCCAGTTTTCTCGTTAACTAGAAGATATTGAGTCAAGTCTTATATATGGTCCATTTAGGTCCTAGATCTAGTTTCTCGGAAATTGGGTCAAATTTTTATCTAGGTCAAAGGTCAAGAACTAGGTCAAATCTTACATTTTCAACATTCTGTCATCTATCTTCGTCGTTGTTTATCGTAACTCCTAAATCTTTTTTTCATCATGTAGCTTAGAAAAAGCCAAAGCAAAGATATGATATTAGATTTTTGATTACGCTTACCGATTTTGAAATATGGCGTCCAGAAAGTAGGTCAAAATAACGGGTTCTCCAAATTTAACATCTGAGTTATGAATTAAGGGTAGAATTTACTCAGGAATCCGAATCTGCAAACCAAATTTCGATCCGACTTCCGGTTCGAAAGTTATGGCGTTTTGAAATTTCGAGAAAAATCGATCTGATGATATCCTTATAGAAAGTCAAGAGTAGCGAAGAAAATATAGAAAAAATCATCCATCCTTCCTTCCTATCCTGTCTGATCATATCCTTCCTATCTATCCTTCCTTCCTATCCTTTCCTTCCTACCCTATCCTTCCTTCCTATTCTATATCCTATCCTATATCCTATCCAATCATATCCTTCTTTCCTATCCTTCCTATCCTTCCTTCCTATCCTATACTATCCTATCGTTTCTTCCTATTCTATCCTATCCTTCCTTCCTATTCTGTCCTATCCTTCCGCCTATCAATCCATCCATTCATCCATCAGTCCAGCCATCCACTTGCTTATTCTGGATGACTCGGCTTATGCTGGATGACTCAGATTATTCTGGATGACTTGGCTTATTCTGGATGACTCGGCTTATTGTGGATGACTCAGCTTAAAAAGTCTAAATCTGGAGTCTGAAATTGAACTTGTTCAATTTCCAAAGTCTAGTTATCTCTCTGTTTAAAACATTATGGAGGTTAAGCTGTATGATTTATAAGAACTTGCACATGAATACCAGTATGTAATATTAAGACCATCTCTCTGTTTAAAACATTATGGAGGTTAAGCTGTATGATTTATAAGAACTTGCACATGAATACCAGTATGTAATATTAAGACCATCTCTCTGTTTAAAACATTATGGAGGTTAAGCTGTATGATTTATAAGAACTTGTACATGAATACCAGTATGTAATATTAAGACCATCTCTCTGTTTAAAACATTATGGAGGTTAAGCTGTATGATTTATCAGAACTTGTACATGAATACCAGTATGTAATATTAAGACCATCTCTCTGTTTAAAACATTATGGAGGTTAAGCTGTATGATTTATAAGAACTTGCACATGAATACCAGTATGTAATATTAAGACCGTCTCTCTGTTTAAAACATTATGGAGGTTAAGCTGTATGATTTATAAGAACTTGTACATGAATACCGGTATGTAATATTAAGACCATAATGCATTACTCTTTCCCTCTCAATTGGTTTATTCAGGAGCCTGATCATGAATATTTCCCTCATACCTCTAGTCCTCTATAGTCAATCGGGCAAGTTAATACCATTAAATGGAAAACTAACACCGGAGGACCATAATTCTGCCCAACGTCGTCAACCTCCCCAACCACCTTTTAGCGACACCTACCTACAATTATTCATGTCTATATAGAGATTGTATTCATATTATTGATATATCATTACAGGACTGGGTGCCTATCATTACTCGTGACATTGCTACCCAACGTCGTCAACCTCCCCAACCACCTTTTAGTGACATCTACTTACCATTAATTATGTCTATATAGAGATTGAATTCATATTATTGATATATCATTACAGGACTGGGTGCCTATCATTACTCGTGACATTGCTACCCAATGTCGTCCACCTCCCCAACCACCTTTTAGTGACACCTACTTACCATTAATTATGTCTATATAGAGATTGAATTCATATTATTGATATATCAATACAGGACTGGGTGCCTATCATTACTCGTGACATTGCTACCTAACTTTGTCAACCTCCCCAACCACCTTTTATTGACATCTACTTACCATTAATTATGTCTATATAGAGATTGAATTCATATTATTGATATATCATTACAGGACTGGGTGCCTATCATTACTCGTGACATTGCTACCCAACGTTGTCAACCTCCCCAACCACCTTTTATTGACATCTACTTACCATTAATTATGTCTTTATAGCGATTGAATTCATATTATTGATATATCATTACAGGACTGGGTGCCTATCATTACTCGTGACATTGCTACCCAACGTCGTCAACCTCCCCAACCACCTTTTAGTGACACCTACTTACCATTATTCATGTCTATATAGAGATTGAATTCATATATTGTTGATATATCATTACAGGACTGGGTGCCTATCATTACTCGTGACATTGCTACCCAACGTCAACCTCCCAACCACCTTTTAGCGACACCTACCTATCATTATTCATGTCTATATAGAGATTGAATTCATATTATTGATATATCATTACAGGACTGGGTGCCTATCATTACTCGTGACATTGCTACCCAACGTCGTCAACCTCCCCAACCACCTTTTAGTGACACCTACTTACCATTATTCATGTCTATATAGAGATTGAATTCATATATTGTTGATATATCATTACAGGACTGGGTGCCTATCATTACTCGTGACATTGCTACCCAACGTCGTCCACCTCCCCAACCACCTTTTAGTGACACCTACCTATCATTATTCATGTCTATATAGAGATTGAATTCATATTATTGATATATCATTACAGGACTGGGTGCCTATCATTACTCGTGACATTGCTACCCAACGTCGTCAACCTCCCCAACCACCTTTTAGTGACACCTACTTACCATTATTCATGTCTATATAGAGATTGAATTCATATATTGTTGATATATCATTACAGGACTGGGTGCCTATCATTACTCGTGACATTGCTACCCAACGTTGTCAACCTCCCCAACCACCTTTTATTGACATCTACTTACCATTAATTATGTCTATATAGAGATTGAATTCATATTATTGATATATCATTACAGGACTGGGTGCCTATCATTACACGTGACATTGCTACCCAACGTCGTCAACCTCCCCAACCACCTTTTAGTGACACCTACTTACCATTAATTATGTCTATATAGAGATTGAATTCATATTATTGATTTATCATTACAGGACTGGGTGCCTATCATTACTCGTGACATTGCTACACAACATCGTCCACCTCCCCAACCACCTTTAATGACACCTACCTACCTACCATTATTCATGTCTATATAGAGATTGAATTCATATTATTGATATATCATTACAGGACTGGGTGCCTATCATTACACGTGACATTGCTACCCAACGTCGTCCACCTCCCCAACCACCTTTTAGTGACACCTACTTACCATTATTCATGTCTATAAAGAGATTGAATTCATATTATTGATATATCATTACAGGACTGGGTGCCTATCATTACTCGTGACATTGCTACCCAACGTCAACCTCCCCAACCACCTTTTAGTGACACCTACTTACCATTATTCATGTCTATATAGAGATTGAATTCATATTATTGATATATCATTACAGGACTGGGTGCCTATCATTACACGTGACATTGCTACCCAACGTCAACCTCCCAACCACCTTTTAGCGACACCTACCTATCATTATTCATGTCTATATAGAGATTGAATTCATATTATTGATATATCATTACAGGACTGGGTGCCTATCATTACTCGTGACATTGCTACCCAACGTTGTCAACCTCCCCAACCACCTTTTAGTGACATCTACTTACCATTAATTATGTCTATATAGAGATTGAATTCATATTATTGATATATCATTACAGGACTGGGTGCCTATCATTACTCGTGACATTGCTACCCAACGTCGTCAACCTCCCCAACCACCTTTTAGTGACACCTACTTACCATTATTCATGTCTATATAGAGATTGAATTCATATTATTGATATATCATTACAGGACTGGGTGCCTATCATTACTCGTGACATTGCTACCCAATGTCGTCAACCTCCCCATCCACCTTTTAGTGACACCTACTTACCATTATTCATGTCTATATAGAGATTGAATTCATATTATTGATATATCATTACAGGACTGGGTGCCTATCATTACTCGTGACATTGCTACCCAACGTCGTCCACCTCCCCAACCACCTTTTAGTGACACCTACTTACCATTATTCATGTCTATATAGAGATTGAATTCATATTATTGATATATCATTACAGGACTGGGTGCCTATCATTACTCGTGACATTGCTACCCAACGTCAACTTCCCCAACCACCTTTTAGTGACACCTACTTACCATTAATTATGTCTATATAGAGATTGAATTCATATTATTGATATATCATTACAGGACTGGGTGCCTATCATTACTCGTGACATTGCTACCCAACGTCGTCCACCTCCCCAACCACCTTTTAGTGACACCTACTTACCATTATTCATGTCTATATAGAGATTGAATTCATATTATTGATATATCATTACAGGACTGGGTGCCTATCATTACTCGTGACATTGCTACCCAACGTCAACTTCCCCAACCACCTTTTAGCGACACCTACTTACCATTAATTATGTCTATATAGCGATTGAATTCATATTATTGATATATCATTACAGGACTGGGTGCCTATCATTACTCGTGACATTGCTACCCAACGTCAACTTCCCCAACCACCTTTTAGTGACACTTACTTACCATTAATTATGTCTATATAGAGATTGAATTCATATTATTGATATATCATTACAGGACTGAGTGCCTATCATTACTCTTGACATTGCTACCCAATGTCGTCAACCTCCCCAACCACCTTTTAGTGACACCTACTTACCATTAATTATGTCTATATAGAGATTGAATTCATATTATTGATATATCATTACAGGACTGGGTGCCTATCATTACTCGTGACATTGCTACCCAACGTCAACCTCCCCAACCACCTTTTAGTGACACCTACTTACCATTAATTATGTCTATATAGAGATTGAATTCATATTATTGATATATCATTACAGGACTGGGTGCCTATCATTACACGTGACATTGCTACCCAACGTCGTCCACCTCCCCAACCACCTTTTAGTGACACCTACTTACCATTATTCATGTCTATATAGAGATTAAATTCATATTATTGATTTATCATTACAGGACTGGGTGCCTATCATTACTCGTGACATTGCTACACAACATCGTCCACCTCCCCAACCACCTTTAATGACACCTACCTACCTACCATTATTCATGTCTATATAGAGATTGAATTCATATTATTGATATATCATTACAGGACTGGGTGCCTATCATTACACGTGACATTGCTACCCAACGTTGTCAACCTCCCCAACCACCTTTTAGCGACACCTACCTATCATTATTCATGTCTATATAGAGATTGAATTCATATTATTGATATATCATTACAGGACTGGGTGCCTATCATTACTCATGACATTGCTACCCAACGTCGTCAACCTCCCCAACCACCTTTTAGTGACACCTACTTACCATTATTCATGTCTATATAGAGATTGAATTCATATTATTGATATATCATTACAGGACTGGGTGCCTATCATTACTTGTGACATTGCTACCCAACGTCGTCCACCTCCCCAATCACCTTTTAGTGACACCTACTTACCATTAATTATGTCTATATAGAGATTGAATTCATATTATTGATATATCATTACAGGACTGGGTGCCTATCATTACTCGTGACATTGCTACCCAACGTTGTCAACCTCCCAAACCACCTTTTAGTGACACCTACCTACCATTATTCATGTCTATATAGAGATTGAATTCATATTATTGATATATCATTACAAGACTGGGTGCCTATCATTACTCGTGACATTGCTACCCAACGTCAACTTCCCCAACCACCTTTTAGTGACACTTACTTACCATTAATTATGTCTTTATAGCGATTGAATTCATATTATTGATATATCATTACAGGACTGGGAGCCTATCATTACTCGTGACATTGCTACCCAACGTCAACCTCCCCAACCACCTTTTAGTGACATCTACTTACCATTATTCATGTCTTTATAGAGATTGAATTCATATTATTGATATATCATTACAGGACTGGGTGCCTATCATTACTCATGACATTGCTACCCAACGTCAACCTCCCCAACCACCTTTTAGTGACATCTACTTACCATTATTCATGTCTTTATAGAGATTGAATTCATATTATTGATATATCATTACAGGACTGGGTGCCTATCATTACTCGTGACATTGCTACCCAACGTCGTCCACCTCCCCAACCACCTTTTAGTGACACCTACTTACCATTATTCATGTCTATATAGAGATTGAATTCATATTATTGATATATCATTACAGGACTGGGTGCCTATCATTACTCGTGACATTGCTACCCAACGTCGTCCACCTCCCCAACCACCTTTTAGTGACACCTACTTACCATTATTCATGTCTATATAGAGATTGAATTCATATTATTGATATATCATTACAGGACTGGGTGCCTATCATTACTCGTGACATTGCTACCCATCGTCGTCCACCTCCCCAACCACCTTTTAGTGACACCTACTTACCATTAATTATGTCTATATAGAGATTGAATTCATATTATTGATATATCATTACAGGACTGGGTGCCTATCATTACTCGTGACATTGCTACCCAACGTCGTCCACCTCCCCAACCACCTTTTAGTGACACCTACTTACCATTAATTATGTCTATATAGAGATTGAATTCATATTATTGATATATCATTACAGGACTGGGTGCCTATCATTACTCGTGACATTGCTACCCAACGTCGTCAACCTCCACAACAACCTTTTAGCGACACCTACCTCAGCGGCATGCCAGCTAAGAGACGCAAGGTAAGAACACAAAAAATGGAGATTTTACTGGAGTTATACCAAGGATACGGGAGATTTTACGGGAATTATACCAGAAAACAGGATATTTTACGGGAGTTATACCAATAAAATCTCCCATAGAAACTTGCATAACACTCTCAACATTGACATTGTACTCGACAACCCTTTAACTTTATTGACTTTTTTATTATTTCATTTTTACATTATATTTATTAAATAGTTAAATTATTTACTGCAATAATTGTACAGTGTTGCACAGTAACCAGATGTTAATATGAGGGCGTATCAGTGCATATATCATATCAAAATAATCAATATTTTATATACAATGTACTATCAAAAGGTTTTGTTTTCTTCAGACACATTTAATATAAAGGATAATTCTTGAAATTGTTACACTGTAAAGGATATTTGAGCTTCTATTCAATATTTTCATTTTTCAATGTTGGAATTAAATGTGCCACTTTTTCAATTGTTAACATTCGGCTCTTCATTTCAGTTGATGGAGGAGAAAAAGTGCACAGAAGAGCTTGGAAAAGTCACAAATATTGTACCAGTTGCGATCGAGAATGCCGCCAGTGCAGTTGGGGCAACAGCTATATCATCCACATCAGATATGGTGAAAGACTGTGAAGAAAATACTGCCCTGAGTGACTCCTATCAGGAGCAGGTTCAAGCTACTATCAGACATAGACTTAGAACCGATCCTAATTATAGACCTGAGAAATTCCCAAATACAAAGAAATATTTTGATAAGTAAAAAAGATGGCAGCACCTTTAGTCACATAAAGACACAATTGCAATAGTGTACTAGTTGCCGCTAGGTTCCAAAAACTGGAATTACCATCGACATGATGTTATCTCAGTATCATGTGACATCAAATATCTACCGAAACTGACATATTGGCTCAAGATACAAGCATAGAACATTTAGTTCTGTCAACAGTGCTTCTCTATGGCCAAAGTTTCACTAACACAGATCTGTATTTGTAGTAAGAAATTCTCTCATGAATCCGACAAATCGTTTATCAATCGAAAACAAAATTTCTGGATAAGTCTCCCATTGGTGCAGTTTTCAACACTATATGCTTCATACATATGTTCTTTATAAAAAATGGGCACATCATATAATAAATAGTCAAAAATTCAAGTGCACATGTAGTGTAAATACTAAGTGCACTTGATAGTAGTACACGTGCGCATGCACATTACAAGTGTACCTGTAAATATGGCAAGTGCACCTATTAATATTACAAATACATCTGTAGATACTACAAGTGTACTTTGCAATAATACAACTGTTCTGAATTTGGAGGAGTGATTAAGAAATGTTGATGTTGTACTGGATACATATCCAGATAGAAAAACCATTAAGATGGGGATACAATCGTGTAGTGAGAGCTAGTTTCAGGATTCAATGTGGTTTGAAATATGGAAGAAAATCTAACTAAAGGAGTGGTGATGATTTTGAAATATTTAACATAACGCTGTAATTTTTGAAAACCTTAACTGTATATATTATTTATTTTAGTTCAAAATCAATCTTGCAGTAAAACTTATATTATGTTTATGAGAAAATGCCATTCAATAGGGAAATGCCATTCAAATTGAGTTCTTTTCAATGTGATGTGAGAATGCCATTCAGTTTGAATTCTATTCAATGGTAGAATGCCATTCAACTTGAGAATGAAATTCAATAGGAAAATGCCATTCAATTTGAATGTCATTCCCTTTTAGATTACACAGTGTTTGATGTGAATTAATCTTATCAGGTTTGCAGGCTATTTTTATTAATCACAATTTGGCCCTGAAGTTGAAATCTCTTATTTATATCTCTTATTCGTAAATGCTTAATTCCAAAAATGAACATCATTTACTAATTCCCAGTAAAATGTCCTCCGTAACAATCACTATTTATCGAAGTTAATTCGATTTTAGTTTTCCAAGCGTAATTGGTTAATTGCATATAATGTGAATTCCTTGTTTTCTATTCTAAATGCTTTTCTTTGCTTATTGTAGTTGAATGTATGGTGAAAAGGCAGAAACTTTATATTTTGTAAATACAAGCATGTATATCATGATAATTGATAATCATTGTGTACAGTAAAACATTGTTTTGTTTTGACACAATTTTTGGCTCACATGGCCCACAAGTTCATCTGTCCATCCATTTGTCCATCTGTCTGTCAATTTGGCCCACACGTTCATCTGTCCATCCATTTGTCCATCTGTCTATCAATTTGGCCCACAAGTTCATCTGTCCATCCATTTGTCCATCTGTCTGTCAATTTAGCCCACAAGTACATGTACATCTGTCCATCCGTTTGTCCATACAGGGTGTTCCAAAACTTACGGAACATTGTGATGTCATGTCATCATAGCAAGTATAACTCATAACTTAAAACCGTAACCTTAGTTTCATAATTACATTGGAAACTTATATTTAGCATCATTGAATATATGGCTGAGGTCTGTCATCAATATAGCCAGAGCTTCCAAGTCCATTTATTTCAATACAAATGCTTCGCCAGGTATTTAAGGCAAAATACATATACACAATATAAAATTCTATTACTGAAGGGCTAGTGGAATATCATCTTGTAAAATCTATACATATCATCAAAGAGAGACAGATGTAAAAAACAGACCTGATATTGGACTCATTAAAATCCTTTAATCTTCTTCAAATCCATCTAAATTAATTTTTACATATTAGTTCCACACTACAAAACAATACATATCATAATATCCCGACAGGTGAATAGTGACCTTACACCACGGTCAAGAGCAATATCTACCTAAATTCCTCTGTTGAACGAGAGAAAAAATGAAATTGAAAAAATGATTTTTTGGAAAAACAAAATAAACATTTTTAAAAAGATGCAAATTTAAATAAAAAACCTGGTTGATATCCATATCATACCTGATATCATCCCTTTAATTCCAATATTATCCCTATCCCGAATATGTGATTTATCAGTTGCTATTATATATTTTATATTGCTCTGAACATGCTATAAATATATAGCATTTTGTAGTCCTTCATACAAATCCAAGTGATTTCTCCCAATCAACCGTACCTCCTTATCTTATGATGACCGCACAAATTGATAGAGCGTGGGAACCGACAGTGCCAAATGCTACGGATATTGCAGCTATGTGTGTTGTGTTTTCAAGTGTTATTTATGTCCGACAAATCGAATTATGATTTTGATACTATCTAGATGTATTTAATAGTATATAGATGTCTCGTTCATTCATTTGACAAACAAAAATCATAACTGCCTGTAAAGGAATATGAATAAAGTATGTTAATAAATGAATTAAAACGTCAAATTAAGAAGCAAAAGTCTTTTCTGGTTCACTGCGAATGGCATGATTTCCTCGAGTCTCTTCAGTTGCAATGCAACCATACTGGGACCGATTCGCGTCGTTCCACTACTGCCCTTGGTGGGGGCCCGCTACCATACTATATGACTCCCGGAGGTTTACTAAAGCACGTTAGTGGAGGAACCAACCACAGTCTCACAATCTGTCTCCGGCAAGAGCGGCCAGAGAACCAACCCATGCCAAGGGCCGGTAAACGGTTGGACCTTCGGACAGGGTGTCCGTAGTGACAATGATCAACAACTCCGTACCTGGGGCTCGAACGCGGGACCTCCGTATCCCACGACGTTCAACCGCACAGTAGCCTCAGTCTACGCCACTAGGCTACCCTGCTTAGGTGTCAAAACTGCTAAAAAATAATGTTACAAAACTTTGCATGTATAAACATGATATTACATTTCTTAATTGATTAATCTGATTTAGTTGGAATCGAAGTTCGACCAACGATCAATGCAATACAATCAACAACTCTTGCAAATGTGTACGGTAGTCGTAAAGACAGAAAGTACAAGAGTCGTGATCAATGTAAAGTATAATATTTAAGACACATCTTTAAATATCATTCGGGAAAGAATAATATTCCAAAATGAAGAAAAATCATTTAGAACATTTGATTTGTTGCCAATATATCAATTGCGTCTCAAATGAATGAAATAAAAGGTATCGCCGGCCACTAAAGCCGATGAGTTTAAGGAACTGTACTTCAGTTTCAAAGTGTTCAAGATATTTCCGCATGTTCAAAAACACAAAAATTATATTTTAGGCTATCCATATTTTGTCAAATATCTCCAATTCATATTACAGGGAAAACATGATCATGTTTCCGAAAAGAATTTACACTCGCTACTCAAAATGAGGCACGGACAGAAGAAGTACAGAGAATAGCCTAGTGAAGGCATCTATCTAAAATGGCTTTTCCATATAACTTTAAAATCATGATTAGATCTGGTTTTAATGAGATTTTAGGAGATCTGCATTTTTAACCACTAAAGACTAACATTTTCTTCTATTTGAATTCTGTGTGTAATTTTCTATCAAAACAACTAAGTTTTGCACTGTTATTTACCTTTATTCAAATTCTAGAGATTTTCAAGTTTCTAAAATCGTCGGGCTAAATCCTCATTGACACAATGTTGAAAACCTTTTACTCTTACAAGGATCACAATTTTAATGTGAAATCACAATCCATATGTCAATAATATCATATAGTTACATTCTAATGGTGTTTTAAGTTGATTCAAAAGGAATTACTTGTTAAATCAAGAACATTACTCTTGTCATGTTATTTTATTCCTACCTATACCCATGATGCCATCTATTTTTCCATTTATATGGAAAGGGTCAATTCTACAGAATCAGACTTTTTGGGGAATGCGTTGAGCGGGGGCGTGTATCATTAACATTCTAAGGTTTAATTCTCTATTTTGTTCTCGTAAATATCATTATGATATAATGCAAAAATAACTTTCAAATGGTGTGCTTAACGTGTGGCTAGTCATGCTTTACCACGATGAATAAATGCACGTAAACCTTTGGTTTGTAAAGTCGTGTTTTAAAGTAGAATACGTGATGCTTGATTCTTCGGTTATTGGACCAATTTCATTTTTGTATTTAACGACATTTCAGATGATCATTTTTTTGTTACTATGCCCCTCAAAGTAGAACTTGAATCATCACAATAGAACACATGGAACATCAAATTCAAATTTCAAGCAGAAATAAATGTGACACAAGTAGTATTTTGTAGAACTCTTAAAACTGGAAGCATTTTATAAATCCTGAGGAAGGTAACTGTTAATGTATGTTCCACTAATGAAAACGTTTGTTTCTTCTATAATTATTTTATTTATTTTAATATCAAATAAAAACAATTTACATACAGTTACATTCAATACATGCATACAATGTACACAACAATACAGATCAACAGAAAATGAATACATTAAAATGAATGGGACGGATATTCATATTTGGTTATTGCACATCATAATGTGCTTATGTCGAATTGTCACTTTTCATTCATCTCAATTATAGGCTCCAAACAGCACTGTTTCTTTACTCTAATTCAAGTTACCAGTTGATTACATCTTCCTTTTTGTGGTCCTTCATACATATCCAAGTGAATTCATTTTTTGCCTCAAATAGTCAGTGTACGCGATTTCATAAGTTACCAGTTGTCTACATGTTGCATTATCCTTGCCTTCCTTTGATAGAAGGTAGGCATTCACCTTATGAGGCACCCAAGTTGGATTATTATACTGGTCTAACTTTTTGTTTGTTCCGTTGACCTCTTCCTCAATACAGTACCTTTGTATCTTGTCTCTCACTTGGTTGAATTGGGATAATTCTGTATTCATTCTCTCCCTCCCAAAATCATTGATGATATTCCAAAATGTTTTGTTGTAGTACTGATATAGAATTTCATCACCCATGTTGAGTTCTCTGATTTTCCGATATGCTTTTGGGTATGTCACATCTATTCCAGTTGTTTTCTTAGCTTGGACATTTTTACTGATGTATACAATGTCATCGAATGACCAGTTCATTAGGTGTTTTAACAATATTAGACCTTCATTGAAGTATTCTGATATCATCACTAGGTCAAACATTCTGTCCATTTCCTGGATTTTCTTCTGAACCTTAGTAACATTTTTAGCATCCGTTGGTTCCATGCCCAGGTCATATAACTGTCTATTTGCACATTTTCCAGATTCAGTTAGTTTGTAGGTTGAACTTTCTATAGTTGAAAGAAATTTGTCAATGTTATGTGTCCCAAAGCAGTTCTTACTCCAATAGTCAAAATATTTGAATGCAGAAATAAAATTATATGTTGGTTTTCGTAACATTGTAATTGCCTTCCCTTCTGGTTTGAGCACATCAAATACTTCATCACTGTGCCTGAGGTGGTGGCAGATGATATCGTATCTTGAATAGGGAGCCTTCAACGTCATAGTAAAGTTTTTCTTGAAAAGTTGAGGATATTCTAATTGGTTACTACTTGCGTGTAATGCAAATGATAAATTTTTTATGTCTCCATATCTCTGCAAAATGCTCTGTAGTGTACTGCTGCCAGTTTTATGGATTTTCAAAAAATATATACTGTTTAGTGGATGATATCCTCTGCTTTCATTGTTCAATGTTACATTATCATTTAATTGTTTATTCTCTGAAGGTGTTCCATGTATATCTTTCAATTGTGTAGAATTCTTTGAAAATGTTGATCCCCATATTTCCTCCAACTTGATGCTTGCCTTTTTATATTTTCCATTAGTTGAAAGCTTTGATATCAAGATGTACACTAGTCCTAAAGCTACTGCACAAAGAACCAGGCCAGTCCTTTTCTTTAAAAATGCTTTTTGGACTTTCATGATTTCGTTGCTGAGATTTGAATCAGTAGGCTATATATTCTTGGAAAATAATCTCATCCATTCTAATCTCTTTGAGCTTTATTTTTCATTGTCCTCTAAATCAGATTTGAAAATATACTTTTATATGCTACCAGTTTGAATATCCCATCTCAATGCATATTATGTACTGGATAAAGCATAAGAATAAGATTTAATAAGAAATAATACACCGAAGGCCGAAGGCCTGATGTTGTTATTGCTTATCAAATCGAATTCGAATGCTTTATCTTACTTAAATCACACAGACTCTTATCACAGGCAAAGGGTCTATTATATTACAGTTAAAAGGTCTTTAATCCGGAAAAATGTGATTTCTTTTGTATTGACTATTCAAACTGTGAATTTTGCCAGGCTCACAATGACCCTGGCTCTTATTGGTTAAAATGTGTTGTTATATAGCCAAATAATTGTAACAACAAAAAGAGTTGGTTGCATTGACCTCATGAGTGTGAGTTGATGTAAGTGACTGAGTGGGCTATAATTAGTCTAGCTTCAGTGCACTACAGGTGACTGTCCAGTCCAGAACATTGAATTTGAATACAGCAGAATATTTGTAAGTAAGATAAGATCAATGATGTAGATAGCAACAAAAATTGATAAATTTTTGTATATTGTTTTTAGGGAATGAAAACCATCAAAAACTGTCAATGGTCATTTATGTCTCACTTGTTTTTGATAGCTTGCCAAGTGTACATTCTTTAAAAACAATAGAAAAATAATGCACTTTCCTTTTGATAAAACCATACATTCTTAAAAATAAACCACAGCAAATTCTATTGTGTTGCTACCCAAGTGGGATTTAATGATAAATAGCATTCGATATACTTAGACACGTCACTGCTTACTGAATGTAGTTTTGATCAAAATCCTTTGTTGGCTAACTAAAGGGGTCCTTTTAATACAATGTCGTGTAGTTTCGTTTTCAGTATATTTATCTGAGTAACTTTTATTTATTGAATTATTTTTTATTTCTTCAAAAGAATTAATGAAAAGTAGTATTTGAATGATTAAAATGTAATATTTTTAAATTTTGCACGGGGCCTTGAAGATTAATACTAGTGATCATCACATACTAATAGTATAATACTTATACATATATGGTTAAAAAATTACTTCGGTTTCATCAAAACGCGAAATGACATACCATGTAGCATAAACTGATTATATAATTCTCTATAAGAGCCTTCTGTATATAAATTTAATAAGTAAAATGTGTTTTGTTCCAAATTATTTTTTCTTGAATTGTAAACAGGCGACTTATTGTTACAAAACAGAAAGTTGAATTGTGAATTTTAAATATAATATCTTGAAAATTACTACAGTGGGGATCATAAAGAATTGCAAAAGCTATGAAAATTACATGCTGTCGCACATTTAATAAATTCTTACCTCAGTGTATTCAGTGCTCTATTTTCTCCGTCTTAGTAAGTCCAAATATAGTGGAATTTGTGTCCCTAATGACAAATAAGAACTTCAAAAGTTGAATTGGATATTCACATGTTATGCCGACTCTTCAAATGTTGAGGTGATTTTGTCGCCCGATTGCGCCGGAACGGAGGATTGGCTCCCAGAATGCAACATGACACGTGTCAGCTTTCAAAATGCTGTTCTGCCATTTTGAAACCTGTCATGAGTAAATACGGTTAACTGATGTTGCATTCTGGGAGTCAACCGTCCTTTGATAACAAACATGGCGATTCATGAAAAATTCATTCGATTTGGTAGGGATTTATCCATTATTTGCAGGTATGAAGCTTTGGATTCATTTATTGTGCTACTTTAGTGAACGGGAATTATTTTTCTACCGCTTGGGAGAGTTTGAGACACGGAACTTGGAAATAAGCTCATTGTGACAACTTGTGAACGTTGAGTTTTATTTTTGTCCCCCACTGTAAGCTTGTATTTGCTAAATGCAATGCAATAAAAATAGCTTGATAAATAGTGCAGTGAATCCCAAAATTTATTAAAAAACATAGTAATAGATATTTACAGGAATATCATTATTTAATTGTTAATAGATCTTATCGATTATGCAAAGACTGAAAACATTGATGGTATCTTAATTAGCTTAGATTTTAAAAAGGCTTTTGACAGTTTAAATTGTTTATTATGTACTCAGTATTAGAAAACATGAATTTTGGAAAAGGATTTATAAAATGGGTTAAAATCTTTTATACTCATCCATTTTTGAAAATAAAGAACAATGGTTTCTTTTCGAGAGAAGTTAAAATTGGCAGAGGTATAAGACAGGGCTGCCTCTTATCAGCGCTCCTGTTTATACTTTGTACAGAGATAATGGCAACAAATATAAAATATAATGATGAAATAAATGGAATAAGTATAGTTCAGCATGCAGACGACACTTCTATAATTTTAAAAAATAGGGAATCAGTAAAAATTATGCTTGCAGAAATACAGAAATTTTCCAAACTGAGTGGTTTAGAACTAAATTTAGAAAAAACACAGGGAATTTGGCTCGGAACATATCAGAATCGTGAAAAAATATATAAAAACATCGAGTTTCCAGATGAACCAATAAAAATAGTTGGTATATATGTGGGAAATGATTATGAAAAGTGTCAGAAATATAACTGGAATCCTAAAATTTTGGAATTTGAAAAACTATTTGAATCGTGGAAATCTAGAAAACTATCACTCTTTGGAAAAGTACAGATTATAAATTCATTTAAGCTATCTCAAAACTGATATTTTTATCTCCATCCTAGATGTACCTGGAACTATTATAAATCAACTAAACAGTATGATGTATAAATTCATATTGAAAATGATAAAGAGAAATGTTATAATTGGAAAGCTTGAAAAAGGAGGGTTAGGCTTAACTGATCTGCAAACAAAAATTTCAGCAATTAAAGGTATGTGGGTAAAGGGTTTAATTGGAGAAAATAGTGCTTGGCGACTTATCCCAGTATTTTACATTAAAAATGTGGTTTTAGCCTTAGCACTTTCCTGAAAACAAGATTTCTAAATATTGTTAAAATACCAATGCCAATTTTTTACCAAAATATCTTTACTTCTTTTAACAGATGTAAATTGATAGACAGAGATAAAAATAGCATATTTTCTGGATTATTCTGGTTAAATGAAAGGTTTCAGAACAAAAAAGTGTCCTCTATTGCAAACACTGGATCAAAAGTGGTTTTGTTTATTTAAAAGATTTTATTGATATAAATGGTAGCGTTATAGATGAAAAACAATTTTAAATAAATTAATTGATAAAATGAATTGGATGACTGAATATCTCCGAATAAAATGTTTTATTGTAAAATTATTAAAAGAACATGATGGGTAGTTAGCAAACACAAGCATTAGATACCATAACAAAATTCTTCTAAAAATGGCTCATGGACAGAAATAAATGATATCAGCACAAAGTCATTGTATAATATACTTTTAAAAGAAAAGGCTGAAAGCACAGTAATGGAAATTTATTGGAGTTCATTGTTTAAGACACCAAATACAACACATTTTTATAGATCTATTAATATATGTCAAAATATATAAACATTGTTGACAAAAAATATGCTGAATTTAACTATAAATTGATTCATAACATATTGGCATGTGGTTAACTTGTGAGTAAGTGGAATAATAAAATTTCAAAACTGTGTCTGTATTGCAATGAAACTCATGACAGCAAGCATATGAAATTTGAGTGTCGATTACTAGGAAATCTTTGGGTTAATGTTGGGAAGATTTTAAAATGTAATATCAAATGGAAAAATCTAATATTAGGGTTTTATATGAATGAAGGAAATATTCAAGAAGTTAGAAATATGTCACAACTGTGGTCAGCTATAGCATTTATGTAAATTGGAGTAAACACTAACCCTACTATCACACCAAACTAGTTCTCATTACGTTCTCGAAAACGGGCTTCAACTGTGTACGCACGGACTGGACCTACTAAGAATCGTTTGGGATCTATTTACAAACTTCATCGAACGTATTCGAACGGGTAGGTCCTCTAGAACTTAGACAATGCTCAAAATGGTCTCGTGGTCGTCACGTTCTACAATTAGAACGAGTGACAACGTACTAACGACGAGCTCGACGTACTGCGAACGTAACCGACGTACTTCAATCCTACTAGGGATGTTTTAACAACGAGTTGAACTGTCTGAGGACGTGTTGAGAACGAGGTAGAACTAATTGCAAACTGGTTTAAACTGATTAAGAACGTATTTAACACTTCTTATGAACGAGTTAGCAAAAATATAGCTAGCACACCAAACAAGTTGCCACTGCGTTCTTCAAAACTGGTTTGAAACTGTGTGCGAACGGAATGAACGTAGCTGCAACTTTCTAAGGTCTATTTACGAACTTTATGAACATTCTCAGACGGGTATGTGATTTTAGAATTTTGAATCGATTCAAAATTCGATGGCGACCATACAGTACCGTTTTGTAATCAGCTCATGGTGACCTTCTAGACTAAGGGACGCGTTCTACGACGTTGCACACCGACGTGGTGCGACCTGAACGAACTGCGAACGAGATGGACGTATTGAAGACTGTTTAAGAACGAAGAAGCTAATTATTTCAGACATATTTCCCGACCACAGCCAGATTGAGCCCGTTTTACGACGTTTTCTTAGGACTGGCAAGAACGGGTAAGAACTAGTTTGGTGTGATAGGGGGGTTAGATGATTATGAGGGACTTAAGGATGTACATTTTAACATTAACAAAAGCGTTTCTATATTTATCCAAGTATGTTGAAAATATGAGACATATAAAGAAGAAAAATAAGAAGTGCTGCACCTTTTAGAGGACAGAATTAATAATTTTAAACTTGTTTTAATAACAGAGTAGATGTAGATAATAGTATATGTAGATATACTTCTTTCACATCTTTACAGACATGTACTTGCTGTGTTTCTTTTTCACGTCTTTATAGTTTTTTTACATCTTATAGATGTGAGATTACTGCAGGTTTATGTACTTACTTAACTTTTGTATCCTTGATTAAATGTATATGTAAATATTTTTTGATTTTGTAAAAAAACATTTATTCCATGATGATGAAATTCCCTGCAATCTGATTGGTCTATGTGACTTATTTATCCTGTATTTATAAGCACTCTCATACATATGTTCTTTATAAAAAATGTTCACATGTAATAAATAGTCTAAAATCAAGTGCACATGTAGTGTAAATACTAAATGCACCTGGAAGTA